TAGAACAATGGTAGAGACAATCCATCGTATTTCAATGTAGTCCGGCAAAGTATCTTTTCCATAATCCTCTAAAGTGTACAATAACTAAGCTCGTACGATTTGTCTTCTTAAGACAACAGTAGAAGCAATGTCTTCGAGCGACGTGTGAAAGAACGCGGTTCATTCGCTCTTCGCAGGTGACAGCCTTGAGAGAGGAGCTCGAGAAGGAAGAGTTTTATGTGGAGTATCTGGAGAGATTGCTGGCCGACGTCGAGCGACACAAGCAGCTGGCCAACAGTTTCGCCGGCGCGAGCACGAACGCGGCTGAGAATAAACAGGAGGCGACGACGGAGGCGCAGTCTCAACAGGATCCTCAAGCGCCGGAGGACAGCCTGGCGGACTCCGCGAATTCGCCGAGTTCTCAGAACGTCGTCGGGCCGTCCGCTCCCACCTTGACGGAACGGGAGGACAGCAAGTTTCCAGACAAGTGCGTGTCCGAATTGAGCTCGACTCTCGGCGCGGCTGGCAAGCGGCCGAAGAGCGAGATACCAAGGAGTCCCGAGAAAGTGCCTGAACTTAGAAGAAACAGTGATCCAGATGTGCCAAGTAATTACGTTACAGTGATCGAAGTCACCGGGAGTTCGAAGAAGGACAAGAATGAGGAATCTCTCAAGGAAGAGGACGAGAAAGGTATTTTCCCGTATATGCATAAACCTCGTCCTCTTGTTGAACTTGAGAACTCGGTAATCTACGTACAATTGGCAGAGGAAAGATTCGAGCGAATGGATTTAACTTTTAATCTTACCCATTTTACGCAAAGAAAAGTTAAGAGTAATATAACATAATGAATAACAATGGCTCGTACGATAAAATCAAGTATAACAAAAGGGACTGAGAGCCTGAACAAGGTTGTAATGTCCGATAAAGTTACTTTATTATAATAGCAAATGTATACATACGTTTCCGTCCTTATGGGACCATCTTCAGTGTAACGAAAAAAATTACAAATACAATTAAAAATATATATCGATTACGCAGTCAGTGATATAAAATTGTAATGAACTAAGAGACGGTGGTACAAAAAAAAACGCGGCGCAAGTAGATATAACATCATGAGTCAAAAAGTAAAAAACAGTAATAGTCAGGTAACGGTAAAAATAAAATAGAGTACAAAACATAAACGGCGCAAGTGAATATAACACGATGAGTCAACAAGTAAAGACCGTAACAGTCAGGCAAAAGTTAACAGTCTGATTTGGAGCTTCGTACGCCAATTGTATAAATTATTTTCTGATGCACGCGAAATCCAGAAGTAATTGCCATTATTTGTTTACCACTCAGACTTGGAAAAGGCTATCAATGAAGATGGCGAAGACGGCGACGCGGAGGCATCGGAGGAAGAGCCTTACTACGACTCGGTAGCCTTGGATCAGACTGGAGAGTACGTTTACATTGACGCGCGCGTTCCCACTGTCAATAGTAACAATGGTAGCAAGGCGGCGAGCCGAAGACCACCCTCGCTGCCAGACTCGCCGGGCAATCAGAGTAATTATGTCAACATCGATTATTTTATACAGTAAGTCGTTTGTTATCTCCCGCCTCGTCAGATCTCGCTTTGACTGGAGCACACTGGGACCATTAACCACGCGGAGTACAAGCGCCTCACCTACGTCGTTCGTTCTCTCTAATATACGTTTATTGGTCGAACGCGAGTACTCCCGGGTTAAGGTGACGGAATACGTGTGTGTGATCGTGCGCGTTGCTTTCAGACACAGAGCGGCGATGGACAGCGAAGACGAAGAGGGTGCCAGTCCGGCGCCCCCGATTCTGCTGCGTGCTCTCAGTACGGACAACGAGACCGGCAGCAGCGACGCCGAGCCGCTGAGTCTGAGCGAGGGTAGCCTGGAGTCGCCGACCCCGACGACGCCGCGCAGACAAGAGAAGAGCAAGGAGCGCGAGGACGACAGGACGTCGATGGTCAAGTGTATCGTGAGCTCGGTATTGGAGAGCGAGGCTGTATATGTCGAGTGCTTAACTGTGATGTTACAAGTATGTCACTTTTAATTCGCATTACCGTGGTAAAACGTTATTTTGCAATACTTGCCCCATTTTTCTGCAGTATATGAAAGCTATTAGGGCAACTCTAACGACGTCTCAACCGGTCATTTCGGAAGAGGAATTCGGCACGATGTTCTATAAGATCCCGGAACTGCACGCTCTGCACCAGACGTTTCTGGACGGTCTTCGAAAGAAGGCGGAAAAGTGGGACAGCAAGACTACCATAGGAGAACAATTTAAGGTGATACAATTCGACGGTCTTAAGCGGGACGAGGTAGAGCTGGAAAACTGCAGTGTTACGTTGGTTTCAGATTATGGCCAGTAATATAGGATTATATGGTGCGTTTTTGCACAATTACGCCCGCGCGACCGATACCGTGCGACGATGCTCCGCCCATTCCACTCAGTTTGGAGAGATCACTAGAGACATAAGACTCAGGGGTTTCCCGAAGGGCCCGGGTCTGTCTCTGGAAGATCTGTTACACAAGCCAGTTGCTCGAGTGCAAAAGAACGCTCTAGTTTTACACGTAAGTAACTTGCCACACGTGTATCGGCAGCGTGTGTGATTTTTTTTACGATTCATAAAATCCTGATAACAGGCTACTACAAACTTCAGTTCTGGAAACACACTTTATTGTGGTACAGTCGTCTTATCTTATCTTGAATTTCGTAGCGACAACTTTCTTGTTTATTGGATTATTCCAGGATCTTCTCAAGCATACGCCAGTCAACCATGCAGATCATGCGCCCTTGTCGGAAGCTCTTGCTATGACCAGGATCTTCCTAGATGAATTCAATATTATTCAGACGAAGTCGATGTTTCCGGTAAGATTCGCGCAATAAATATATAATTTTATACGACATTGTGCGATTTATGGTTTTCTGTGCCCCACGTTTGATATGCTTTTTTTTTTGCACAGAGCCACGATAGAGCCCAACGAAGATTGGTGAAGAATTCGTTTGTGGTCGAGCTCTCGGACGGACACAGGAAGCTGAGGCACCTCTTTCTCTTCAACGACGTGATCGCCTGTGCGAAGTACAAAGCGTCTGGCAGGGATAAGTTCACGTTTGAATTGAAGTGGTACGTGCCGGTAGCGGAAGCCGCTGTTACGGAAGACGGCATAGAGCCACGCGAGGCCAGCCCCGCTAATGTGGTAGCTTTAAGGTAAATCAGCGAAACACTTATCTGTCGCGATATCTATCGTTGATGATGTAGAGTAGAACCTTATCAGTTGTAAAAAATATGCTATCGGATTAGTCATTGATTTTAAAATTAACCACTTATCAGAATAGATTATCATTAGTCATAAAAGTAATACACTAATTATATTCATAAAAAAGGCAAACGTTTTTTGTTTGATTGAACATCGACTAAATTACAAATGACTATCGGACAGGTCGCAAGCGTGTACAGTACGCGATCAAATTCTGTGGGAGGAACGAAACGACGAGAAGCGGATTCGACTGGGTGGCAGAGGTTCGGAGAAGAATCGCAAGAAACTCGCCGAACTTGAGGCCCAGCTGGTATTAGCCTCGCCGAACTTGGTTCTGCGCGTCGCGCACAAGAGTCAGCAGAACCGAGTACAAAATTCTTACACCTTCTTCCTGTCCAGCGAGTTTGAGCGCTCTCAATGGGTGGAGGCGGTAGAGGCGTTACAACAGGTTGTTAAGTCTCTCATTAAGGTTGTACAGCATAATATGTTTAAAAATATTGTCACGTCTCTTGCGCCGCAGTCGCTGACCACGTCACTCGCGCACTCACACGCGCTCCATAAATCACAAAGGATTAAGAAGAGAACGATAGATTTTATTACACGAGAGAACGTCCGCCTAGCTCGAAAACCAAACTTCGAATTCTCCAATTAAAATCAGTACAACTCATTTACAAAATAATTGAAATCTGTATCGTGGCGGGTTGTCGCTTTCCGAACGCGGGCGTAACAATATGATGAATTAATGTATTACGTGTATTATATTTGTTATGCTACATTTGATTGAAGAATTCATGTCACTGGTACTTTACAGGGCGGACAGCCTCCAGGGCAGCTACCATTGTCGATGTACGAACTGCAGGCTTGGGTCACCGCTTGTCGAACGTATCTGCAGACCGACATGGGCAGCTACCTGCTGAGGTCTGGACGCGACGAGAGCTTGCTACTGGGTGATCTTCATCTGACGCTGCTCGGTTTGACTCCGCCAGGCTTGGACAGAGTGGGTGATCTCTACATCATCGTGGAAGTCGACAGCTATGGACATTACTTCAAGAGAGCGCGAAGTCGCGTCGCCAGAGGTCAAGCTCCCATTTGGGGTAAGAGGAACCTTCGCTTCTGTTTCACAGGTTGTATTTGGTACTAATCCTCTTAAACGCAAACGACACGCGCTTAAAATTAAAAGTTTTTATCGCGATAATGTATTAATGTTTTCTACTTGATTTAAGTTTTTCTTTCTTTCATGCAGGCGAGACCTTTGTGGTAGAACTGGAAGGAAGCCAGAACGTTAGGATCTTGTTATACGAGGAATGCGGCACACGCTCGGTATTGCGAGGCAAGTGCATTCAACGATTGAGTAGATCTTGGCTCCAATCTGATCAGGTGGAAAGGTTATTAAACCTAGGACCCGCAACATTGGACGTGGCACTGCGTTTTGTTCCCAGCGAGGTCACTCTGAGGCGAGTGCCATCGGCCAAGCCACAAGGCTTATTCGGCGCCAAGATCCAGCAAGTTTGCAAGTACGCGCGATTTTATTCGAATTAGAATAGTTGGGAAATTAAAAAGTCAATTAACTTTCCTCTTCCTTCCGTTGAATTTTAATTAGGAGAAATTAACTAAATATTCAAATCACGAAGAATCTGCAATTGAAATGTACAAGTTTGTTACTTCCTGTAAAACAAAGTTTCTCCGAGTTTCTCGATTTTTCAATGAAATATTTTAAAACATTTTAAATTGAAAGTTAGCAATTATACTGTTTCGCAATTTTGCAGACGAGAGAAACGCGACGTGCCTTTCATAATAACAGCATGCGTGCGAGAGGTGGAGAGACGCGGCGTCGGCGAGGTAGGTCTGTATCGCGTTTCAGGCTCGGCGTCCGATGTGGCGAGGCTGCGCAAGTCGTTCGAGAGCAATTCGTACGAGGCGGAGCAGCTACTTAAAGAGGTACGTTTGTCTAGCATTTCTCGTAATTGGCAGAAGATTGGCAAGAGACTGTTCTGATGTTTGCAAACGTGGACGCGTAGGTGGACGTGCACTCGGTGACGGGCGTATTAAAGTTGTATTTGCGCGAGATGCCGGAGGCGCTGTTCACCGATGCTCTTTATCCGGCATTCCTGGAGGCCTTCCAAACGGGTGATCTATCACGGGGCGCTGCCCTGCGCCGCGTTTACGAGGGTCTGCCTGCCGTGAACAAAGCGGTAATCGACTTCTTGCTGGCACACCTGGCCCGTGTGAACAAGCACGAGGCGCAGAACAAGATGTCGCTGCACAACCTGGCGACAGTGTTCGGGCCCACGTTGCTGCGACCCGGCACCAGTAACTCGCGCAGCGACGCCAAGAGCCGCGATCCCTTGGCTGCCGGCACCGTCGACGTGATGGCGCAAGCCGGCATTCTCTACTGCTTCCTGCAGTTACACATTCAACAGCAGAACAATCAACCTCTCTAGTCGACAAACTCCCCTGATCCTGAAAGCGATTAACGTTGCCGTTCGATTTGAGATCGATAGGTAATTTGGCGACGGAAACTCGACCATTTTCTTCCCGACGGAGCAAACGCCGAAAAGACGATGTAATGGTGTCTGAAGAACAGCCTGGTAACTCATCGATATCGTTATACTTAATCTTACGATCGACCCACTTATTGAATGTCAAAAAGGAACGTAATTTCTGTTACCACAATGCCATAATGCCATAATGTGTTACATCATTTACATAAAAAAATAACTTGCGTAACGAATAATAGCATTATGAAAAGAGGGCTCATAATTTTCTACGCGTGTCTGAAGTCAGAAACTTTCCATTTAATTAAATCTTTTTATTTGCGTTAGGTGCAATATGAGAGTTCGCTTTGCCGAATGTTTCAATGAAATGACTGCAAGTTTTATTTTCATTCTTTTTATTAATACATTTAACTAATTAAATTAAATCAGGGAAACAATCTCGCCAATTTCCGTCCTTCAAACACCTGTCAGATGTCTTTTGTATTGCGCGCTGGCACAAATACTCCATTTATATCGTTGGTCTCTTTTGTAGTTTCGCGTTACATATCTCTTTTACGCAGCAAAGCCTGGAAGTATGTTAAAACGAATAGAGTGGCTTTGATGAAACCCTCCTAGGAGGATAAAACTCCTATACTCCATATGCGTGCAAAATAATATAGCCGAGCTGCTCTTATAGAACGTATATATAAAGCGTAATATCAATAATAATATATATATATATACATATATCTTTTTACTTTTGAGGTTCATAATATATTTTCTACTTCATATTGTCTGAGCGGGACAATGTCGCTCGCGCGCAATCAAATTGATGATCTTTTCTAAAATGAGATTTTCGACATAAAGAAGAAATGGTGCAGAAATTTCAGGTGAAAAATTGGCCAAAGAGAGAAGATTAAGTGATAAGTCGAAGCAAATTGGTAAAGATGTTACCTTTGTATATTAAAAGTGTCCTGAAAATTTATAGAGAAAAAAACGAGAGTTAAAGAATAAGAATCTTTTAAGGGAGGATAAAAGGTAAAATAATAGAAAAGGGTAAGAAGGTAAAATAATAAAATTTTGTATAAAGTCCGAGATCGAGGTGTTTAAAGCCTGAAATTTGTGTACGGGACTGTGCTCTAGAAAATAAGTACTTTTTCACGTGACGTGTGTTCCTAGCAGAGAATCTAAATCTTTTTATACGAATCTTTTTGTATATCCGTTGCAGGAAGCAACCTATCGCCCTAAGTAATATGGACACTGTACTCTCGTGTACTCGTACAATAGCGTACATCTCGCAGAAACATTACAGCATTCAGCAGAATGAGAAAGAGAGAGGAGATTTCGCTTTTTTCTTTGAAGATATGCGGAGTTCAGGGAACGACGTTCCTCACTATGTGCAAAATCTGTTATACATGTATAATGTAATAATCGTCCATTCCATTTGCTCGAGTTTTCTAAGAAGAATCGAATCTTTGCACCAAGAAGCTCGGAGCTCTGACCCGAAAAGACATACGACTGCAAGAGAGAAGCTCTCCTTATTCCGTCAAGGCGGTATTTTTCGACAGTAATTTTGATTAACGTGAATCCTTTTTTTTTTATTACCGTCTAAATGCAGCTTAATAAGATGCCAAAGAGAAAGGTATGTTCCCACGTGTGTGGAGTGTCCCAAAGATCGTAGTTCATATATAACAATCTTTTGGAAAGAATAATCTTGTTACGGAGAAGAGTTGAGAATTCAGAATCAATTTATTCTTGAGAAATTTTAAGTTTCCTTATTTTACGAGAAAGTGTATTTTAAATCACGAAATTTTCAGTAATCTTCAAAATTAATTTTCTCGAAAGGGGAAGAAAAATACATATCCTAAAGTTCTTTTTGCACGAAATACTGTTAACTAATTTAATTAATGAGATATGATTTTTGGAATACTCTGCAGTAAAAAAATATATTATAGTCGATAATGAGAGACAAAACACAAACACGCGAGTTTAGCGATACAAGTTGATGGAACTTAGTACAGAGTGTTTTGCGTATTATGCCAGGCCGTCTACAAAGTTTACAAATTACATAAAAGAGAAAGAAAACGAAAAAAAGAGCCAAGTCTGACGAGAGTGTTCGATAGAAAACGAAGACGTATAGGAAGTATTAAATTGTTTATGCTCGAACGAAATAGGCAACTATTGTATCTCGTGCGTATGAACGCGTGCGTGTTTGTGCTTGTTTGTATGCGTGTATTATCTCCCCTTACCCCGTGTATGTATTATACCGTAAAAAGAAATACCGCATATACCAAGATTAATTTTGATATCGTCGTTTTTAAGGGACGTTCGTCTTTTTTTTGTACATTAATACGAAGTGTAAAAACGAATTTCCTCGACTATTATTTGTGTTATTATTAATATTATTAATATTATTACTCAGAGACAATTATCGTCACAAGTATTTGTTACAAGATTTGATCAAGCTAGCTTGTTCGCAGCGAAATGCGTACTGTACTGCCAAAAAGTGAAGAAACACACTTAAAGTGAACAAATATACTGAAGGTTTATAAACTTTTACATCGACTTTATGGATTTTTTTACGTCTCGCCTCCACGGGATGTCGTCGGTCAAGTTTTAATGTCATGGAATCCTCTTACAAACATCCAACAATCAAGTATTGCAACGTATCGAAGGAAGCAAGTGCCAAGTGTTTAAGGATAAGCATTGCAATTTCAGAGAAGATTTTAATGAAGTAGCAGACAACGCTAAATTTGATATGCCCTGGATTGGAATTCTTTAATTGCTTGCTCTCTTGAAATTTCGACACAATGGAATGACCGACTTAAATTTTTTAAACCACTTGGTTACATCTGGTTTGAGATGTCTTCCTGGATTGAAGATTCCAGGCAATCTCTGGCTGGCGGTGGCAAAGGCAATCTGACGGGTGTGGCCGCGATATTATTCCACAAGCCGGGTAATCGGGAGCCATCGGAGCCGTTGCACTGCATCCCTGATAAACCAATTGAGAATAGATTGGAAGAGAAGGAGAGGAGAGAACTTTACGATATCTGGATTTTGAAAATTATTGCAGAGATACATATGTACTAAGACTTCATCGGTAATAATTAAAGAAAAAAACATTTTTCCTATGTCGTTAAAAGTTGCTATTATAGAATATAAGGGAAAATTAATGGAGTTATTTTTTATGCGTGATTTTTAACTATTGCCTACGAACCTAATGGCGCAGCTTCGTAGAGATCATGAAGAGCCTCCACGCGGACCTTGGTCCACTCGACGCTCTTGTAATTCGCCGAGATGCCCTTTTCCGCACTGGTCCCTTGGTTTTCCCATTCTCGCATATAGCGGAAGTACGTCCGCAAAGCGTCGTCACTTATGGCACTCTTGCACACCTAATTGTAACATGGAAATTCGTATGATGATCAGTTGTTATGCGAATATTCATTTTTTTCAAATAATCGATTAATGCGAACAAATGCACTTATGCACTTGGTTAGTTTTTTACTTTACTTGTGAATTAAATTTACCTCTAGTTGCGCATTGGGATAGTAATGAATGTAATTAACACACATCTCGTCGGATATAGCAAAGCCGCCAAGAGTCACGTTATCTCTTTCCATAGTGTTGTAAGTGCATGTAGTTATCAGGGAATCCCCCTGCAAATTTAGTTTTTGTAATAAGAACACTCTTTTTATCATTATGAACATTAATGTATGACGTAAAGCTATTTAATTGATTTACTCGCATTTACTATCTACTTTATTTCTACATATTTGTTTTCCTTAGTTAATTTTCTTACGGGCAGAATGGTCACCGGCTTCGGCAGCAGTCTGATCTCCTGGAAATGAGTGGAGTAATGATTGTCATAGTTCAACGGCTGCAGCTCCTCACCGTCCCTTACATGACGGGTGGTGACTTTGGTGCCCGTCAGATGCGTGTGCAGTTGAGAGCCGAAAACGCGAATGCCACTTTGGGGCAATCCGACTCCGGTGCATTCCGCAATGCAATGACCGGATAGCGTAAAGGCTTCCTGAAAGAAATTGCCGAGACCTGATTTTAAATTTGAAGAGTGCACGTCCAAACGTCCGCCTCTTTTTTTTTTTAAGAAGAGATTTGTAGAATCGTAATCGCGTACTTTTGGAGATAAATCAAATGTATGGATAAATATTAGACATATATATTTAATCGGGTTAAGAATTTATTCGTTACCTATGTATGTATGAGATAAAAAGTATATTTATTTAAATAATTGTTATGTAGAGATGTTTATATAAATGTAAAATTTTGCAATGCGAACTCCATGATTTCGATTAACTGTTTTATTACGTGCGTGAACTTATAGTCGAGAATTTTTATAAATTACAATCAATTAGTTGTTTTACCTGTTGTGGAGGTATGGCCATCTTGTCGGTGTACTCGAGACCGAGCTCGATGACACCGGCGTCGTACTTTCTGAGAGTCTTGGTAAGAACAAATCTGATTCCGGAGGAGTCAACGACACCTTGGTGTAGCTCGGGATTATTGTAATGCACCTCCAACATGATGTACGGATTGAAATTGGCCCCGCCGATGGATAGACCGGCTTCTTCCGGATATACAAACGCGTCGGCACCCATCGCCCATGCTGCCAACACCTTCTTGCAGATCTGGGTGATTTAACATGAATGAACTGAGTTAAATTTGGAAGTCACGATCGAAGATATGAGTTTTATTCTCAAAAGAAGAATCCTCGATGATTTTTATTGAAGACCGACGATATGTTTCATAATCGAGAACATAGACCAACAATTTAAGTCAGAAAATCAATAAGTTACTCTGTAATTTGGAAAATCTAAAATCCTTTATTTTAATAGAAAAGAATGTTTGAAGTGGGTCAAATTCTTAATTTTAATGAAAGGAGCTATTTTTTTAGTTGTTAACGTATACATCATCCGCTGTATAGACATGAGAAGACAACTACCTGCGTTTTTTCGGGCCTATCTGCTCCTTCACAGGGTCCATTGTACATTGGGACTTCTAGATCCACGGGTCCGGCGCAATGAAAGATTTCCATGTGATGTACAAGATGTTCGTTACCCGCTTGAACAGCTGGACCAAATTGCAGGATATGATGCCTACCAGTAAATATTTCTTCTGTTTATTTCGTTATACACTTACATTTATTAAGTCTTCAGAATAAAGAATCCAATTAGTAAAAGCGTTAATAAAAGATCTAATTGGATTTTGCATTAAGCAAACAATTCTGGATAAATAAAAAGTCATTGATCAAGTATGCAGATCTCACTAGTTTACTGCCAATACGCACTTCTGACTTAATACCGACGGCAACTTATGCACACGGCACCAATAGGTGGTCTCCTCCTTCGGCACTTGAACCCGATGGGCGAGTAATTCCAGCTGCCAGGAATTCTCGGGGAACCTGGGCTTTTTATGGGACGCTCTTTGTAACTCGGTACGAGACATGCCCGACGATTTTGCGTCCGATGTTTCAAGGCCGGCCAAGGAGGATAGCGGTCCGTGACCGCGGAGCCACACTAGGTGCGTGGTACCTTTCTAAAAACGAACATTTCATTCCACAACTTCTTACGATATAATTTCTGGTATCCCTCAGATGGAGCATGTCAGTCGAAGGCTCAAATTTACTGCAAGGTTTGTCTCGCATAAAGTAGACTTAACAATCTCGATTCTTCCAAGTTTTCCGACGATTGTTCCGTGTGATATTAAAATAACACGATTTTTGTTTTAGACGCTTCGAAATTTCTGCAAGTTTTCAAGTCACAAATACACAAGTTGTACTCACCTCAATGATATAGTCACGCTCGTCGCAAGTGTCGAACCTGCGGGAGAATGTGAATTTCGTGATATTACCACGTCTTTTCCACTCGAAGCCCTCGCAGTCTTGCTGAGCGTCCAGATGTAATTTCCCGTCGGCATCCGCCCACGAGTCCTGCCGATTATCAGTAAGAATGAAAACAATATTTTCTTATACAACGATTTAATGCTTCACATCACTGAATATTTTACTTGAAGATGAACTTGTTGGTGCCAGTCAGACCAGAAGAGACAATAATCAGCTGGTTTCAGTTCTCCATAGTCGGAAAATCCGATCGCGAACCAGCTGTTATTATTGCCGACGAAATGAACTTCCACGGTCACCAGTTTGTTCATTAGATCCACTCTGAAAATCGGTGACGAATTGAATAAAGTTATGACACTGATAGTCTTCAAGTAACTAAACGTCAAAAGAGAAGTCACGAGTCATCACACGCATGTTTGTTTGCACAAGTTTTCAAGTAATTAAAATTAACATTCATTCCTGCAAATAGGCGATTACAATGATGAACGATCTTATTCGAAATCGCACCTCCAGTGGAAGGTCGCCTCCGAGCCGAGCGGAACTGTATGCACCGCGTCCCCAGCCGCGTTTTCACCGATCGAGGACTCGCTTCGGGACCAACCCGATTGGATGGTCGCGAGAGCGACAAGCAGAAACAGCATCATCGTCAACATAATCAAATCCTCGTAAAATCTTCCTACGAAGTAATCCAGTAAGTAAACCCGCCAAGTGTCGCCGATTTGGATTTTCGTTAACTCGAATCTTGTGCCAAAATTATCCCAATTTTTTGAACGGTATTTACGAGGTTTGCAGTGTTGTATTGCGAAGTCCGCAAAGGGTGGATTTGCACTGAGGATCCTTACTGCGAACTTTCGTAACCCGCAGGATTCCGCGCTTGCGGAAACAACGCTAGATGCGCAAGCTCGGGGAAACTGGTTCGAGCCACTCCTCGCTCTTTATCGCGGTTCGTTTATATGTAGGAGTTCGTTTATACGTTGTTTAAGCTGTCCAAGAAATAAAAGTGTGTAAATTTGGTCTAACTTCTCATCCAACTTAAATTTTGTTTATTACAGAATATTTAAATATTTGTATTTCTGTTTAATGTTGTACACATATGTTCTTCAAAAAAGTAATGAGGCAATTTATATATTATTCGTTTAATGTAAGTTATTTTTCTTTTTTTACAGATATTGCGGTACAATAGAAAAGAATCAAACATTTTCGCACTTTTTCGAAATGAATTAATTTTGTTGAATTATGAATTTTGATCCGTTCCCGTTTAAAACATTCTAAAATGCTATAATAATGCGAATATTTAAAAATATTAATTGTGAGTAATACAGAGAGGTAAGGTTTTGATTTCAAAGTAAAATTAATTTATATGAACGTAATCTCATCCTAGATTGATTAGGAAGACGGCGACTATTTCCAATAACTTGATTGATAAAAGAGAAGAGAATTAACTATCGTAGATTGCTAATTTAGAGTCTGCCTCTGGCAAATCTTTCGACACAGTTTATAAAAAAGAAACTCAACTTTTTTAATCGCTTATAATTTGAAAGCTACAAATATCTTAATATTAATTTGATATTTAATATCTTACTTTGATTTGATTACTTATAAATTATTAATAACTACACTTTTCGCTACTCAAAGATTTATGCTATGTGTAAATATTAATCTCCGTTCTTGGAACATATTTTCTACTTTTGAATATAAATTCATAAATAAAAATTGATTTCAGATCGATTGAAGAATCTGCGATTAGAATTACGGAGGGTTTCTTACGAAATCCTGTGTGGAGAAAGGGAGACCGTCTTCATATACGAATATATTCCGAGGAACTTATATTGCATTCCATTTGTGGGGCGTGCTTTGCAGCCGGACTGTAATCAAGAAATTCCACTGAACTTATTGCAGCTGAGGCTCTTTATTACGTGTTATTAACGGAAACAATTCATGCGAGGGAGACTAATTTTAGGAATGTCGATTGTGAAGTAAATATGCGAATTATATTTGGCTGTGTTTTTTGCACTGATCAGCGTCACATCTACTTATGCAGTAAGTAATCAATGAAACGTGCGAACTGTCACATATTGAAATGATTATTATTAGATTATTGCGTACGAGAAATGTATTTTGAAAATGTAGTGTCGCAAAACGCTTATCACGAAACACTTTGTGATAATCTAGCATTGAAATATGATTCTTCTATGAAAGTTTCAGCACTTTTGTAAAGTATAGTTTTTGTAGTTTTCAAGTTACGAAACGACATATTTAGACGACTATGTGAAAGAAACTGGAGAAGTTTTTTATTTTTGATGTGATTGATAAGAATCTGCACTTAGATATTTTATACATTTTATCGTTAATAGCTTCATAACGCGCTTGTGAAATGCCTACGGCAGCTGTTTAGCTGCCCTCGCTCAACAATTAAGACTCTCAATTAGAATCAATCATAGCTCGTAAAACTATTTCTCACAGTAAACAACTATCGCTCGTAGTTTTAGAAGATAGATATGACAGGCTGGATTTAAGAGACATTCGATCCGATCCTTGAAATCAATATAAAATTCCTCATATTCTTCCATGTCGCTGTGGACAGTAGTAGACATATTGAAATGAATTAAAATTGAATTCAATGATTTCTTTACTTGACTTCTTTATCATTGTGAATTATGCTCTTCTTAGATTTATTGCCATATATGTATACGTGTCTAAACTCTTCGCGTCAAGTTCCTTCGGACGTTAATGGCATTCTGTTGCTTCAAAAATTATGATCAGATGTAAGAAGTTATTTCATTCAATTGGGTATATTTTCTTTTATCATTTTTCACGTATATTTCTCATTTGTCATTCGTGTAGAAATGGAATTAGAATATATTGTATCACTAGTTTTTGTTCTTTCGACAAAAGTTAAATACCAACAAATATTTTTTTAGCAATACTATAAAAAAATATGACAAAAACTTATGTCGTCACCGATTTTTGAAGACTGCAAAAGTAAATTTGTAAAAGTAGTATAAACATTAATAGACGTTTTAAAAATATCAATACATACCTACAAAAACACACCCAGCGACTAATAGTACACGATTAAACGATGTCACGCAATAAAATAGCGCTCATAAAACGACAGCATTTTATACCAGTACTTCAATTAATATTTATGTATGCATTAACATTTATATATACTTTCAACATCTTCGTATGATTTATGACTTTAGTTTTTACACTTCAGTATCTCCCGCAGGCTTGAAATATAAACAGCAAGATGTAACAAAGTGACGATTTGTGATATCAGGTTTAAGGTTTTAATTCCATTTCTACATGATGAATGTAATAAATAAATGCAGCACACACGCATCTCATAAAACTATGGGATTACAATTCATAGCTATAATTAATCTTAAAATAGAAATATGCATATTTGATAGTTTGTTACTCGTGTGTCATTTCTCGGATTTATCTGTGATTTTCCGTATATCTTCGTTTTTACACTTCCGCTCAGCAAAAACAGCCACACCTAATTTTTTGTTGAAATAGTTATGATAATATGAATCACAACAAAGAAAAACGCAATGTAGTTTGCTTGTGTATTTGAAAGAAACTCGTTATTTTTAATGTAATTGATAGAATCTGCACCTAAATATTTTATACATTATCGTTAATAGCCACTTCATAACGCACTTGAAATGCCTACGGCGAAACAGCCCTTCGGTAGTGTTAATATTTGCAAAAATTGGGCATACTCAATGAAAATATATAATGAGGAAAAAAGGTTTTTCAAAACATACTTTTATTTGATGAAAACATTTTTTTTAGTGGTGGAGGTATTTTGAAAAATTAAGAAACTAAGAAATTTGAAGGAATAAAGGACTAAGAGCCGTGAGAGGGTGTTAGTGTCTAAATAATTTATTCTAAATTTACTTCATTCCTTCAAATTTGTCTTTATCACATTTGAGCCATACGAATTTTATTAATTTGTTAAACTAAGAAATGTTTTTGTCATTGTTTCTATAGTTTGTTTCTATAGTTTGTTACTCGTGTGTCATTTCTCGGATTTATCTGTGATTTTCCGTATATCTTCGTTTTTACACTTCCGCTCAGCAAAAACAGCCACACCTAATTTTTTGTTGAAATATCTATGATAATATGAATCACAACGAAGAAAAACGCAATGTAGTTTGCTTGTGTATTTGAAAGAAACTCGTTATTTTTAATGTAATTGATAGAATCTGCACCTAAATATTTTATACATTATCGTTAATAGCCACTTCATAACGCACTTGAAATGCCTACGGCGAAACAGCCCTTCGGTAGTGTTAATATTTGCAAAAATTGGGCATACTCAATGAAAATATATAAGGAGGAAAAAAGGTTTTTCAAAACATACTTTTATTTGATGAAAACATTTTTTTTAGTGGTGGAGGTATTTTGAAAAATTAAGAAACTAAGAAATTTGAAGGAATAAAGGACTAAGAGCCGTGAGAGGGTGTTAGTGTCTAAATAATTTATTCTAAATTTACTTCATTCCTTCAAATTTGTCTTTATCACATTTGAGCCATACGAATTTTATTAATTTGTTAAACTAAGAAATGTTTTTGTCATTGTTTCTACAGATAGAACTCCTAAAGCCATTCAACTTTTGATTAAAAAATGTGTGGTATCTTCTTTAGTTTCGGAGATATTCGTCCCGATAGGGAAAAACTTTCTTTTTTAAGGAGTGTTTCATGAACATGCTTAGGGACACATAAAAATACACATGTTTCTTGTTTTTGTTTAGCAAACAATATATTAAAAGATCCGAGGCGGACACCTCAGCGGGTCCCTTGTCAGTTGGGCTTGGATTGAGATCGACGGTCGGCCGGAGATCTTTGGAGTGCCTCATGCGTCTTCCACGGGTGCGTTCGGCCATCTTTCTTGCGCTCTCTATACTTCAATTTTAGTCATCGCTTCGACTTCAATATCAGGACGCTGACGCGGCACACGGCGCGACTGCTATAGTGGGGCACAGCGAATTGATGATGACGAAAGGACGGGGAGAACGGGAAGTGGAAATACTGACGGCCAGCTGGCGACGAGTCCCTCGACAGTCGGGAGAGACGACCGCTCGCGCTTGGATTGGAGTGTCGGAGCAACCAGTCCAGAGCACACGTAGACCACACATACGCGCGAGGAATGTAATCCGTGCCCGATGACCCATTCATTACCCGTGTACGACTCGCTGCAATTTAGACTGCCAAATTTCATCCAGGGTGAGTGCGAGAAACGAGTGAGCCGAGTGCATGAATGAATCATGCGAAAGCCACGTGGGCCTCCGTCACATGGCGAGATCAAGGATCCTGCAAAAATGGGATTCCCGAAAGTGGTTCTTGCGGAAAATTGAAGCGGAATATGCTTTTCTAAAGTTTTACAGGATAAATTAAATTTGATTAATGTAAGGAACGATTGTTCAACCGTAGAGCGTTTTGATAATGTAATATTTCTGAGACGAGCGACGTTGCTTTTACTACTTTCTCCCATTTCGACAGCTGGAAAATGTTCAAGTGAACACGTCGGTGTTCTCTCGATTCGGGACTATTGCTAGTCGATTGATTTGTCAATTATGAACAACAATTTTAATTGAAAACTCGAAAGATAATATATAAAAAAACATTAAGGATAAAAAATGCAAGCGAAAAATATAGATAGAAAAATTTTACCAGTTTTTTAAATAAATTTTCTTCGTTTAGTTTTGCTTACGCTGTTTTTCCGGGATTCTCGTGAGTTCTGGTATTTCCGCGATGTCGAAATCATTCGAATGCGTAACATTTGTCGATGGATAATATCACGTAATATCTTTATACACGTCGCGTGCACGAGGTCCTATCCGTCGCTAAGCGGAGGTTTCACGGTCGCCGCCGCAGGAAAAAAAGACAGAATAGTTAACTGAACAATTAGCAGATAATCGGCCACACTCAAGCGTTGAATTTGTTAGTAAAGTAATGAAGCGTTCTGTACTGAATTCTTTTTTTTTTTTGCACAAATTTTGTAACATATATAAAAATTGGCACACACAAAAAATTGCTTTGGCGGAAGGGTTAAATATTCGATACGCTACTGTGATAAGCATACAGCACTCCTTTCTGATAACGAGGACGCTTTTAAAATGCGACTCGCTTATCTGCTAATAATTCTGTAAACTGCGCGCTCCGTGAAATTTTCCTCGTATAAGTATATTATAAGTAAATCAATGCTGAAACGTTTGCACGCTCACTTCTACTTTGTAACGGGATAATTGTGTTAAACGCTACTCATCAATATAATGCTCCTTCTTTTTTTTTATGTAAACCACGTGAGCTTTACTCCACGTGGAAATTACGTGGGATACCCACACTGTCGTGCCGATATGTACACCGTTGATAAAAAAAATCCGTGTTAATTAGCGTACAATATTATCATATCATTCCACGAATATTTGTACTTGACGTGAAGTCACCGACATGAAACGGAGCGATAAGTGTTAACAAAAGCCGATGACGCGCAAACTGCTGTTTGCGGAGTGTTTCGCAAACCGCAACGCTTTGAGAACGAAGATCGCGTCTACGACAAGATACATATGTGCGAGCGGACAATTATTATTTTTAGATTGTTACCTGACGCGCTCCGAATATTCTCGTTTCTGCCGCATTTCCTATTTCGCATCATCTTTCACAGAACTTTTGATTTGTAAACTTTTGGTCCTGGCGACTGGATCTCCAGGAGAAGGAAAATAGTTTGTTTAACGGTCAATCTCTTCTCCGCATGAACGCCATTTAATTCTGTTGAAAGTTGAAATCGTATGCGAATTTAGTATGAAAAAATTTCCACCGTATCATATTTCGCGAAGAGCGCAACCTCGAGTGGAGATAAGTGATTACTCAATGCTTCGCGTAACAGCATTGATAAAATAATTAGTAAGTGCACGATGACGTCCTCTGGAGAGTCTAATCTTAAGCGATAATGAGAGCCAGTCTTATCCCTCATCTTCGACTTGTAAGTGTCTAATCTGATAGCAATTCCCTATCCTCTTCATTAATAAAGCCAACGGCACACGATGCTATTTTTCCTACTATAATAGATTGCTTACGAGAGCCAATCAAGATTAGTAAGCAATCCAGTAGGAAAAATACTATTGCGTGCCGGTGGCTTTATTTGTACTTATTATCGAACTTCCACGGCCACTGACAAATGCATTTGTAGAACGTGAAATCCAAAATATCAAATTGTAAAAGTCAGTTTTACATAATCGACTTTTATTATTATTTCTGAGAAAGTTGAACATGCTAAGTGTTATAATAATATTCTCTCTCTTGTTTTCGCATCTACGAGACAGGGAAAAGCCGTTGATTATGCATTTTATAATTTTGTACATATTTTAATACACCGTCAAAAGAAAGAGAGACGTTTAAGTATTCCATTCCTGATGATTTGTATGTAAAATTGACACCGGTTGACACAGCAACGTTACACATGGTAGATCTAGACTAGAAGTCAGGTAGAATGTAAGTTAGAATAGAACTTAAGTAGAAGAACGACAATCGGGTAAAATTGCTACAAGTTTCTACATTGTTGCAGGGTCAGGAAGGAACGTGCAGCTCCTGTCGGTCTTCGAAGAAGCGCCATAGGAAGCCCGTGGCGAATCAGGCGTCGGTAATCGATGGGTTGAGAACGCTCTTTGCCATTTTCTTCTTTTCGTTATCAAGGTGTGTAGCTTACCGATGAGCCATGCTGAAGGTGGTCGGAGCCTCGTGGCTGCAGACGCGCATCTCCACCTACATCCTCGTCGCCGTCGCTCTCCTCGGCATCGGCGCCATTATCCTCGGCGAATATGGACAGTGAGTCGGCGATTTTTTTTTTAATTTCCGTAAAAATTTCGGACGCTTGAATCCAGATTCCATATTCAATGTTCGAGATGTTTTTCCTGTTGAACAATAGCAGGTGAAACATAATGCGCGCGTACGATGCATACATTAGTTGTAGACTTCGCGCTTATGAATCCACAATACATTCAGTAGATATTTAGCATATAAATGGTTCGTAACAGCGATATTCAAATTGTCGCGAGTTACAGCCATTATAACTTAATACTTAATAATTTACAGAATTGGGAAAGTTACTTTATAAAAGTATCTAGTTACAGTTGCAGTTTTTTTTTTGCTAAAAATGTAACTGGTTACTGTTATCATTTCTGAAAAGTAACGCGTTACAGTTACAGTTACTCAAAAAATAACGAATCGTTACGTTGCAGTTACTTTCTTGTAATGAAAATAAAAATATCAAATCTGCATTTGAATTATAAAGTGTCGATAAAGGCGTTTATGCGCAAATGCAAGGTCTAATGCACTCTGTGGAGGTTTAAAATACATATAAAGTAACGCTTAATGTAACTATTAAGTTAGTTACTAGTTTTCGAAAAAATGTAACTGAGTTAAGTTACAGTTACAGCTGGAGAGAAAGTAACAAAGTTAAATTAAAGTTACCAAAAAAAATAACTGTAACCTCGTTACAAGTAACGAGTTACTTCCCAACCTTGACAATTTGCAATTATGAGCCTGTCAAAAGAGAGTTGATGAATTTTACTTCTTATAAATTACCTCATTCTAGTACCAGAGCACGCACGATTAATTTATAGTTTCGTCAATTCTTTTTCCCTTTCATTCTGTGGAATTGTTCATATCGAACGCGAATAAAAATATCAACCAAATAGAAATTAATTTTGCATCAGAGATAAATGTCTTCTCCAAAAGTTTTCTAAACGGTAATATTTTTGTAGTGTTGAGCAAGATGGGACCTACTCGGCTACCGTATCGTGGAATCACAAGGGAGGATATCGCATCGACTTTTGGGGTCAAGGCAACGACCTCGCTGATGTGCGACTGAATGCTGCTCGCGCCTATTACAAGACTGGCATATTCGAATCTGGGTAGGCCAATGTCATTGAGCAGAGGAAATGTACAGTCATGTTTCTGTAGAGATGTTTGCTTTCCCGGCATCGCCAGAGAGACATACGAAACTCCGAAGTATTTTCCCAATCTCGTTTAATAAACTATTTTCTATCCCGTTTTAAATGAGGAGAGAATCGCAGTAATTTTGATTTATTTTACTTTATTAATTGATATTATAAAATATGCATGTTTTCGACAAGTTATGTGCGATAAAATGTCTAGATTCCAATGTAACAGAGGTAGAAATGTAACAGTTCTTTTCCCGCTTTGTTTATAATCCAGTAAATAGCCGTATAAATATCTCTCAACGTAAATCGTAATCCATGGAAACCATACATCCGCTTTGCACGCCTACATCAAATCAGAATATTCTGCAGATTTCACGCGTGAAGTGAAATTAATTAAAATAATCACGGCGAAAATATTCCAGATGGTCCATCATCGAAATAGAAACGTCATCGAAATATCCGGACACCGTGCAAGCTTATGCGGCCGGTTTATTGGAGGGTAGCCTGACATGGCAAATGATCCATCATCATTGGCACAATACCGTTCACGTTGTTTGCGAAAAATGGCCAGGCGAATGTGAGAAACTGATGCGATTCCTTCGTGAGAACACCGCTATTGTCCGCGAACGTGCCGAGCGCTTGGCAACCACGGATCCATTCTGGCACATGGTAAACAGCAAATGGAAATTAAGACTACGGTTTAAACTTGGAATATTCCTTGAATGTAATAAAATGTTTGATAAGTAGATTTACTTTTTTGTTACTTTTAGAGATTTTTATTATATATTTATTTTTCAAATTAATAAAATTCGTTTGGCTCAAATGTGATAAACACAAATTTGAAGGAATAAAGGACTAAGAGCCGTCACAGGGTGTTAGTGTCTGAATATTTTATTCTAAATTTATAATTGCTTTGATTATTTTTAAAAACTGACCAATAATTGCACATGTTCTCGATAGATAGTCAAAACAAAATATTTCAAGTGTGTTTTCTTCGAATTCGAAAATATATGGTTGTAAATCGTTATTGTTCTCGATTATAGGTGCGGTTATTTTACATTCAACTGGACGGTTTGGAGGCTGGCTGGAGATTCGCGGTTCGTCGTAGCCGGCAGCCAGTGGAAATGAACAAAGAACATTTCCTCTGGCTGGCAATGGCCGCGGATCTACCGGATCTCGAGCGAGCGCTGAACGGTTCAGAGTCCTACCGCGATTACATCAAAGGCATGATTTTCCTGAAAAGCCTACCCCGTGAAGGACTAAATCCGCTAATAGCTATTGGACATACCACAGCCGCACCGTAAGTTATTGTTATTCAGTGTGTATGTATTTTCAGTGAGAAATATGACTTGTGCGAAAAAAAATTAAAGAGAAATTCAAAGAAAATTGACTTAAAACATAAAGATACTTGTGTAAAGATTGCCTTTAATATCAAAATATAAGAAGAATTATTTTTAATTCGTAACTTTTGCATTTGTCCGCTGCGAGGAAGATCAAACGTAGGTATAATATCGTGTTAATAAATAAAAGCGCTTCTCAATTACGCATACCGTGCTATCATCTCACATTACTCTTACAGATATGCTAAGATGTTGAGGTTGCTGAAGAAGTATACTTTTGGTTACCATGTTCTGCCGATCTCGAAAACTTCCGCGCCAGTGCCAAGCAGAACTATCATAATGTCATCTTATCCTGGTGCTCTGTCGTCTCACGACGAGTTCTATTTGATGCAAGAAGAGAATCGCGAGCTGATTGTCGCTGGAACACCACTGGCAGCCACTAATCGCAGCCTGCGGAATTTTATGAATGCTAAAGATCAGGTGAGCAAAGAATTTTTCACACTTGAATTTCCCTAATTTTAATTTATTGCAGATATATGCATGTGTATAAAGATACAATATTGAAAGGTAACACAATAATTCATGATAAAATAATATAATTTTTTAATTGATTTCTGTTGTCTATTACTGCTTTCTTAGATATGTTTAAAGTCAGTGCATTAACTTCCTTCTTTCATAGGTGTTGTCATCCGCGAGGGTGATGGCGGCGAATCGTCTGGCAATGGACGGAGGTTCCTGGTCTCGCAGCATGTCATCGCAAAATGATGCCGATGTAGCGCGACAATGGGTCACTGTGGAGCCGCGCGACCGCATTGTTTGGCTTGTCGAGCAATTGCCAGGGTTCGTCCGCACGGCGGATATCAGCGAGCGGTTTGCTGAGACTGATGTGTTTTGGGCTATCGGTGAAGTTCGTCTTGGCGAGGCCAACGTGGTGATCAGCGAAAATGAGGAAGAGGACGACGATGTAGCGAAAAGCGAGCTGGTCGCGAGACTGCGGAGCAACATTACTACGACGGAACACTTTAGGAGGTTGATGCGAGGATACAATCACGAGGAGCCCACCATTGAAAATGAAGATCAGGCAAGGATTTTAACCGACAAAGGAGACCTGGAGAAAGTTGATCTACCGTTCGGTATAATCGACACGAAGATCGTACTGGCCGACGTTAACGGAGTGGAAAGTTTCGAGGTCACTTCCGGGCCACATATGCTGGGCTCCATGCAGCCCTTCCGATGGTCAACAACTTTCCCCAACGTTTCACACGTCGGCCAGCCCGATGTCTTCGATTTCGACAGCGTTACTCCTCTGTGGGTTTGGCTCTGAGTTGCGATCATCTACATACGTAATAAAAGAATAACGATATTAGACAAAAAGGTAACTTTTAAATTTTTATCGGAAGTAAAAAAAATAAATCAATAAGCTGCAAATGAAGCAGTTGTTTGATTACTAAATAATAAGAAATTTAAGAAATTTAATACAGTTAAAAATTACTAAGTTTGAAAATGATGTTGAACTTGTAAGAAATTATCTTTAATTAGCGTTTGATCAATTAAGGAATGTTGCTTTTTGGTTGTCGACGTTTTCATTGAATCTACCCTAAACTTTAAACTTCAAGAAACAGCTGGCTCATATGTTAGCCACCTACCGTGTGAAATCTTTAGAAAATAAAATGAAATAAATTTAAGCTCTGAAATATTTCTTTCCATTCCTTTCTACCTTTCCTTTCTTGTTATTTCAAGTAGTAAAAGTGATAATTAAAGATAATTAATCATTACTATTATTAGTTATATTTTTTAATAAAATGGATACATTCTTTCAGAAAATATGCATAGATATGCGTGATATAATAGATCATACAATATTATAGGTGTTTCATATTATTTGATTAAAATAAAATTCTCTCTTTGTAGTTCAATCATAATATTCTAAATATGTAAAAATATAAATTACTTAAATAATACGTGTGCAACGTCTGTACATTATTGCAATATTACAATTTGCAACTTCCATTTTCGAGATAAATCTATTTTTATGATAGTATCTTCCTCTCACTTATATGCATATACTAACTTATTCTTTGCCTCTGTGTCTTATAATTGTGAAATGTGTGGTTGCAACACTGCAGCTGTGCAACACGCTAAATGTTTGTTATTTCTCTTAGGTAATTGTGTTTAAAAAAGAAGAACATGCAATATATTTTGAACAATAGGAAATATCTTATTATCTATGTAGACTGCATGATTTTAATATTTATTTCAGTGCCACATTTAGAATATAGTGTGTGGGAGAACGTATGATGTTAAATGAAATTGGTCGAAGAGAATGGTGCTGATATTCGACAAATATTTATGAACTCAGTAATTTATATGTGTTAACATTATTTGAAACAAAATAGAAATATTATATTGTACAATATTATGATATAAAGGTCTAAACTAATTTTCTATTAATTTCATTATTCTGTTATATGACACTTGTGTGGGTTATTTGTACACAGGACTCTCTAAATAATACAAAACGAGTAAATGTTCACGATGATCACATCCTATACTTACCTTATTATATAGTCGTACCAAATGGAAGTTTTATTTCAACATATCTACGAGTTTCTTACAAGATGAAAAGGAAAATTCCCTTTGCTCTACTTGAAACCCGCAATCTCGTGGTGAGTATAATAGTGGGTTTAATAAGCTGTAACTATTACTTGGGTTAGTAGAGTGCCATTAGATGGATGGCAATTCCCAAGATAGAGCGCAGAAAATGAATTTGATAATGCAAAACACCCGTATATAAGCGACTGTCATGTTGCACGGCCAGCATACGCGAAATGCTTATGCTAGCATCAAAATGGGTAAGTGGTCTCAATATTATTGTCTCTTTATTTGCTTTTATTTTACAATACAATATTATAATTTATAGATAATATGCATCTTGTTGGTGATCCATTGCGTTGGCGCACGCTGGCCACGCGTCAGCCGTCAAGCAGGATATTCTTATCAGCGACCCAACGTACCATTCTCGTTACCAACGGAAAGAGGGCAACAAGGATATCCAACGCCTCAACCTAGTTATTCTTATCCTGCACCACCACCACCACCACCACCTCCTCCTCCTCCTCCACCACCACCTCCGCCTCCACCTCCACCTCCACCACCTCCTCAATATATACCACCACCTGCACCTCCACCTCCACCACCACCACCACCTCCTCCTCCTCCACCACCGCCACCGCCACCGCCACCTCCTCAATACATACCACCACCTGCACCTCCACCACCGCCACCGCCACCTCCTCCGCCACCTCCTCCGCCACCTCCTCCGCCTCCTCCTCCACCTCCTCCTCCGCCTCCTCCTCCTCAATATATACCACCACCTGCACCTCCACCACCACCGCCACCGCCACCTCCTCCGCCACCTCCTCCGCCTCCTCCGCCACCGCCACCGCCTCCGCCACCGCCTCCGCCTCCTCAATATATACCACCACCTGCACCCCCACCACCTCCACCGCCACCTCCTCCGCCACCTCCTCCGCCTCCTCCGCCACCGCCTCCGCCACCGCCTCCGCCTCCTCAATATATACCACCACCTGCACCCCCACCACCTCCACCGCCACCTCCTCCACCACCACCACCACCACCGCCACCTCCTCCGCCTCCACCTCCACCCCCTCCTCCTAAATATATACCGCCGCCGCCCGCCTCCACCGCCACCACCACCGCCGCCACCACCACCACCTCCTCCTCCTCCTCCTCCTCCTCCTCCTCCGCCTCCTAAATATATACCACCACCTCCTCCTCCTCCTCCTCCTCCTCCTCCTCCGCCTCCTAAATATATACCACCACCTCCTCCACGTCCTCCTTCACCTCCCCCTCCTACACGCCGTACATATTTACCGCCTCCTCGACCACAACCACCAGTGTCAACACCTGCACCTACGTATTTACCACCATACGAACAACACGGAATCACGGCTGGATCATCAGCTACATCAGGTGCCTCATTTTCCACTAGTCCTTTGGGTGGTCTTTTGAATCTTCCAATGGGCGTGGTAAAGTTAAGCGGTCCAGTTGGTGGCTCAACTTTGACGACTGCCTCAAGTTCGGCCAGTGCTAGTGCATCTAGCGGAACGTTTATTGGGCAGCAGAACTACCCGAGCCAATCTTCCGTCTCCATTCCTGCTACATCAAACTACAATCCTATAGGCCCGACCGTGAGTTATCCTTCTTCTACACCAGGATATCCCTCTGTAACACCAGGCTATCCCTCAGCTACTCCGGGATATCCCTCTGTAACACCAGGATATCCCTCAACTACTCCGGGATATCCCTCTGTAACACCAGGATATCCCTCGTTTACCCCAGGATATCCTTCTGTAACACCAGGATATCCTTCATCTACGCCTTTACTTCCCTCACCTACAGCAGGATATCGTTAAGCCTGTCACTGGTTAGTTGAATACTCCTGAAGACTATTCAGCATTTATTCCTCATCGATCTACTTCGTTTACTTGAATTTTTAAGTTATTTTCTATGCCAAATTGTTATAGTGTTACGTTAGTACTAACGCCAGTATCAACGATGTAAAATAGGAGGTATCTACTAGCAGTTGACTATTGTCATATGTATCTGTCATTATTAAATTGATAAGTTGTGCTCACAAAATTTGAGAAACTTATGTGCAATTTGCAACTGAAATGAGAATACCTTTGCGTTAATTCAATGAAGGTACAAGAAATTATCATAATACTTTCTACGTAGTTTAATTATAATTTTTGAAAACCATACGAATTATTCATTCTTTACATTTAGAACTAACCAAATGTATATTTAAAGAGAGAACTAAAATGTTGGCGAAATGTATCATTAAAATGTACGAATCTTACACTAATTTCAGTTCCTAGTTTCGAAGAATTTGCTGCATTGAAATAATGTAGTTTAATAATTTTACGTCGGGAAATCTTAATGGATTTAAGGAAAGTCTAAAAGGAAAGCCTTATGTGAAACAAAGTAGTCATATTTCAACATATTTTTACACTCGACAAAATATCAGTGATAGATCAATAATAAATATACACGTACAAGCGCAATGTTTCTTTCCTGTTGTAGCAAATAAATAAAAAATCAATGGCCTATTTAGAGACAACTTCCTCAAAGTTGTTTCTAAAAAGAACTTGAACAGTAAGTCGACTGAGAATATTCGCATTGACTAACATTATTGAACATCATAGAATCTGTCAATCGCATACAATTTTCTCGAGAAATTTAATCGTTTCAAGATTATTTAAAACAAATGGCATCTCATCTGTAACGATTCAATAAATATCAGAGATGTCTTTAAGATAGTCCATCACAATTTTCTATAAACATCTAACAAGCGAACGATTAATCATCCCACAATTATTCGCCGATTATATGCGGATTACTTCGGATCATACTTCGCTATGCGAGGAGGATATGGGGACGAGTTTCATCCCGTGCTGTAATCGATCTACTAGGAACGTTCGGCGGTGACGCTTCTTATTCGGTAAAAAACTACAAATCAACGTTAAGATTAGACTATGAGATGCGACACGTCGGCAGTGTAGGCGGCGGGCGATAATCGGAGGTCGTCGGAGCGGGAGATCGGCCGTTGTCTCAGGTCGCTATCACCAGGCCAGGCGCGACCCGGGCTGCGTGAGCCCACGTTCGACCTGGCGACCGTGTCGACCGCTAGGCTCACCGTCGCGGGATCGTTCAGGCCGTTGCTCTGGATTCTTCGCTGCGTGACTATCGACGCCCGCAAAGTTTTCCGCTTCTGCTCACGAAACAATAGAATACAATAGCTTACGGTAAAAGTGACAAGTTTGAGACAACGTCATGGTTCATTCTAATGTCCATTTTTATCAATGTAGATTAACTTTAGTTCTCGGTTCAACTTATTCTTTTATCTTTTTCTAGTCCTAAGGATTAGAAAAAGATTAAAGATATAATTTGCATTGGTAGAAATGAACGTAAGACTGCTAAAGTCTCTCGCGAAGATAGGATTAACAATTAGATTGTAACAAGTTCTTGATGGATAACTTTTTGAGACATTCCTTTAATAAATAACTCCGAGAAACGAGAGCAACACGTCTGACCGGATTCGTGATCGGAGTAACTTAACATCGATTAATTTGACGTAATTTAATTAAATAAAGTCTGCTCTGACGACTTCTTTAAATTGATTAAGTGTTACCTCGATCATCCCTCGCCATTTGTCGGCCGCGTGTCTCGCCAATTCCATCTTCCTCTGCTTACGTATTTGGTGCTTCTTGTATGCCATTTCAATTATAATTAGAGCGACTCCGCCGCCGATACCGACGCCGACGACGATAAACACCCCTGCCATGTTCTCAAGGCCGAGGGTGTTCGGCATTTTTTCAAATTGCTCGCATTGCTGTACGTTACCGTGCAAGATCCAAAGATTGTCGAGGCTCTCCATGAAACCACCTGCGAAAAGGTGATTGCTGGCGATTAATATTTATTTTTATCATAATTCCTCCACATATAATTTAATATTGTTTAATATATAATGTTTCAGATTGCACTTCACGATTGCGTAAGAATTGTGATTAGCGGAAGTAATAAATCTTGCTGTGAAGTGTCTTGCGTCAAAAATTATTGCACGCTCACTCTCGTGGAAGTCTAAGATCGCCAGTGTCACAGCGTCCGCCCAAGGAGAGCCTTTCTGCAAACCGATACCGTAGCCCGAACGGCCGAACAGTTCACCGGCTGTCACCAATTCGCAATCTTGGGCCGCCTCAAATTCCAGTCGCGAGCTATCCCAGATGAACGCCATTAATTTCCTGGAGAGAGAAAAACCAACGTGATCACGTAACACATATTTGATCACTCGATAATCCAAGGGTGTCAATTTAAGTGAAGAATTCACGATCCCAAAGTTCTAAGCCGCTTACCCAATTTTAATGTCGCGAATCGCGTCTTCGGCAGTGTCATAGTTATTCGCCTCCATCGTGCGGTACATATTGGACAATTCTACCTGGCGTCTGAAATACATGTCCACGGCGGATCCCTTCACCGTCGCGCACGTCAAATTCTCCATCGTGTTCCTGAGCTTTACAAACAAAAGTCGCGGGTATTCATACCAGACCGTGCACAATCATTCTGTTCTCAGTGAGTTTCTCGGCACGTAGCATAGTTAAGTTTTGTCCTTACTCGAGCGTCGTTGATGCCGGTGAGCTTAGTTTTTGGTCGTTCCAAAACGAGGAACGCCGCCAAGTTGGCAGTGTACGATGCGACGATGATCATGGCGAATCCGGCCCACACCATTCCCAGCACGCGCGCGGAGAAGCTCCGTGGGGTACCTGCAAAGTTTAATTGACGAAGAAATATTTTAATCAACAATTAAACGATAGGACGTGGCAAACGGTCTAGGCACAATACACGAGAGTTGAAAGATATTTCTCGACGTGGGCTTTAAATTTTGAATTATTTTTCTTTTCCAGCTGTTCTCCCTCCAAGCGCGACGTCCGATTGAACAGACGAAAAGGGGATGAGAGAAAGAGAGATACCTTACCCTCTCCTATACCGCTGTTCAATAATACACCCCAAGCGAACCAGATAGCACTGGATAGATTGAGAGCGTCTTCCTCGGTGCCGTCGGTGTTGGCGAGTTTGAATCTGCCGAAGGGTGAAAATCGATCGAGCAGGTACAAAACCAGCGCGACCACGTGCACCGACACCATCACGAGGATCCAAAGAGTATTGCTAAATGGTTGTAAGAAGGAGACCAGAGTGGACGATCTTGAAGGCTGGACGCAGAAAAATGTAAGCGTACGTTTATTTTTCCATGTAAAATGTATTCGCGACATTTTTACTTTGCACAGAATTAAGGGGAGACACTTACCTTCTTTTCCAGGATAGTGATGCCCTGATATTTGAACGGCTTGCTGAACTCAATGAACTCAGCACGCTCGGGATTGATTGTTAATGGCGCGACGATCATGTCCGCCCGTTCGTTGACTATCTCGCCAATAAGACCCGTCCATTCTTTCTTTCCTCCAACTTTTGATACATATGTCGAAATGCGAGGAAGAAATAAGAAGAGATACAAGGTAGAGATTAAAATTATTGTATTAATCTTTCGGTGTCTAAGAATTCATTTGGAAACTAAATAGAATCCGTATGGATTCTCTGGACATTTGTGATATCTTTCCTTTAAAAATTTAACACATCTTATATATAGTTCAGTCACTCACCCGAAGTGTTTTTGATCAAGTAGCTGCCAAATTGACCGTCCGGCGACAGGGCTAAACTGTACGTAAAGTTAATCATTTTCGCCAGCTCCTTTAACAAATCCACGCAGTATCCTTTGCAACAAAACATTTGCTTATCTGTCGAAAAGAAAGCAGTGAATTACATTCTATTATATTTTCCAGATAGTATAATTTTTCGAATACTGTTGATCTGGCGCTAATTCTTTCTCAGGGAACCTTAACTAGTTTGGTGCAGTGTTTATTACCGGAACTAATTTTGGAAGACAACTCGGACCAAATACCGACTAAATTAATCGGTAATTAATTCAATTGACAAATTCATTTGCAGCATTTTTAACTCGCTGTCCTTGATTTTTCTTTCCATGTGTTAAAAACTGAATAATTCTGTCCAAGCTATTAAATCAGCACAGATGTTACTTGGTAAATTAATCACAGCTTGATTAAAATCAAGCCTTTCCCATTCTGTTAATTAGTAGACGAGTAATGACGTACCGTCCGTTATGTTAAAGTGTGGACACGCGATCTCGTCAGGTAGACACTTGGCCTCGCTGTCGGGTAATTCGCGAACGTAAACGAACGGCTTTTCTTCAATCGTCAGTACTTTCAGATGCGTGGGTATCATGAAACCCTCGGGTTTGATCTTCAAACGACCCGGCCATATGATGTTGGATTCGTTCACTCGCAGCTTCATCTTGGTACCGTTCTATCCAGCAACAAGGAAATATTACATTCGAAAGGGCTGTTCTGACACAACGACGTAATATTTTACGTAAGATGCAATCAGCGTCTCCACGTCATTGCAATCATGTATGTATATAAATGTTTGTCTTATAAATACCACCCAGATTCACTGTCATATATTTACTTTGTCTACTTACAGCGGGATAAAAGTACTGGCCGACGGACACGGGTGTTTTGTTGTTGTCTAGTCCCATGTATTGGATGTTGACTATATCATACTCAGCGAATATGCGGTCCCCGTTATCGTCGAATGCCACTCGACCCGTCGAACCATGTGGCAATACTTGCTTGCGAATATATCTAAAAAGATAGTACCAAAGGATAAGGAGGGCGAAAGAAAAAGTTTCCCAGAGAATTAAATATGAGAGACGTGTTCGTACGTGAACAGAGTCTTGCCAGTTTCCCATATGGAACCGGAATCGCTGCAGTCCTTCGGCGCCTCGGTGATCTTCTCCGTCTGATTCATCGCTCGCAACGCGGATACGAGGACGTACCTATGTAACACGCAACAGAAAACCCAAATGCGGGGAGGACAAGTTTTTAATAAGCCATTTGAAATTTCTTTCAGGTACCCGCTACCTCGTAAAAAAAATCCTTATTTTTTATTTAATTATATGATATCTGAATAAGTTTAAAATAAAAAGAACCGATTCTAGAGGGAAACTGAAGACAGATGTACAACGCGATAGGAAGTGGAGTCGGACGGTAGAAATACTGACAAGCTGTCGGTTATATGCGATTTTTCCTGGGTAGCGTTGATCAGTCTCAACCCCAGCAAGCCTTCCGGCGCGTTCGGCGCGTCCAACGCCTGCTCGGTGACGATCCACACGTAACCGGCTCCAGTCATGTTCAGATTGGCGGCGTCGTTGAAGATCACTTCCGCATCTTTCTTCCTGTTACGCGTCCAAAGAAGTTCATTTAAGTATTTTAGCAACCAAGGCTCGCGTACAAGTACGATGTTAAGTGGTTGGGAATTTAAAAATTGCAAGACGACGATTATTATTACTTAATGTTGTCGTTAGATCGTGTTATTTCTCATATTATTTGTAATATTATTTTAGAAGAGAAATTCACACTCTTCGATATTTCTCATTTCCATGATTTTCGTAAATGTTGAGTTATGATACTTACGAGGCATACATGAGGCAGACTCTCGACTGTGCGCTTTTCATCTCTCTCAATTGTTCCTCGAAGTTGTGCAATCCCGGTTCGAATTCGATGACTGACTCGACCTGAAACAATGATCTAGTAATAGGAAATTCTTCTTTTTTACTTACGATACGATGTAACAATAACTTGAGAAAATCAATCTAAAGTATGTCATAAAATTAATATGGTGAATTAATAACACAGTAAAAGGTGCAAATTGATATGCAACGTACCTGCACTTTAATCTCCACGTCATCCTCCAAATTCTGCGACGTCGTCTGGAAACGTCCGAGAAGCGCGCGGCCATCCGTGTCGGAGCTATGGATGAACATGATCTTCATGTAGTTGAAGTGCTTCAGCAGGTCCACCCAGACGTCTGCTTGATGGGAGTATGGCGGAACAGTGCGCAAAAACGAAACATGGATGTTCTGGAAAAACGTTGTCGTTTGGTTACTGCGACAATCGAACATAATGTGGAACCAATCGCTTTTCATTTGGATAATATGAAAGGTGCGCCTGCGTTAATTTTCCAATCTTCAAAATCAATTTTCTCAAAAAAGATTGCACGCTCGTACGAATCTTACATGAAAAAGGAAATTTTATACCTGCGAATTAGCTTTGCGCAAAGAATGCTGTTTTCTTTCGGATTTTGATCGCACCCTATATTAATTTGCCTCAATTACCATGTCGATTAAATTAATGAGTCACCATGTTGATTAAATTAAATCTCATTTATTATACTGCATACTTTGTCCGAGAAGGCAGAGTCCCTGGACGATATGCCGATCACGGGTATGTGATAAAAACCGCTCGTGTAGGAAACCGCTGCCGGTGACAAGTCGCCTGTAAGCGGATGCGACACCACCACCGCGTACACCTGTTCGGCTATCAATGATTTGCAGACGCTCAATGCAGTTCTGATGGGGTTGGAATCCATCTCGATTACCGTATGCTTGTATGTTACTCCTTTATTGACGTATTGGAAATCGAAATTGAGATGCTGAAATTGAGGTATACATATATATGTATATATATTCATATTGAATATATACTAGATACACTGTGCAAGCATATTAGAATGCATAGAACTTTTTTAGATAAATGTAACAGTTATCGTGAATCAAGTTGTCGTCAATATTATACATACTGTCTTTTTAGGCATAATATTATTATAAAACCACCATTATTAATCTTACGTCGATCGTTTTCTCGAAGTGCTCTTTGCTATTATTATTGGAGAGAACGCCGCCGATCTTGAAGAACCTTGGATTGTTGTAAGACATTGCTTTGGTGAGAACGAGTCCTAAACGCGGAGCATTGTGCAAGATAATGAAGATGAGTGACAGTACAGTCTTCACCCGTAATTTCGCCATTGTGCAGCCACCCTGCAAACAAATCCTCGGGATAAGTCAATAGGTTACTAATATTTTAACATTTCGTTAAATTTTATTGGACTTTTGTTTATGAACTGAACGAGACGAGAATATTTTTAACTTAATATCTAATGTACTTATAAGTAATTTTAACGAAAGGTTAATTCCTATTATTTAATTATTACTTAAATTATTAATTGTGTTATTTGTATTACAATACTATTAACAGTTAAACAAAAAGTAATTAGTAAAATATCAGCGGTTTTAGATTTTTTAATATATTTTTCAGTTTTATTTAAAGAAATTAATTGGTTTTTATTTACATATAAAATAAATTGTAATGTCATTTATTACAATTTATCTTGTAGATATCTTTTTATATTAGAAGCCAGATTTAATTTAAAAAAATAAGCTTGTGAAGAGACTATTTTATCAACTATAAATTACACTTTTCTTGCCTGATTTATTAAAAAAATAACTAGGTCAATTAACAAGTTTGCATCCTTTTCTAGAATAAACAGCCTCCGCCCATTTTCTCGATGAAAGTTTCTCGTGTTTTTGTAACATCAAACAAAACATTTCAACTCATACTTTTCTATGCGTTACACTCGTCCTCGATACATATATATCTTTAAAGATTTATGTGTCTCGGTATAATTTAACTTATGTCCTCGTATTGTACAAACGCGCATTTAAAAATTACAATCGCTGTTGTTATCGAAAATTTCACTAGGTTTTCGTCGTGGCTCGCGCATCTCAAATGGAAAATGAAGCAGCTTACTCACGTATTATTTCGGACGCTTTATTATATGCACCCTATTTTAGGTATCTCGTCCGGCTCTCTGGAGCGAGACGGATCTCCAAGGATCCACTCGGAATCTGCTACTATTTATTACATATCAAAACCGGTCCACGCCCGAGGGAAGCGCACTTTGGAACAGCCCAAGCGCTAATGCCGTGCCTCGGGATAGAGCGCGAGCGCAGGGGATGTGAGATTTGTCATTGATCCAGTCGGATGCTGCGCGTAGAAGTCACCCCCCGCCACGAGGTTCGATCGAGAAATCGCCAAATTCAAACGGTGCCAATCGGAACAGTCGCTGCGACAATGCGCTTCAACATTTAATATAATTGGTATCGTTGCTTTCATTGTTATTACTCCCACGAAAGCTTCCTATTTACTGTATAGGGCTTATTTTACAAGCATTGTTTTATATTATTAACGATATAGAAAAATTAATGAGACACTTGATGCTTTGGCGAAATTACCAATATTGAATAATAGACGGCAATCGTTTTCCTTTAATTTTATTCACGTGTATAATCAAATTATATCCGGATGCAGTCTCCAATTTGAAATGATTAAACCTGCGCAAACTTCTTCCACAATTACTGTTACCAGGTAATTATAGCAATCGAGGGCGAATGGTGCACGCCAGATGACGTAATGACAAGCGAAGGCCGACGTCTGCGAGACAATCAGCTTAAACCGCAATGCGATGCGCTTTCTAATGAGATTTTGGACGCAACATTTTGCGAGTGATCAGCAATTTACTTTAAATCGAGGAGATTCCAGGCTCATTGAAATAACAAACGGTACGGCGGCGTGTACGTTTTACGATTATTAATCGTAATCGAGCTGACTACTACGATTTTCGAGACAACAAAGTATTTATAATTCTATGAATAACTCTATGATATATTGTATCTCTTTGAAATATAAGTTCCTTGTCGATTACGCCACGAAACATCGCGTCTGCAATTCTGAAGAATTCCGCAGATATTTTCTGATAATAGAACGTTAAAAGTATCTCAGACAATACACTTATAGATATTTTCTGATAATAAAACGTTAAAAATATCACATCAAACCGTGCGATGCGAATTTCTTACAAAAATACTTCTTGCTGGTTAATTAATTTTTTTCTTACACTAATTATGATTTATCCGGTTACATATATAAAGTCTTAAGAGTAGTAATTTGATATTCCCTCTTCTGTCATAAAGCTTTGAATATCTGTTGTGGAAACATGAATGAGTATTCTATGTGACTGTAGAATCAGTTTTGATAACGAAAGGTTTAACAAGCAATTGCGAATTTCTTAACGAGGTCAGACTTCTTTCGGATGTCAAAATAAATACGCGCTCTATTATAAGCGTAGTGAATCAATGTTCTACTCTTCTCGTTAGAAACTTCTCGTTTCTTCGTGAAGTAGTGAAATTTTACTTGAAAGAATTAAAATGGATTTTACTTTTTTCAGATGTTTTTTTCACCCAACATTTCGGCTGTTAACGTTCTATGCAAAGTGCTTGAAATGTAACAACTCATCGGTCTATCTCTATTTTATCAGAAGACTTCGTACAGCTCCATTATTCATGTAACCCAGTTTCGTTCAAAAATGATGGCCCTTGTCCCGCGTTCATCACACGCGTGGTTTTTCCCTGTCAGTACGTTCGCACGTGGGCCGCGGGTGATTTCCGCGAAGATGCCTTTGCGCGTCAGCGTCACCGATGTATCGATCCCACTGTAAATTTCCAGTTAGTAGCAACCCTCCGCCAGTCTGCGTGCGCACCCCACTCGTGTTCACCGAGAGAGTCTCAGTCTACATTAGAAAGTCGGGAGAAGTGCTCTGGCAGCCAGACAAGGAGACGCTGACCGTCGAGCATTGACATTTTTATTTGCCGAGTTCAAGTTTACCAGGCTCGCCCTTGAAAATCAGAGCAAGAGGCACCGAAGTCCTCGTACCGAGGGGCTCGCGGTACAGTCACAAGGAAAGAAAGGCACAGGGGTTGCATCTTAACAGCGCCCCTACGACAGGTAGACATCACGTCCAGGTAGACAAATCTCGTTCTCCAGTCGGTGGAGGCGCAGGCGAGGGTGAACACCAGGCGGTGACAGCGAGCGAGGAAAGAGCTCGAGAGGAGGGCGTCGGACGACCAGAGAGACCAGCTCGGATAAATCACGCGCGACCAACCAAGCAACATAATCCAATGTATTACGGTCCCCCCGGTTCCGCCGAGGAAGCCGCCGAGGAAACATGTCGCTACCACGGGAATGGAGCTTTCAGGACGCGTGTCGGGCGTCGAGCCTGTTGGCCGACGTCGACGTCGGCGGCGTCCCGACGGCAGCGTCCCAGGAGATGGCCGTCACCGGCGGCAATCTCATCGACGAGAACATGAATGACCAGCCGGCGACTCAGCTGGGCTCGCTGTTCTCCATCCACTCGGCACCGGTGTTCGACCTGAGCGGCAGCGTCGCCAACGGGGCGCCGTCGCCGAAGCGGCCGGCGTCCCTGGCGGTGCAGGCGACGGCGACGTCGACGCCAATCGTGCCGCCGCACCTGCAGAGCCCGGAGGGCACCGTTGTCGAGGACGAGGACAACGACAACCTGCTGACGATATCCAGCCTCACTGCCCGGCCGCTTATCGCCAAATCCAGGGAGCTCAGGTCGGTGTCGGCGTGAATATTGTCGGGGGTGTTGTTAACCAGGTATCGGGAAGACGAGAGCCGACTGTGTACGTGCTTGCTTGTGTTGTCGACAATTCACACGCGTTTCATCCCTTCTTGTTTATCGCAGTGCCTAAGCTGTTGCATGCGTAACGTGCTGTTTCCCGATCTCTGAGGAAACGTAAATGTGTAGTTGAAAAAATGTAGTAATATCAATTTAATAGATATACAAGTGTCCTATAGACATTCTATAAATCATTACTCTTTAGGAAATAAAACAATCGAAAACATACATTCAACTTTAGTTCGCGCACGTTGAATTTTGTATGCTGATATAGCCACTCTTCTTACGTTCGTAAGATTATTCTCTCCACATGTAAAATTTATACTACCAGTTGTTTCTGTTTGGTAAACAAGGATTGTTATGATCTTTCTATGCACCTCCCCATTGCAGTACAAGTTGCCAAATATGTTAAGATTAAAACAAAACAAGAATTGAAATCTCGATGAAATTTATCGCGTAGCGGGTAGTCTCGCATTTTCGTAATGTGATCATTCGCCCGAATAATGGCTCCATCGCTACTCCAGATCCGCCAGGTATGCGGCCCCGAAGAGGAGAAAGTCCCGGCAGAGGAACGAGTCCAGGAAACCCCGGAACACCACGTACGTCCCGCTGGACGGCGGTTACGGCTGGGTGGTGGTGTTCGGCGCCTTCTTCGTGCAGTTCTGGGTGGCCGGGCTGGTCAAGTCCTACGGCGTGCTCTACGTCGAGGTCATGGAGACCTTCAAGGAATCATCCGCCTCGGTCGCGTCCTGGATACCAGCGATTCTGACGTGCCTATGTCTAGCGCTTGGTGAGTCCTCATCATCGCTCAGGCTCTTCGCGACTTTCGTTTACTCGGATAGAGGGAGCGAAAATGATTGATGCTTAATGATTCATTGTCAGCCGACCTTGCCCGCTCGCGCGGATATCACGTATAATTGAGACGCGCTAAATCGATATTTCGATTTCGCAGCTCCGGTGACGAGTATGCTCTGCCAGAAGTACAGCTGTCGAACGGTGGTTTTCGTGGGAGGACTTTTTTGCGCCCTAGGACTTACAACTAGTTACTTCGCCACGCGATTGATACACCTCTTTTTTACATTTGGAGTGCTGACAGGTTTGCATTTCAATTTCCATCATTTTCCCACCTCACCCATCCCTCAGTCGATCCTTCATCTCACGTTACGCTCTGCGTCGCCAAGCGACATCCAACGTTGCGCTTGTCTGAGAGACCAACATGAAGAACGTCCTTGCAGGTATCGGCGGTGGCTTGTCGACGACGCCGGGTATAATCCTGGTGTCGCAATACTTTGACAAGCATCGCGCCCTGGCGAACGGGATCTGCGTGTCCGGCACTGCCGCGGGTAGCTTCGTGTTCCCGCTTCTGATCGAATTTCTGGTGAAGGACTTCGGCTTTCACGGCACGATATTGCTCTTAGGCGGTTGCATGCTACACGTGTGCGTCAGTGCGACACTGTACCGACCATTGGACGAGAATTATGCCCCCGAGGAAGACGTCTCGGCGGAGAAATTTGAGAAGGAACTGAAAGAGCAGGTACAATCGAGTGATATATGTTGTACACCTACTACTTGATATTAATATTTATTATTATTACATGTGGACTGTTTACGACGTATACAGTTACATGTTTTTCTTATAAAAGATTGCAAACGTCCCTAGTTTTCTCATTCGGAGATTTACTCATAGCAAACTAATCGATTTGCAACAAATCGATGGCAAGGTATGACTCATCGGCTACCTTTATCGCAGGATCAGGACAAGTCGAAGCAACAGAAGTTGGAATTATTGTTCGCCAACGACTCGACCGCCCGGCACAACATGCTGAACGAGCTGTTCCACCAGAACAGCGGCGTGGTGGCGGTCGAGCTGACCGACAGCGACGAAGAGAAGGATGTGTTGGGCGAGGGTCTCCGTATGAAGCCCATTTCCAAGATACGCAGCTCCAGCATCCTGCACAGCGTGGAGGACCTGTCGACGGACTCGACATGCGTGTACAAGGCGGTGGTCGCGAGGTCGTCGCTCAGATCGCTCAAGTCGTCCGGGACGGCGATGGGTCCGTCGGAGCAGCAGCAGCAGCAGCAGCAGCAACAGCCGCCGCCGTCACCGCCGAACAGGATCCCATCCTTGATCCCATCCCTCACGGCGTCGACGGAATCCAAGATCACGTTCATGCAGAGACTGACGCGCTACCTCGACCTGTCGCTGCTGAAGAATCCGCAGTTTATCATGATGTGCTTCTCCGTCAGCCTCATGTCCACCGGCAGCCCGTACATGCTGTACTACCTGCCGGCCTACGTCCACGCCGCCGGCTACAGCAAGTCGGAGGCCGGCTACCTGGTGGCCATCTCCGCCGCTCTCGACCTGTGCGGCAGGCTCGGCCTCGGCTGGCTCTCGGATCTCAAGCTGTTTGACCGGCGAAAAGGGTACATCGGCAGGTGAGCGAGTGTTTAGAAGAGGAGACACGCGCGTCTCGATCATGCACGAGCCTTCAGAATTCGAACCCGTGTCGTAAGATGCTGAGACACTCCGAGACATCCTGATAGTTGGAAAGCACGATTAATTATGCTTGAAATAAAACTCATTTATATCTCATCCCGATTAATAAATTACGAGGGTCCGGGTGATATTTGTGGATCGTTTCTACTCGCTTCACCTCGCGATGTTCCGAGATTGCAAACGTCGTTTTGGGAGACATATTTCGGGATCCTGGGACGTATTTTGGGATACCGTCATAGTCACTTAGGTCTGAATATTTAACGAACGGACAGTTAATTATCCCGATGCGATTTTAAATATCTTCAGACGGGGGCGCTTTTGCGCTTGGGGTCGACGAAAACGGAGAAGCATAATCATTGAATTATCGAACGTCTTTCTTTTTGTCATCGAGCAGCGTGGTGGGTGCTGGCGTGGCAGTCTTGGCGATTCCGATGGCTCACTCGTTCTACGTACTGGCGTGTTCCGTCGGCATGTACGGGTTGTGCCTAGGCTGTTGGTTCCTCCTGGTTCCCGTCCTGCTAGCCGATCAATACGGCATCGACAAAATATCGTCCACCTACGGTCTCGTGAGGATGTTCCAGAGCTTCGGGGCGATCTCCATTCCGCCCCTCGCAGGTACGTAGCTCTCCCGCCCCGGAAACTGCACGTTGCAGCCATTTCCCAAAGGCCTGCTCTTTAATTTGCCGAGCTGATTTCCCTTTTTCTTCTCTTCCCTTTAATTCGAATCTATCGACTGTCCTGTGTACGTCACCGTGGAAAAGTACACGTGCAACTCACTCCGTGAGACACTGCAGGAGACAGCGGAGAGAATATTGCGCCATGTATTGCGCTATATATTGCGTTAATTATCCGCATAATTACGCCTAAGAGTGCGGAGATAAAAATATAGAGGCTACACGCGCACACCTGCACATGTGTGCACTACCAACGCTAGGTCTTGTCAGGGTTGCTTGTTTTTAATAAGTAAATAGCGACCGTGTGTATAACATAGGATGAATAAATGTTGACATTTTCGATCACCTGGCAGGATCTTCCGTTCAGTTGTAACTTTTTATTTTTATCTTGTGCTTTTGAATCCCCCTATGCTTCTTTCCTCTTCTAATTATAGCAAAATCATTACCTTTGAAGATTATCGCCTTCGAATTGTTTCTTTAGAATTTTTATTTAAATTCTTTTATTTAAATGTTCAGATACGGTTCTATCTCAATGTATTTTCTTTTTTCATCGCGAGAGATAATCTATAAACCTGTAATCGATGTGGCCACATTGATTACACGAATGATTTTAAAATAGATAAAACACTGCGGCCATTTGCTAATTTGGAATCGATTTTTCACTCGAGAAAATGTCAGGTCACCGATAGCATTCGAGTTAAAAGGAACTTTCTATCGTGCAATATGTTAAGAATGGATAACATTCGCGCAAGCTGAACCAGATGGATAAAGATAAATAGCAAATTCCCTCTTCAACTTGAAACGTACTTTAAATTGAATTGTGCTGCAAAGACGATGACAAATTACAATATCACATTTTACAAAAGAAAGCTGGGAAGAAATTAATTAAAGACTTTGTCACTTGAACTGTGAACTGTGAATTGTACGCACATTGATATTTATTTCTGCCCATGCGATTCCCTCTGACAGTATAATTAATTCCTGTGACTTTAATTGCCACTTATATTATGCTAATTGTATAATTGGTGATATTGTTCCAGGCTATCTTCGCGACGTAACCGGAAGCTACACCGTGTGTTTTTTGTGTATGGGTACATGTATGGTTATAGGCGGTTTACCTCTACTTTTGGTTTTCAACGAGAACCAAACAAACCCAACAAAGCTGCCCGTGAACGCCGAGAATAATAATCGTCAGGAGGACACTACCGTGAAAGGGTAAATTATTTTGAAAATGTGATCGTTGACTATAAAGTGATTTAATGTGTAATAGGAAAAATAAATCGTAACAGTTGTCACTAAAAAAAAATAGAGAAAATACTGCGATTTATTGAACATCTCCAAAATTGACTCCCCAATACTTTTTATATCGTGTTACCGACTAAAGTTAATTAAATAAATATAGAAATTAGAAATCGACCAGCTTACACTCTATTTATCCACGCCTCATTTTCGCGTTATTCTTGAAGTTCTCGTCGCACTTGAATACTTCGTTCTGCAACAAGTATTCTTTCAAATAAAATTAAATAACATTCTGCGAGAGTTTTAGATCACATATGCCTCATCAACGTGTTAACAAGAATGTTCATGAGTCACGTATTTCTCACGAACAATAAATATGCTAAATAAACAGCCTTCGAGGAGTTTCCTTGTACTATCTTTATTATTTACATCTTACATATTATTACAGTTTTATACAAAATCACGTTTTATTAATTCAATGTTCATAATGTAAACTTCATATACATATAAAGGAAGGGGCGACTTGCTACATAAAAAAGTAAATCAAATATTTTGAATGGGTATGCACGATATTTAGAAAAACGACGACAAATAATCTATAATATAAATTTTCGACAGTACATGTACGTATAAATCTTTTTAATAAATCCACCTATTTACACGTTGACTTATGACTTTTACGTATTTAGTTTTCTTTCAGGTTTCAAATGAGTATAGATATGTATAAATATATAATGGTTGCTATGAGTAATCTCGGAAGATTTTATTTGTTAAAGTGTAAAATCTGTATTTGCATACTAAGCGCTATATGGCAGTCCGACCGCAAGTCTGATGCAACGATTATGCAGCGATCGCTCAGAATTCCAAGAATAATCTTGAGAATCAGACGATTATATTTAGCGCTAAATGTGGAGTACAAATAGTACAAGTAGGACGTACAATTCAGTTGCAAATTCATATATTCCATATGCAGAAGCTTTGAGATAACATTACAATTCTCAAGCACGACAAAAAAAAATATGATGCGTAAGAGTGCTAGGAAAAATTACGTCGATCGGAGACTTTTATGGCAGTTATTTCTGTATGGAGACTTAAACTCGATGTAAATTTGGTAACTTTAATTTTCCATATCATATAGGATCAATGCACGCAGCACGTTACACCGTCTAGGTTCACCCCGCTTGCACCTCACCAGCGTGCGTGATAAATCACGTCGGACTAATGGTCATTGAGATCGTCAAAGGGATACATGCATCTACATATATTGCAGATTTCACGTAGGCTTCCAAGCTACCACTCTCATCTTGTTGTTCAGTTCTTGTAATATGAGGGAACAAGTGAGCTGTTTCTCGGGCGATAATCCATTGATCCCGTCCATCTCGTCGTCGTCGTCGCCCATACCACTGCTACTGCCATTCTTGCCCTTTCCCTTTCCTTTTCGTTTCTTCTTTTTATTCAACTGTCGACAGTCGATGTCGTTTGCATTGTCTGTGTTCCGTCTGATCTAAAAGAACAGAATAGCTTTCACAATTAGCTACACACGGCACTAAGGCTATCAAATGTGCTATCAAAGATACATACATTGTTATACAATATTATTACATAGATTAATGAATTATGCTAAGCGTCAATATCTCGTAGCAATAATACCAGTTGAACAAAATCACGACGCGATAAATTCATATTATTAGAAAGGTTATGAGGCAACATTCTGCTCTACCTTGGCACTTTTCTTCATCTGTTTGTCATACTCCAAGGCGTCATAATAATTTGGCTTCTCGCGTTTAATGCGATTCGTTCTCCTTGTCTTCATCACTCCACCGTCGGGGCTAGGTGGGCTTTTGATAGAGTTGCGCCGTGCGTTGAAGAAGGAATGTCCGCAGGGACAAGCTTTGCAGGCAACGGGCACCTTGTTACAAGAAAAAGGTAAGCGAAATGTATTAGTAGCGATATTTTCGACTCGATGTGCAATTTACAGGTAATTAATTTAACGCCGGTGAAAGCGGACGTGAAATTTTTCACATTTAGGAGACACCTTCAACACGTCATTAATAAAATTTAGAAAAATGTAGCAAATCATAAATATAAAATTATTTAATAACGGACATCTCTCACAATTAGTGTATCAAAATGTATGGAACGCATTCGTGCAGCATGTGTGCCTTTGTCTGCCAAAAAAAATTATTTCCCCGTATCTCATCTCGACACTCTGCACGTTACAACGTTAAATTTAATCAATGAGAGAGCTTAGTAAAATTTAAAGACTACAGAGACGTTCGATAAACAGCAAAGCTAGAGGCCAATTTTCTTCGTGGTGGGCGGGGAACGTTGCGGTGCACAAAGGAGACGTAGCGCTATAAACGCACGAGAGGCATATTGTAAATATACGTGTGAATAAACAAATAAAAAAACATATACAGTGTGTACACATAATTGCGGCACAAACGACAGAAGCTAAATACCTGCTGTTCGCACTTGGGGCATCCTTTGCTAATCGTTTTAGTCTTGGCCATATTTCGAGTCGAGTCGCTCTCAGCGATACGGATTATTACTTCCGATTAGGAAATGTAAACATGACAATCGTAACAAAGAAACAAGCAATTATGGCTTTTTGATGCGCGCACTCAGCGCCACTTCAACATATTATTGTCAAGACCCCGTGGATAACTTGCGGGATGACGGGATCTTCCGTGTCGACAATTGCAGCGCGCGGTCGATAATTACCGACGGCCGGTAACGCGCGAGTTCTCTTGCCGACGCTAAATTTCTTTTTCCCAATAGAACGCGTAAGCTTTAATTCGACATATGACAGGGCTTTTAAATTCAAATTGACAAAGTAGCAGACGAACAGAGATCATTTTCAATCCGCGACATTCGGTCGCGTCCCTCGAGTTCGTTGCTCAACTCCAGCAGGGCTGGGCGGTTCACGCCTAAAGTAAAGTAATCTACGTTTACGTAAAATGTAAGCTGTATACAATACACACCGTTTCCGCGTCGTAGAATCGTGAAAACGGCACAAACCTGTTTCCAATCGTGACAGTCGCGCTCGGTTCAGGTAGACCGCTCGATTTTACAATTCCATTAGTCCCGTTCTAGACGCGCGGCGCGAGGAATGAGTGAGGTGGAGGGGGGGGAGGGAGAGAACTGGGACTACTCGGCCTCGACGGTGGACAAGCGAGCGGGCAGTTCGGGGCCTAGTGGGGATAGCGGCGGGCGATATCGTAACCGGTGAACGCTCTCGCCCGGGCATTCCGCGCGTAGACATAATAAAAGCGGAAAACCGCGCGCGTTCTCTGTGCCCCGCGCATGCGCCGACGGAGTGGGAGGCCCGAGGAGATATCTCGGAATAGAGGAAGTGCTCTCGGCGATTGGACGTGACCCCGCATCCAGGCGTCGTGCTGCACCGCGTGCGCGAGAGAGTCCCGTCGCGTCCGAGATCACGTTCTCGCGAGGTAAGCGCCGGAACTCGTCGGACGGCCCGCTCGTCGTCATCGTCGAGACGGAGGAATGCGCGGCGAAGCGCGAGGGAAGTCTCGGCGGGAACGTTGTTTACGTTGTTTCCAACACCGCTGGTCCCCGCGGGACTTGTGACCGCCATACGGGGGAACCACCTTGCGCCCTCCGCGTACCTTTTCGCCGCGCGTCCGTGTCTCCCCGTGGGATTCCCCCCCGAGCGGCCCCGTCTTGAAGTGGACGCGACGCCGCGCCGCGCGGGAGCTGGGGCTCTGGACCATCTGGAGCGACGCCGAGGCGGAAGAGCCGTGCTCCGCTACGGCCGGGACGCGAGAGACGCGCCGAGCGTGTCCCTCCGAGGACCCCGGGGAGACTCTCGAGCGCGACGATAACGCCTCGCCCCGACTGAGATGCCCCGTCCTACGAGTACTTAATTCGAATGCGGGCGGGCGGAGGCGGCCGCGCGGCCTGAGCTCCGACTTTTCGCGGAAGAAGCGCTCGCGAGGCGAGGAAGATGTGACGGCGTCGCGCGCGCCGGTCGACGAACGAGCGTAAAGAGTGTCGAGAGGCAGAGAAGAGAGAGAGAGAGAGAAAGAGAGAGAAAAAAGAGAGAAAATGGCACGCGCAGCGGTCGCGGCTCTCCTTCTGATTTGCGTCAGCGCGGCCGCCTACGAGCATACCGCCGCGGATCAGTGCGACTGGTCCGGAAGGTTCGTATACATTTTTCACGATCTCTCGGTCTCCGTCCGCCTTCCGCGAACTTTCACCAAGCCAGTGCCGTAACGAGCGACCGGTGTCGCCACGGGGTCCGTTTCGCGGCCGCGATAAATCGCTCCGAGGCCGCGACGCGTGATCCTCGGCTTTCTTTTATTCACGTCACCTTCCTGCGTATTTCGACACCTCGAACGTTACGGGTGTTGGTGCGAATCGCTTCGGAGAGACTCGAGTAATTCGGCGATCTCGTGTCGTCGATGACTCGACTCGGTGGCACTTTTCTCCTCGAGTAAACGCAACAAAGTTTGTAACGTAATGATAAAATTATTCTTAAAATAACGCCATTTCAAGTATGTTCCAGTTCGTGGCTTCATATTCACATCGATGCGCCAATGAGCCGAGAAACGATTGATTTGAATTCGAGTACGAAAAGATGCGATTCGATTCGACCACGCAAGAACGTGACTCGCGCGCCTCTGCTTCTTATCTCTATTAACTGTGTAAGATAACATTCAGTGTCTTGCAACTGCTCCAATTAAACATACGGCACTGAATACCCCACTAACACTAATTGATAGCAACGTTACGTCAATATTATAATTTCCTACTCGACAATAAATATAACACATCTGTAGTCTTTCTGTCGACAAAATTTGGAAACAGAGTTTCCTGAAATCCGTTCTCTACAGGCCTGGCTGCCTGGGATGGCATTGTTGAAATTGTATTATTGAGATAACGTTAGTGTTTACTGGATACGCGTGGAGTCGTCTCTCCTGTTTACCTATACTTGAAAATATGCTCTCTCACAATTGATATTAAAACCAGACGCGTTAATGAAAATGCGAATGTTTTGCACAGCGGCGGAGGGGAAGGCGGTGGCGTCCGACCGGTGTACCTGCGCTGTACCCGGGGAACGGTGTTGTGGCGCTATCCGAGCGACGCACTGAGAGTGGTCTTCACCTTCCCGAGCTCGTTCACCGAGGCCAACTCGCCCGGCCACCTGAGCTTCCGCGCCTGCGTCAAGATCTCCGGGCCTGTGCGGGTCTTCCTGGAGGCCAACGGCAAGCTGAGGCAGATTTACTCGCAGTCCGACGGCAAGCACGTGCTCTCGCACCGGTGCTTCCGCTCGCCGAAGCACACGGCCGCGCTCTACATGGAGGCGGAGGACAATTATTCCTTCAAACGGGCCAAGGTCAAGCTGCAGTACGACCTGGAGCCGAATTCGGTGAAGGGCGGCACGCTGCGCGCGCCGGACGAGGAGGAGGAGTGCAGACCTTGCTCCATGGACGAGCTGGCCAAGGCCTATTGTCAGAGCGACCTGGTCGCCAAGGGTACCGTCACCGCCGTCGAGCAGAACTTGGAGCTGGACACTGCCGAGCTGATACTCAGGCCCACCAAGATTCTGCGCTACGTACCTCAGGAAGCCGAGGTAAAACTTGTAAGACGGGAGGCAGGCTTATCGGCTCCGGTTTTTTAATATATTCTGTCGAGTCTGACGTAGGATCCATAGGTCCAAAATTACAGCGTAACAATTGCTTATTGACAGGGTAACGACGTCGACGTAACGGCATTCCTGAGGAAGAGTGTACGCGTGAGAATACCAATGGCGTGTGACGCGCGACACGGCCTCGGCGAATTTGTGATAATGGCCAAACGACGTCTCGGAGACCTCACCCTGGTGTGCGCGCCCAGACTGGAGACGTGGATGGAGATTGTACGCGAGATGGACAACGCGCCCTGCGTTCTCCACAGTTAGCGAATTGCGATGTAAGGCGATTTTCTTCGGAAAGCCGTGCAGGAACGTACACAACGCACAATAGACACGGGAGTACAGTATTCCGTGGCGAAATTGGAAATCCAACGCGATCACTGGTAGAATAATACCGTATGTAGAACACTGCCGGTTCTGTACGAGGGACACCTTTGTAAATAGGGAACATCATTCCCCGTGTACGTACTGCGTACCGTCAGATTGTCGATCTCCGAACTGTGATATTATTTGTTGTATTAAGAGGACCATGGAGCGTGCACGAAGAGACCGAAAGCACACTTGCCTTAATACTTGTTCTAGAGAGTAGAAAAACCGTTACATGTAGAGTGTCCCATGCATCGTTCACTTTCCCTTGAACATTTCCTTGCAAGTCTTCCTCTTTTTCTCATTCTATTTCATTGTCGTTTTCTTTTTTTTTTTCGTTTTATGACGAGTTAAAGTTTTGCTGAAATAAAAAATATTTGACATTATGCAAAAATCAAGATTTTATCATGTGTATACATATGTTACTTGAAGCTTGAATTTCCCTTCGATTTTTCTTGTAATTTAATTTCGAACACCTTTGTTCTGACATGGGAACCACATTCCGTTAAAATCTATTGCCGAGAGAAAATGCGCAGTGATTAGGATATATTGGAATTTTATTGGACGAGTACACTGACTCGCCGCCGAGTTGAGCATATTTCTTGTTTATATTACAATTATAACGTAATTTTGTAGAGATTTATTAAATGAAAGTATTTTTATATATAAATTCCAACGCCGATTGGAACAACTGTTCTTATCAATATAATGAAACATATGTGCGATACAAATAAAGATATTTAGAAATAAGTTATGCATCTTCCTGTACTTTTAATATATAAAGTATATTACGTACGTAATAAACATTGTCTATAATGAATCTAAATCGACAGAGTCATATAACTTATACGATTGAGCGTTGATACAATTCACATAATACTTCAAAATATCCATTTTCTTAATTTATTTAGAAAAGAATTTCTAGGAGAGAGAAAGAAAAAGAAAGAGAGAAACAGTTAATAATGTACAATAATTTATTTTTGCAAAAACTTTTTTAATATACCTCTGTGATTTAATTCTGGAACAATGCGAGTTCGGCAACGGTACGAGTATCAAACAGAATGTCGTTTGAGAAAATCTTTACAAAATATATTTGCTTTATTGCATATTAGCTTTACATTTAAACACATAAGAATTGGCCTTTGTAGCGTAATTTGTATCTCGTTTTGATATAAAAGGGTTCTCGTGTATTTAAAAATATCATCTCTACCGTAACAAAATCACATTGTGGATCCAGAATTTAATCTATATATTATAATCTCCCTGAGACACGCAAATACACGAACGTTCACGTATATATTTGTATAGTATCAAACAAAATAACACAGCTCACAGATCAAGCTGGCTAGTAGATACAAACTGTATACTCAATTATATATTAATGAACATCTCGCTTTCTTTTTGCTAGTGTCGTTGAACGGGTAGAACAATTCACTCATTGTTAGCCGATCAATCGGAGACAGAGGAGAGTAAATCTTTCTGCTATATTCGTTGAAAAGTCATTAACTATAAGTTTCTCGGTTTGCAACGGACTACGGAGAAATGAAATTTACATATTTATTTGTAAACCGAGTAACTGACATAGCACAACTTTGTATTATCGAGCCGACAGTCGATCGACAGCACACAAAACGAATATTTTAGCTCGCGTGAAATTTACACGCGATCATCGTTCTACCATTCTTTACAAATATAATTAACATGCCGTATGGCGCTTTCTTTTCTTACACATTTTGTCGATCGTATAACTACACTTTTTTTGTTTACAAACCTAGTTATTAGATTATAATCTAATTACGAAGGCGTGAAAATCGCTTCGTAAGCTTTTTGCCTCGTTTCATATATAATATATATTTTTATTTTTGATGATACTTTGCCCAAATTTATCGATTATTTGATTTTATTGTAACTCAATTGCTTTGCGATTTTAATAATAGTTGAAGAAAATATTTTCCATCAGCTGCCCTATATTAAATGACTAATTCAACGATCACATTGTTGCGTATTCTTTCCTCTGCAGCATCAATTTCACTCGATATTTTACGCTTACATTTATATAGGTAACTAAAATAAACAGCGAGGTTTGTACTTAACATTAATTAAATTATCTCCCTATACACACACCTCTTTCGCTCGCTTTACATATTGTAATAAAAATATAATGCTCACTCATAATAAACTTCGTCTCTCCTGCCTCTTATTATGTCATTGGATTTTATAAAAGTAAAGTAACATATATATATCACAATAACTTCTCCCGCTTTTTTTGTAGATGCACATAGTTATTCTTTGTGACAAATGACGTAATGATAATATTAAAAAATTGTGTAAAAACAGCTTTTTTTAAATCTACATTGTTATCCGAGTCTTCATTCTTTGTTTTTCGTTACTTTCTATCTACGAATTTTTCGATAAATCGCTGTACTGAAGAAAAATATACTTGGAATATATTTCTCAATTAACACGCAACAGCGTGAAATTATTCACAACATTATTCGCAAAATATACTAAGAAAAAAAAACGACAAAAAGAATATGTAAAAGCTGGAGATTTGGCCGGCGCAAGAATTCGTTTACGTTGTAGTAAAGGGATAATTTGGGCAGAGTGGCAGGACTAGATCGTCCATATTTGGTAGAACGACTAGTTTCTCGAATTCCCTAAGCAGCTTATTCTCGATCCAGTTGCTCACGTATACAATGTTGACAGTCCTTTCGCCGAGGGTTGGCTGCACAGTGAGGGCGATTTTCGGCACGGTCTTGAAACCATACCAGAGTCGATCTGAGGGCGGCGGAGGGATGTTCACTAAGAGACAGCCCTCGATGCCGGATACGCTGACCATAAAGCGAATCTCCGTGTTGGAGACACCCTCCATCGCCCTTCGTATGTAAGACAACTCCGTAGCCTGCGGCGAAGAAGATAGATTCGTTTAATCAGCGCGAGCACCTTGTTTTCATAACTATTAATAGCGACGGATCAACAGCTTAGCTGAATATAATTAACACGTGTCACTTACGTGTCGGAAGTATTTATTGGCCGTCAGCTTATCGACCATGCTAAGAAACTTCTTGCCAGAAGACTGTATTGGCCTGTAATATGCAAAAATCTATTAACTCCATCGTCAGCAATTTACACATATATTTTTTCTTTTATAATTATTAGGGCGGAAAATTTCTACAAATTTATTTTACCGATGAAGAACACATGTAGATTGCGATATCAATTTCTTAATGTTAAACGGAGATGTGTTTATAAGATATATTAAGTACCAATAACCATACGTTTTAAAACAGAGGTAAAAAGCGAAATCGACACGAACTGGAGCCCTGATTTAAATTAGGGATCTGCTCACGTGGTCTCTTTAGATGCGATGCTCGACGTGATGTTTCCTATATCCTCGTCTTCGGTGGACGTCTCCGGGCTATCTTCTACATCGCTATCGAACATCGGCGACCTGGTAGGTACGGACTTCTCGTCAACAATATCGCTAAGAACGCTGCTCGCACGTGTCAGCTTCATTAGATTCAGCTTTGTCTCCACAGTCATCGTCACGCTGCCCTTGTAGGTGATGTTTAAATCGAACCAGAGCCCCCGCTCGTCGAGCGTCGGCTTGGAGATTTTATGAATCGTCGGAGCATCCTGTCCGATCACCATTTCCGTCACGAGGAAACTCTCCATGAAGTACGGAAGCTTTATGCTGGAGAGCTTACGCTGTATCTTGTCCTGAATGAGACTGATTGTCTCTGGACAACTGTGCATGTCAAATAGCAGCCGACCCAAGAGACAATTTACCCAAAGGACATCGTTCTCCCTCGGAGAGCCCTCAGGATCCGTCTGAAAGGCAATCGCTCGATTAGGATTTTAAGGACTCCGGAGTGATCTTGATCGCGACATTGGCTTACGTTCAGGTACTCGCTCATGTAGGTGCTGTAAGTGACTTCGGGAGACGCCTCTGGCGACTTTGTTTCCGTCGCATCCGGCTGCGCAGAGATTGCACTCGCGCAGGAATCATTTATGGAACTAAGCGAATGCCGTTTTTTCGAAAGAAATGCCGCTGACGTCAATCTACGAAACCTGAAAAATCCCACGTTGAGATACGCCAATAATGAAAAAGCAGACTCCACGTTCCCAATTGTATTAAAGTGAAGAAGTTTAAGATTGGAGCTTATTTAAATGGAAAGGCACTTCAGAAATGTGTTACCAGTCTTCTTTCTCTCGGTCGGCACGTGCGAACACATAAAGCTTGCACTTGGCAGCCTCCTCGTTGTCGCGGCAGTCCTCGTAAATACTCCTGATGGACTTGGATTGTGAAAGATCGTCGTCGTCCTCATCTTCGTCGACCTTAAACTCGTCCTCCTCGTTGTCCTTGAAATATTCCAATCTGGAATCTTCATCCTCGCTTTTCGTTTCCTCGCCCAAGGTACTCTCCTCGGCCTCCTGATTGGCCCCTTCCACTTGGACTTTCTTCTCGTCCTCGAGGTACTCCTTTCCGAGGTCCGTCCAGTCGCTCAGACTCGCGCTGTTCACCAACGCGCCTTGATCCATCGTGATGCAAACCGGATACTTTTTGCTCCATCTCCTGCGTAACAGAAAATACTTCCCTTTCACGTGTGTGTGCGCGTGCGCGCGTATATAAAAGCGTGAAGTAATCATGTTACGACGCAGTCGCGCACCTTCTCCGAGTGAGTCCCTCCGGCAACAACTCGACTTTCGCACCGATAAGATTGTACACGCGCTTTCTGGTAAACTTATACTTCCGTTTCGGCTCGTCCCACACCGCCCTCTTTGGTACTTTCATCCTGGTGTCCATGACACGCAGCACTCCACCTTCCAGACTGAAGAACACCGACTTGGTGCGCGCCACATGGTAGTTGTGAGGATCGTAAGCGTACGGCAGCTCGTTGAGCCAACCCTCGAACCTCTCTTGGACCGCGTGCTCCTCCGCCGCCGGTATCTCCAGCACCGGCACAACCACGTGTACAGGTTCCTTGCCTAACGGCGTCGCCAGAACTTCCCTGATCCTCTGCACTAGCTTGTACACCACCACCGTGACGAAGACTCCTATGAAAAAGCCGGCCAAGTGGGCGGGCAACGGAATGAGAAAGCAAGAAGCTAGCACGAGGATCAGCAGCGCGGCTAACTGCCTCGTCAGCTGCTGAAAGACGTGATCCTTGACGCGGGAGAGCAACGCGCCGAATTTCACCCCTTTCGCCTGTACGCATCCGTCCGACTGGTCGAAGGTACCTGGACCGCGACGGCACGCGGCGTCGCTGTCCTTGTCCTCGGCGCGAAGATCGTCCTGCGACTCGTAGGGGAGCGGCTCGGGCACGAGCTCGGGGAACTCAGCGGCCTCGACGCCGCTCTCCACGCTGTCGTCCTGGGAGTTCTTCGTCTTCAGGCCGGTCCTCACCTGCGAGAAGCCCACGAATCTCGCGGCGTTGCCCTTACCGCGGCCGAGACCCGGCTCTCTCTCCTGCCTGTCGTTGACGTTCTCGTCGGTCGGCGTGACGTCGCCCAGATCCTCCGAGTCGCTGACGCTCGAATTGTCCTTCTTGCGCCTACGCCTCTTCTTCCTGTCGCTCTTTATCTCGGACAGCTTCTCCTCGAACGTCTTTGTGATCTTGCCCTTGATCTCGGACAGCACCCTCCAGGGATCCGAGGACGGCGGGGTGCCCTCGGACGCATTGTCGTCGATGGAACGCCTCTCCGCGTCGTTCTCCAGCCCCTGGCCATTCTCGCTGCTCTTGGAGGGGCTCGACGGTAGCCTCCTGTCGGACTCCGGCGTGAGGCGCCGCTCGTCGTCGGAGGAGCTCGGATACAGCTCATCCAGCTCGTCGTCGTTGGCTCGGTAGTGGATCACCGGCACCGACGTGGCGATCGGCTTGCCTGCGACAAGAGAAACACGAGCTAGCCGTGGCCGCAACATCTGGGGCACTCCGGCGTGCCGTCGACACGCGAGTAGTGCGCTTTAAAAACAAGCTCGCGCGCCTCGCCAACCCACCTTTTATCATCCCCAGGGTGATCTTCCCCGGACTGTACTTGCTACCCATCGCGACTCGCCCCGAGCAACAGCGGCCGCCGTATCAGGAGCTTATCGGCATCGGTGCTCCGCGATCGGGGGATAAGAGATAGCAGGATCCCGGACGAATTGATTTCACGAGACCCCCGTCCGAAGTGGCAATGTCATGCTAAACGGCTCGGCGTGCGTCACGGTGTATCGGGCGACGTCGTTCTTCCGACGATTAATAATAACAATAATTAACGATCACGTCCCACCGACACCCGTCACGTCTGACATCTCCCAAGGACTCGCTCGCTCGCGCGATGCGCTGCAGCCCTGAGGCCCGAGAAGTTACTTGCAATACAGTAACGCGGGGCGCTCTGTCGGCGTCTCGCGGATGTTGGTGTGTGTGTGTTGGTCAAAATGGAGCGCGCACGCGCGAGCAGTGCGTGCGGGAGATATGCTCACCGTATGTTCCAAGGTTGCCCAGCGAGACCATTTGAATCCCAGAGAACATTATGTCGTCTTAAAGACATCTTAAAGACGTCTTAGGACTTGTGTTAAAGACGTCTTTAAGACGTCTTCGAGGCATGTATTATGGGCATATCGACTGATCTCTTTCGCAGGGTCGTATTTTCGATATTACGCAATTTCTGGTTTTTGTACTTAGACCGCGGTCAAGCGGACGTCGAAGAGTTATTTCCTCTTCTATAGGAATGAGAACTAAAAGCTTCTCTTGGAAGTCGTGATTACTATCTTTCAGGACTCCCAGTATGCTGATATCGGTGATCCTTTGGCTCTGACACTTAATTTCTTCTTGCAATGTGTACGTAATATATTTGTACACACATAATAATACAAATCCCTTTCTAAAAGAGATATGTTAACAGTGCAAATTTCGTTAATATCGAACAGTTGAGGCCTCTTTTCCACGACGCCGATTAGTTTTCCCGAAGTGCGGTGTGCTTCACTTCTCTTTTAGATTCATAGTAAATGAAGATTTGCAATTTAGAAATATATACATTTGTATACACTAACTATATTGAGGTAAAATCTCTAATCCTAGTAACTAGAATTTAAGTAACAACGATTTTTGTTCCGATACAATTTCTCAATTGAACAGAATTAGTCGTTAATTGAATCAATGCCAATAAGTCCGCGGAATGATACGCAAAACGTATAGTAACAGTCACGGAACAGAGTATTGTAAAATATTAAGTACAGAATTTTCAATTTCGTAGGCGGGACAACGAATTCTCAATGTTCGTTGTTGTTTTTCTATCGGCGCGGTGACGTACGATGTTTGCGTGCCATTGTGTACCTGAAGGTCGCCGCGTTCTCAGTCGCTCGCCGAACGTCGAGCCGGCAAGCATTAATTAATGAATCTTTTGTGTTTGATAAGCAATTCCTTGAAAGTAAATCGATACTCTAAGCTGTCAGTAATGTGACAGTTCACATTATGTTGGCTGAATCGTTGTATTGTTAATGCATTGAAAAATGAAAAACAGAACTATATAATTATGAAAGAATATAGATATAAATATTGCAGTCTGATGATACAGAGAAGTCAGGAACAGGTTCGGGGGATAAGTTAAGAATAAATACGTACGAACACGTCTCTGATCTTCATTAATAAAGTACTAAAACTATTTAGTATTGTTAGTAGTTTACAGTCATCTGGTAATACAAAAGATAAGCAACCATAAAAATATATATTTATAAAATATGATCAACTATTTATACACTGGAACTTTTCTGATTAGATCCAATTTAACATACACCTTTACATATATTGTAATAAAAAAAATATATTTCGTAATTTGTTACAAATATTCGCAGCAACAGGAAAAACGAACTTAAATTAATTTCTCAGGTGTTTAAGAAAGAATAGATTGAACCGATTAGACTAGACCTTCATTTATAAATAATGTATTAAACATTTTCGAATATTCTTTAAGTATTCTTCACGTAAATCGCAATGCTATGAAGCGATTTCCAACATTTCCTCCACGTCAACTATTTTCTCCCGCACTTTCTCTCGCTGCCTACCGCGCTCTTGTTCAATGAGATCAATCCTCTGCCAGTCTTCGTAAGATACAGTTTGGATCCCCTTCATTTTTAAGATATCGCTCAGACCTGCCCAGCCCAGACTCATTTCCGTCGTGTTCGACGACATCAAATCGTTTTGTATCAATCTAGCGACTTGAAACGCGTTTGCCATGGTCGTCAAGAGGACGCCGGTTGGGCCAGTTGCTGCCCACCCTGCTACGTAAAGGTTTCCTTCAACTTTACCATTAATGTTCTCCACGCACCCTTTCTCGAAGTTAAACGGTACCGAGTCATCTATTTGAACGGCCTTATAACCGATGCTGCGCAAACCCAGACCGCATGGGATCACCTCAAATTCACCGGTCATCTCGGCTACCTGATTTTGTATCGTCTCTCCTCGCAAATGATTGATGGCAAATTTGATGCTCTCCAATTCGCTGTCACCCTGAAACTCGACGGGACTGCGGAGGAAGATTGGATGCAGCTCTTTAGCGTGCATCGAGTCGGAGTTGAGTTCTCCCAAAGATTTCAGCATAAGCTCCAATTGTCGTTTCCGAGGTCTGTCTAAAGTCGGGGCAACCGTCTGTATGTTTTCGAAGTCTTGCTTTCGCCAGGAAGTCTTGCAGCTCTCCAACTTGAGAATCTCGCGCAGTTCCGCGGTTGTGAATGCAGCTTGCAAGGGTCCTCTTCGCCCGACCATGAAGACTTTTCGTACTTTACTGTGACATAAAGCTTCCAAGGCGTAGGATGTAATATCGGTTCTCTAAAATGACCAAGAAATGTTTGAATTAACAAATTTGTAAAAAATACTTTTGAAGCATAATTCAATCTTTAAAAACTCTTATGTGTCATTTTGTAGTGTCGTCCATATTACTGGTAGACAATTTTTTATTTAAAAGAAAATGCTAGTTGGAGACTAGGTACCACCTTGAGCTTGTCGATTGGTGTCAAAAGAATCCTTGCAACATCTATGGCCACATTGCCTTGACCTATGACAACTGCTTCCTCTATATCCAAATTAATCTTCAGATTTTTATCTTCCGGCACCCCATTGTACCAACCAACAAAGTTTCGGGCTGATATCACATTGTTTAAACTTTCCCCAGGTATATTAAGCAATCGGTCAAATTGAGCACCGTAAGCCTAGAAGAAAAAAAAATTAAGAATTAATAATTAAACAGAAATTCATCACACGCTCATTGAAATAATTAGATACGAGAAATGATTACTTGCTACTAATAAGTTAAAAACTAACTATTATAACATTTATTTCATCGAGGTATACAATAAAGAAGAAACATGCAAGAGCCTAAAATATACTTCCTAGAAATTTATAATCTCGATACTTTCAATGTCCGAAATATTTGAATGGTTTTCAATTATAAAAATTAATCTTTCTCTCTCTTTATATCTTATTTGAACATTATACAAAATAATGTATAATCTAATATAAATCTGTAATAATTAAAACAACTGATTTCATAGATAGATATGAATTAAAAAAGTGAAAGTGTTAATTACGTGCTTTTCGCGCGACAGTATAACTGATTCGGAATACCAGATACACACCAGCAACACGGCATCATAGTTGTCTCGCAGGTCTTTGATGCTAACGTCCGTGCCAACTTTAACATTGCCTATGAATTGAACGCGTGGACTGGTCGCGACTTTGTGAAACTTATTGAGGACGTTCTTCACTTCCGGATGATCCGGGGCAACTCCGTAACGTATCAGACCAAAGGGGATTGGTAGTTTATCCAGTATGTCAATTCTCACGGTGCTCGAGTCCTGTCAAGCAATTTCGCGCAAGTTCATCTTCGTTTCCTTATTTCGCGTGGGATACTTATAGCAATTATCTAATAGACAATCGTTACAAACAGCTTATAACATTAGAGAACCTACAGTGTCTTCAGAGAAATTATAAGACTAAAGCTATCGTTAGTTATGATGTGATTATTACCTTCAGCAAACGTTGAGTCGCGTAAAAGCCCGCTGGACCCGCGCCGACAATGCAGACCTGAGGTGTGCGTTGTACAGTACATAGTGAACGGGTGGAACTCTTGAGAACGTTGAATCTCATCTTTATGTACGGCGATGTCGATCTAAAACGTGACACTGAGTTTTGCACCGTACTGACGTTTCAAAAAAAGTCGTTGAGCCTTCGCACCACGCTCGTGGTCAGTCGCATAAATAGTCCTCGTGAAAATGTCCTTTTCTCGGGGGGGAGACGGAATCGTGATTGTTGTTCTATGTATTAATTACCACTCCAAAATATCGCCTACCCCAATTATTATAAAACAAGCACGTTTCCACAAATGCCTTGGATCTGAAAGTATTATATTTATTAGACTTATTTGCGCCGTTTGCGTAAAATGATCGAAAAATAAAAATCAAACGAAAGTTTGAGTTAGTGTTACTACGACAAACTGTAGCAAAATTGATGACAATTTTTTTATATCATAAATAACTTTGCTTTCTGCTGGTGTTTATACTTGAAGATACGAGATTTTCACATTCTTCTAAAATGTACAATACAAAATTTCGTTTTGGCAGACTGTTTGAAATTATAATTTATAAAATGTAAGATGTGTGGTTCTTTTTCGAAATGAATTCTTACAATCTCTAATAGTTATAGCACAAACACATAATTACCATTTTTTTATGTTTTATCTTCTCACTCATGCAGTCTATTTCCTATTTATGACCCTTTTACATTGCGTATTTTACAAAGCCCACATATATACATATACAGGGTGTCTGAGACCACCCGTACGCCTCTTTTATTTCGGGAAAAGAGCATTTTGGAGAAAAATATTTCAAAGTTGTATGGTTTTGAGGGGGCCATAAGATGGTACCATTGGTTTGACCTTGAATAGTTGCTTGAAGGTCACCTTCAATTTTTCAAATGGAACCCCCTATTGTTTATTATACTATCTTATTCTACTGTAAATTTTGTGTATGTTACAATACACAAAAATTTTCAATTATTGGATGTATTACACACACACACACACACACACAAACATACACACACATATATGTATATATTACACAAAGTATTGTAAGAAAATATTTATAGATTCATATTTATCATTCACAAACTAGTTGTAATTATATATGCATATACATAACTACAGTTATTTATAATTTTATGCACAAACGTTTATCAACTATATAATTCCCACAGATTTGCTACAGCTTCTTACTGTCCTATCGTATCGATAGCATGACGAGCGTACAGTTTGATCATCAGGTGATTAAGTAGCATCATCACAGGGAACTGGTCGTATTCTAGAAAGAAAATGCGCCGTCAAAGGTCTACCGAGCGTAGAGCAATAGATGCATTTTTTATGCGAGCAACAATATTCTTTGTTAAAGATTGAATGGTTTTCCGTTGACAAAGACATTTAATCATTGTCAAATAAGTTATGGATCCATCGATATATCCATTTTGATCGAATCCAACTCGACGGAGTTATGGAAACTGAAAACCTCACCAAAGGACTGCGACTAAATGTTAAATCCAAATTTATTATACGCATATGTATATCAATCTTTTAGAAAGAATTGTATAACAAATACAAATAAAGAAAACATAATTATTTTAATTTTTTACAAAAAAATATTGTTGTGCTCGCCAAAATGTTCGCTTATCGCCAAAATACCTCGCATAAAACTTAACGAGGATATATATGTATGAAATACGTTATCAAAATGGGTAAAATCAACGTCGTCTCATTTACGCGTTCGTAAATCTTACCATATAAGACTGTCACAGGTATTATCGACCAAACTGCCATATTTTTTTGGCGTGCGTTACACGATGCGGTCAGAATTTCACGAAAATGATTCAATACTTTCTCGTTGCGCCGATAACTCTCCAATTTAAGACGATAGCCTTCTTTATCATGAACCTCCACGATAATCTTCTTAAAGAAATTTCCCAAGAGGTATAGGAGACCGATATTTAACTGCGTTAGCAGAGAGTAACCGACGAAAATGAGTGTTTGCTCGGATTGGAGCTTCTCTAGTCGGTCGTAAATTTCGGCAATTGTCCGATGACTGTCATAATTCTGAACGAATTGGAAATTTATTATCTCGTGACTCGGATCGATCTGCTCACTCGTAACTTCTGCTGGTGGAAAGCAGACGGTGGTGTGCATAGCTTGCATCACGTTATCGATATTGATTAGTATTTGCAGAACTCTCGAGTCGCAAAAGCGCGAACTGCGTACTTTGTCAAACATCTTTCCCGTTTGTATCTCTACATCTTCCGGTGATGCTTGCAGGTGCCACTATAAAAGTAAAATTGTCACGTTGTAAATGCGATCTGTACTCAGAATACACAGTAAAAATTTCATTCTTTTGACTGCAATAACATATAAGTTTCTACGAACAAATTACTTTGCAACAAACGTTATTATAAAATTAAAATATTATGCCTCTTTCAGTTCTTCGGTGTTAATTCTTCATTCTTATTTTTCACTCGAGAGAGAATGCAATTCATGATTATTTTATGAAAAACGCAATCTCTTCAAGTTGTGTTTAACTAAAAGTTACAATATACATACGCTTTTTATGATTTATCAAGACTGACATTGAACACAGTTGAAAAATTTGCTTACAACGTAAGATTTTTCCGTCGGCCATTCGATCTCTCTCACGTTGCACCATATCAGCAACAAGCGCTCTCGCGGCTCTAAGTCTTGGTTCTTGCAGCGATCATTGTAGGAGTCGTCGTCGTGCAACTTTTTATTTATAAAATGATTGTTGCTCTTCTCGATTAGCTCTCGGCCGACAATATTGTCCGCGGGATCTATTTTATCTAATCTGCAGTCCTTGAGATATTTGGCAGTGATCATGTGCTTGAACATCATGGAGAGAAAATCCAAAGGAGACTTCCTGAAAAACGTTCTTATGTTATCCGTTATGACTCTGCACTGATGGAACTTGAAGAATTGGCTGCACTGCTCGATCCTCTGTAAAAAATCGTCCGGAATATCCCGCAGGCGGAACATCGCGTTCGCGGGCGGCACGTTGTCATAATAACGCTCGAGCACGGGCAGGTAGGCCGCCAGGTAATCTCTGCCCTTGAAATCCATGCAGACGACGTACATCTCCGAGTTGCCGCCTTTACTGCTCACCGGTTTCGTCACGCTGACCTGCCGGAAGGCGCAGGACAGCAGATACATGAGGCACACGGACTGGTGCTCGAACAGGGTGAAGAGCTTGAGCAGGAAGTTACCGCCCTTCTGCAGGAGGCGCATGCAGGCCACTGCCTCGCACAGATGCAACTGCGCCACGGTGCTCTCCTGCTCGCCGGGCATGCCCGTGCAGTCTACACTGCCGTCCGCGGTTACCAGCAGAACCGGTCCCCCGCCATCGAGGGACTTTGATCTCTCCACCAGAGCGTCCAAGTTCCTCACACTCATGATATCGCCCGTGTTGTCGTCGCCGAAGCACCAATGCTTGAGAGTATGCCTGATGAACCTGTCGTCCGCGACCATTCTGTCGTACGAGTTTCCTTCGCAATAGGGATTCAGAGTGGTGGCCAGCCAGTTCCACCGCACGTCAGGCGCGTTCGTCTTCAACCAGTGGTTCAGGGCGGCCACGAACGCGCCCGGCGCCTCGCAGAGGTGCACGGAGCTGAAGCCCTTGTCGCCGAGCTCGCGGCGGATCTCGTTCAACGGCACCAGGGAGAAGTTGCAAGCGATCTCGTAGAACTTGCACCACGCCTGGGTCACCAGTTCCGCCTGCACTTTACACTTCACCTCGTACACGATGTCGCTCGAGGCGTTCATCCGGCACGTGTGCTGCTGCCACTTGCCGATACTGAAGTCATTCAGGCGACTCTTCACGTCGTTCAGCTTCTCCTTTATCCTCTGCAGTCGCTCCAACTGCCACGGCGCTTCCACGAACATAGACTCTGGCTCGGGCAACGCGTACGTCTGCGCATCCGAGATCGCAAAGTGTTTCTCAAAAATCGACATCTTGGATGACAGAATTGTGCTCTCGTCGTACTTATCTCGCATTGACTTTGGCTGCCTCGGAGGAAATACTGCCCCATCGTCCTCCCTCTCCATTGTCGCGTGTAATAATACAATTCAAAATCACCTGCGCACCTCCGAGCCACTCTTATCTTTTGCGCGCAGTCGTATCAGTTCTTACGATTCGTTCAGTATTCTTCTTGCTAGCAGTTAGCATCCCCTGTCATTGTCTCGCATCGCGCCTGAAAGTTACGGTTGTCTCGCGTCAGGATAGATAGCATCTCGTTATATAACATAATACATCTTACCACACACACACACACACATACACACATACACATACGTTTTTGTTAAAACATTTTACAACACGAAACTAATTCCCATAGAAGTAGCCGTTGCTTAGACGGCTTAGACATGAAATCTATGCGATAGAATTGTGCAACGACGAAGTATAAGCTTCACAAAGCTGCGATAGGAGCAAATTTAGAATGCAATGTAACGATAGGGCTGACAATAGGATATTAGTGCGGGCAGTGTAAACGGCTAATGCATTTAATAGTGCGTTGTTCCTCCCAATTAGACCCCTTGCACCTTCGATCCCGAAAATAAAAAGACCCCGTTTCGCCCGCGCCTCCCGCATTTTGTCCCCGCCGCTCTACCGCCCGCTCCGCTCGAGGCTACGCGTGTGTCTCGCAAGAAGCGCGCCTCGAAGTTCTCGCGCGAGATCGCCAGTTAACAAACGCACTCGGTGAGTTGACAAGGGCGAGTCTCATCGAGATTGCTGCTGGAACACCGAGCGTGGGCGTCTCAACCGATTTCCAAGCTTTCGATTTTGAGGTTAGGCCCGCGCCCGGCATCGTCGCAAGAAGAGAAGATACGAACTCACCCCTCCCCGTGTTAAGCTCGTATCGCCACTGAATTTCGCCGATTTCCCGACGCTTCTTTCCTCAGCCGCTGGTGCGAACCGGTAACGTTAACGAACCAAACGGGACAAACAGATGGTTCCCTTCTCATTCCGCTCGTCGTACGCAACAATCATTTGTGTTTACGTCAATCCATGTTTATCTGCGTCATCCTCCTTTTCGTTCTCTTTGCAGAGAATATCCGAAGTCTCCCCGCACTCGGCAGCAAAGATGGACAGAAAGGGAGAGGAGAGGAGAGGAGAGGAGAGATTGGCAGCGCTACGGCGGCGGCTGCGGCACTGCAAAACTGAAACAGGACACGTGAAATGTTCAAATTTAGGCGCGCACAACGCAGCAGGTCTCCGAGCGGTTATATTTAGGTAATTTATGCTATTTGCATTATTTAAAATTGCATAAACGAACAGTCAGGAGATAAGAAAATAATTTGGTCAATGGAAAATAAGATAGATGTGCAGTATAACGCCCTCACCTTGGATTTTTCTAAACTTCTCAGAATTGGTGGGTTTTTATGCGTAAAATATATTCTGAGAACATAGTACCAGCATATTCTTGACACCAGTAAAAAAAATTCTGTATCATTTTTCCTCACGATAAACAGTTATCAAGATATCGTACGATAAATATTGAAAAAGTTGCCAAGTTTTCTTTATTTAAAAAAATATTAGACAAATAAAAAGTGTTTCAGGCAAAAGTTGTTCCAATTAATTAATAGAAAAAGATGGTATAATAAAAAATGCAGGTTTTCATTTTTTAAAATTCAAGATGACCCTCGTGTAATCTTCAAACGACTATCCAAGGTCAAGCCAATGTTACCATGTTATGTCCCCCTTGAAACCATACAACTTTTGTCTCAAACATGTGTTTCTAAAATGCATAGTTTTCGAGAAATTTAGGGGGTTTCCATACTTTTTCCTTACCCTGTGTACAATAATAGGAATGGCAGAGTTGTGTCGTGAATTTTATTCAGATCTACGTGGACCGTTTCTGTACATTCTGTACATCATCCACCCTTGAAGAATACCTTGCGAATTCACTGTGCTATCTGGGCTCTGTTATGGGCTAAAATCAAGTAAAGTTTCTTTCCTGTTCAACCGGCTTTCTTTTGTTCTCCAAACTGAAATAGCTTCCTCTAAAAATTGAAAATTTTGGGTGCAGGTAAATTATTATATTAAAAGAAAGACAATCGAAGACCAACATAAATAAATGTACTAACAAAATATTCTGTTTCTCAAAAGAGTACTTTTTTTTTACAAAAATGCTTTAATATAATTAAACGTTATCCTATTATCACAAATTATAAAGGTCAGTTGCAACCCGTAATCTTGAATCAACTCGGGCATTATACAGCAACCGTGCATTAAGGGATTAAGTAACAATAAATTGCATTGTTACTATCGTCAGGTTAGTAACGACTTTAACCAATCATCATCCAGGTTTTCAGATACATGGCTAGGTACACACTCTCTGATATGGGTATTTACTAATGTATACAGATCGTCAGCCACATTCTCTGCGGATTCGCTTGTTGCATTGAAGTTATTTGTAATATCTCCGTCGACTAGTACTTCCGTATTTTCCAGTAATGTATTCGCGCGAAACTTCGCGCCACTTGCTACGTCTGATCGTTCGTCGCCGGTTTTACAATCCGTATTTAAACCGAACTCTGCATTTGCGTCATCAAACGCGTCGAGATTCTTAAACGTATGGTTCGTTACGGTCGGATTCGCGAGACAACCGCCGCGTTCATCTATTTCCATAGTATTCCAAAATTCATCAATATCAAGAACGACACTAGGATTAGTATTCATACTTTCGATGTTGGTGAGCCCAGGCTGCATTCCAACAATGTCGGTCTGTTCGACCCGTTCACTCTTAATGACTTCTTCTTCTTCTTCTTCTTCAAAATCAATGCTTTCAAATTCCGACAGGAGTTCAGACAGCAGCGATTTGTCTCCGGGAGTTACGGGTGGCGTGTAGAGCGAGAGTTCCATCAGCGCCAGTGGGGATTTGTCATCCCCTCCGTCGGGACACGGTTGTCGTTTCTCCTCTTCCTCCCAGTTGCAGGACAAGGCATTTCTCTTGAAGAATACCAGTTCCGCGTAACCGATCGGCCAGGGGCACTGAAACACGAGATGAGCCGTGAGCACAAGTGTGAAGGAAGTGTAGGGAGAGAAAATAAGGAACAAGTTTACTTCTTCCGACTCGCATAACCACGTCGCCTCGTCCAAGTTGATCTGAAACGCCTTGACTCTTCTCGTAACGCCCTTCCTTGAGCACAGTGGACAGAAGTTCTCCATTTTCTAATAATCGCAGCCGTTGGCTTACTGCAAAAGAGACGAGGCTCGTTGAGACGCGGGCAACAATCGTTCGCGCGCGAACTCCGTGATTACAAAGTAAAATATACGTACATTGTGGCCGTAAAATATTGTGACCGATCAGGCGCGACCTGTCAAACACCTCCGGTTTCACATAACCGAGCGAGCATGGCAAAACTGACCAAAAACTGTCTTTTCTTCGTCAGCACGTGCTCTCGAGATGCTCGAGATGCTGAGCGCGACATAACCTGCAAACTGCCGGCATCTCTGCCGTATTATTTCACAGGCAGTTGGAATAACAGTCATAATAAAAGGAAGAAGATATTTCAGCTGGACGAGGTCCGGTACGCGACAGACGCACGAAGAACTGGATGCGTCGAAAATTCCGAGAACCGTATACTTGGTGTTTGACACCTTGATCCTCGTGAAAAAAAGCGTTTCTGCTAGGGCAAGGCTATTCTAGCGGGGATCGAAACCCCGACTCGAGAGGTAATTCGAATCGTCGGTAACTCGGGGAGAATTTAAATACCGCATGCGGATGAAATGTATTAAATTTTCTTTGAGAGAAAAGAAGATCCAGTTGTCAATATATTTCAGAAAATGTGTTCAATATCGTGTTTAGATTCTCAAATAGTAATTTTTGAACACATGTGTTCGCGGTGCGCGCAAAGTATCCCGGTCACCCTGGTGAAAATAAAAATTGGAGCGTAAATCGAACGTAAGGGGAGAGTGACACGTAAACGAAATATGTAGGAAGCGTAATTTGGAACAGCGAAGCGTAAAAGAAGCGTTCGAAGTTTCTTTCACGCTTCGCTGTTCCAATACGCTTCCTACACATTTCGTTTACGCTTCTGTCACTCTCCCCTTACGTGTTCGATTTACGCTCCAAATTCTATTTTCACCAGGGCAGCAAAATGTTAACAGATTGGCAGCAGATTCATCAGAAATCCACACCAAAATCGTAGCCCTCCGTGTCCGCTTTATTAATTTTTATTAATAATTTAAAAACTAAGCCAAAGTTTTGCAAAAAAGAAACGTTGTTTCAGAATCTCATTCTGAATGCACGTAACTTCAAGGATGAAAGATTATTTTGACCCTGTATAGTAAATGTACGCGTAATTATATATAACTGCATATAATTAAATATAATTGTATGCATAAAATATAAAAAAAAAGAGATAAGATAAAACTCTTGCGTTTACGCAAGCCTAATACAGTCTTTTTCTGACATTAAAAATACGTTTACTTAGTCGTCGGATATATTCAAGTCGTTGAGCCCATCCACGAGACATTAGTCGCTGTCGGATCAGCTCTTTCGCCGGCTCACCCCTTATATTAATGCGAGATAAGTTTTAGTTGTGAGAAAGCCTAACGCGAGGTCGCGGCAGCGAGCGGTATTACTAAGACAGCACGGCAAATTTGCAAGGTAATCTTCAAGTTTTCTCTTCCCGTTTGAATTGTATTTCTTTAAGAATACACAAAAGAATACGATAAGAATAATTCGGGAAATTGCATGCACTATAATGGACTCCCGAGGAATATATACTTCAAGACGAACAAGACGATTCTGGCTGGTTCTTTTAACAATTCTTCAGATATTCAGTTTTATAATTCCGTAGGAATTGCTATTCTTTAAGATGAATTTTTTTATGAACTTCACCTTTGTGCTATTTGGAGCGTACATTACATTTGCAGTTCTTGTGTGATCTTTTTAATAACTTTTGTTCGAAAAATTCACGCATCCATAAAGTTATTATCTTTTCCTGTTATTTTACGAAAGTTGTTAAAAGCACCTGTGTCAAAAAACAATTACTTTTTAACCGTACGCGTCTGCAGAATTCACAATCATTACCTCTGCGTTATTTGGGATGACAAATCGACTGCAGAATAAGATCTGCCATCTCGTAAGCATTTAAATAATATAATTCTGCGCGGTCTTTGTCGCCAATCTCCCACTATAATTATCTCGATTCTGTCAGCAAAACACGAGTTTAATGTAGACACAGATGACACCGGATCTGTTCGATATCTGAACAAATGTACCAATCAGTTATTACCGCGGGCGGTCTGTTTACTAGGCGGTCTCATTTTCCTCCATCTTAATAAACGTAACTGTGATTCGATGTGTATAATAAAAGTTCGTTAGATTTATCAGAGTCCCGGGCTGAGAGGACACCGAGAAGTGTTGACGCAGCCGTGCATTTACACAGTGGTAGCCTCTTGAGCGTGTCCCGGAATTGTTGTCCCCCGGAATACCGATGAAAGTGACTTTCTTCATACTTTCTCGCTTCTACCAGCATCTTACGTTACATACACAAGATCAGTTTTCTACCGTCCGTCGCGCATTTCAGACCCACCGTGTTTTCCGCTAATGTAACTGATGTACGAGGATCGTTACATATATATGTGTTATATATATATTGCATTCTTATAAAAATAATACTCTTGCAAAATAACAAGAGTCACTGTTAGATATTACAAGTTGTCGCGTAGCACAGCTAATAAATAAAGAAATAAAAAGAGGCAAGTTTGTGGAAATCTTTAAGAAATGGGAATCTTTGTACGACCGATTCTGGGAATTTCGGATTCCCCGAAGGAGGTAAGATATAATTATTGAGATAAAATTGCCGTATTGAAGACTCGGAGAGATACCTCTTGGAAATATTTCATTGAAGATATAGTGAAATTTTGCTGCGATGTGTTTGAAAATCTCCCTCAATTGACTCCGTTTCATTGTAATCTCATTAATATTTCTGTAAAAATTCAAGGAGAAATTATTTCAAAATCTTTTTACTAAAAAGTGACACAGCCCAACAAACACCAAAGTAACAGTTACATAACGTCAATATAAATGTCATATAACACATGCCTGCTATATTCCATTTGCATTGATGTTATGTAATTGTTACTTTGGTGTTTGCTGGGAGTTAAATTCAATAAATTGCATATTATTGTTACTTTCCAGCAGTATACTTTAACTTTCCTTACATTCGCGGTATTACATTGAATTTCACAAGGAAAATTACAATTCATTTTCAGATACCTTCAGTAAGTTTTCAATAACTTCTTGCTTGATCGATTTCGTACTTACTTTCGGCAAAGTATTTCTATCACGGTATTCAAGGAGTATAACGTTGATGAGAAAAAAGGGATGAGATTGATGAAGAAAAAGGGATGTATTTTCAATTTAGATGCAGGTAACAGCGAACAACGTGTTGTCTCAAGCGCATCACGTGTCCAGAACGAAACGAGGACAAGCGATCGGCTCCGTTCGGGGATTTCGCGGATGCACAATTTGGATGACGGGACTTTCCGGTGCCGGGAAGACTTCCATCTCCTTTCAGCTTGAAGAATATCTCGTCTCTCAGGTACATCACGACACACTCGACTCGTTGCTCTACATTCGTGGTATTTATTCGACCTTATTTCTGGAAACAGGGGATTCCCGCGTACAGCTTGGACGGCGACAACATGCGCACCGGTCTGAACCGCAATCTCGGCTTCAGCAAAGAAGACCGCGAGGAGAATGTACGTCGCGTTGCTGAGGTCGCGAGACTCTTCGCGGATGCTGGCATCATTGCCCTCTGTAGCTTCGTGTCGCCGTTCGCGGCGGATCGGAAAATAGCACGAGAAATTCACGAGAACGCCAGTCTGCCCTTCTTCGAGGTGTTCGTCGACGCGTCCCTCCAGGTCTGCGAGGCTCGTGACGTCAAGGGGCTCTATAAGAAGGCACGTCAGGGTATCATTAAGAGTTTCACCGGTATCGACCAAAATTATGACATACCTACCGAGCCCGATCTCATCGTTAACACGGAGATGGCGACGGTTCAACAGTCCACCGACATCGTCGTCGACTTTCTCCAGCGCAAACATATTATACCAAAGGTGTACGAATTTAAGCAATCTTTTCTGGAGTTATTCGTGAAGGAGGATAGATTGGACGAGGTCCGGAAGGAGATGGAAACTCTCCCAACTTTGGAAATTGGGAAGATAGACGTGCAATGGTTGCAAGTTCTCGCTGAAGGATGGGCGGCGCCTTTGAAAGGATTTATGAGAGAGAACGAGTATCTTCAAGTAGGTTTAAGCCTATCCTATGCGTTCCAACCGAGGGTAAACCGCTGAGGGCATTGTGCAAAACAAGATAAAATAAGACGAAACAAGATAATAAGATAAACCCACTTGGGGTTAGTAGGCATTGGTGTAGATAATTTTGGTCAGCGGTTTACCCCTCGGTTCCGACTTATAGGCCGGTATTCATAGTCGGGTCTTATTCAAGACCGTCATGAATTTACCTAAAGATGCTGTATGGAACATTTCATTGGCTACGAAGTATCTAAAGATGATCTTAAGACGGTCTTGAATATAAAAAAGAATCCGTATATCGAATACATCGTTTTTGTTTTTAGGTGCAGCATTTCAATTGTCTATATGAAAACGGCGTGCCGATCAATCAATCGATTCCCATTGTTCTTGCTGTGAGCACCGCTGACAAAGAGCGCTGTTTCGAGGCGGCAGCGCTTGTCCTGAGATATCAGGACAAAGATCTCGCCGTCTTGCGCAATCCCGAATTTTATCTCCACCGCAAGGAAGAGCGTTGCTGCCGTCAATTCGGCACAAATAATCCCGGGCATCCCTACGTCAGATTAATCCGTGATTCTGGCGACTGGCTGGTCGGTGGGGATTTGGAAGTGCTCGAAAAGATTAAATGGAATGACGGGCTGGATCACTACAGGCTGACGCCTAGCGAGATCAGGATTAAGTGTCGGGAGATTGGCGCCGACGCCGTTTTCGCTTTCCAACTGCGAAATCCGATACACAACGGACACGCGTTATTGATGCAGGTGGGTGCGCTGACCCTTTGCGAAATTCTTCGCGCGAACGGTAGTGCTCGTTCGTTACTCCTATCATATCTCATTGTACCTCAGGACACCAGGAGACGTCTCGAAGAGTATGGCTTTAAGAAACCAGTACTCCTTCTTCATCCTTTAGGCGGGTGGACTAAAGACGACGACGTCCCCCTGCCGGTCAGAATACAGCAGCACCAGGCAGTCCTCGAGGAGGGTGTCTTGCACGAGGACACTATTCTCGCTATCTTCCCTAGCCCTATGTGTTACGCCGGTCCCACAGAGGTACATATTTCTTCCTACACGTTTTGTTAAACCATGCGTTACGTGCAACACCTGAAATATGTAACGACTGTTAGTGTCCAACTTAAAAAAGGCTCAGCCGCTAATTCGCATCCTTCAGGTGCAGTGGCATGCCAAAGCCCGTATGATCGCAGGAGCCAATTTCTATATCGTCGGAAGAGATCCCGCCGGCGTTCCTCACCCTGATGCATCCGCCACGCCGGACGGCAATCTTTACGACGCCACTCACGGCGCGCGCGTCCTATCACTGGCGCCGGGTTTGCAGAATCTCGAAATTATTCCTTTCAGGGTAGCCGCTTACGACACCAAAGCGAAGAAAATGTCTTTCTTCGAGGCCGAACGGCAGCAGGACTTCGTCTTTATATCCGGTACCAAAATGCGCAGTAAGTTTTTATACTGTTCTTACACATTTTTCTTATCCGTTGGTTTGCATAATTTTATATTATTCTTATTTATGAGTATACGCACGTTTATCTCCACAAGACTTGTAAAAGTATTTGTTCTTTCTTTTTACGTTAGATCTGGCCAAAAATGGTGAAGATCCTCCCGAAAGATTTATGGCGCCGAAAGCATGGAAAATTATCGCGAAATATTACCAAACTGCACACACGTAATCGACAAGCAAACGGAATAAGTAAAGTTTATATATGTACAGTCTTACATAACTGATATTGTATAAAACATTATAGATTTGAATAACGGACAGTAAGATATAATAAAATAAAACAAAGTATACACGTATTGTAAAAATAATGGCACAAATTTTGCATTTTCTTCTAGTCTATTACCTCTGGTATATCTTTATTTATTGCATCGAATGACACGGAAGGACATTTTGTAGCTTAAATATACTCGACAATCAACCGAAGGTTGTCGATAGAAAATATTCTGCCATTATTCCGGTGTATCTGCAATATAATATCCCACTGTTCTTAACTTAATCTTTGTGTCTTATTATGAAAAATAAGTATTTGTTTGAGTAAATTAGATAATAAAAGATACTGTCATCTGCGCTCACCTTCTTCTTCAGAGTCGGAGATTCGGGTAGCCTGAAGTGAGCTTTGTTTCGTTAATGTCCGGACTAGGCCACGTGGTCTTGGCGGCGGCGACTGCTTGTTCCAAAGTGCCTCCAGTTGATCAAAATGTTGAGATTGTGCTAAAGCGGCCTGCTCAGGACCTAGGCCAGGTTGAGAGCCGGCTAGACCTGCTTGGCTGATCTCCTCCATCGACGCGCTCACGCTAAAACGACGCTTCAATCGTTCCTCGATACTCGAGACTATGATACCTGAAGATAAAATGCAACAAATGTTAAGTTAAACCCTTCCTCCGATCTTACATAAACAAGCCTAAGAGATCGATCCCGATCTCCAAATGATATTAGAATTATATAAAAATGATAACCTGATGTAAGATGTCCATACTTTCGCTGCCAGGTATAAGTATCTAAAGACACCTCTTTCTTCAACAACCTCTTGGCGGGTCGCTTTGGTCCTGGTGGTCTCAGATCCCGCGGCGCCACATATGACGGCAATTTGACGTATTGCGCGGGAGTATTATGCAGACATAAAATAGGCATGCACTTGTGCTCCAGCAAATGTACCGCCATCCTGGAGCAATCGGTAGACATTTCAATTCCTAAAACCGGTACGTGTAGCATAATGGAGCTGAGCGGGGTGCCCTTTTTCGTATCCCAGACGATAAGGCTCTTGTCCTCGCTCCCGGAAACGGCCAGAGTACCGTCGCCGGAGAGACGCACGCAGGTCACGTAGCCCAGATGGCCGACGAGAGTATGCAAGTCGGCGCCGGTGTTGATATCCCAGACGATCAAATTGGCGTCCCTGGACCCGGAAACCACTATGGACTTGTCGAGCACTGCGACTGCTACGCAAGTCACATGATCGGTATGACCAACCAATACTTGGGAGAGTTTACCGCCGGCCAGTTGCCAGACTTTCAGGCTCATATCGCGGGAACCGGTGATCAGGTACTGAGAATGCGGCGTTGCTACCAGGCACGTGATATCCTGCGAGTGCGACACCTGATGCTTCTCCTCGGGACCGGCGCCTAGGCTAATTATGCGCACCTGGTTATCGCTAGATCCGCATACCGCATATCTGCAATGATGGATTGGTTGAGCTGAGGCATGTTAGTACGAGCGTGTCTTGAAATACCGAAAGTTTGAAGATATATAGAAATACGAGGAGCGAATGGTGAAACCGGATAAGAAATACTTGGCACAGAGAAGTATAATCAGTCTACTACAAATCCTGTTTCCTCACCTCATATCGGACGCAACAGCGAAACATCGTCCAGGTCCGCAAACGGACTGAATCAATGTACCACTGTCTGCTGCCCAGACCCTGATAGAGCCGGCACGATCTGAGCTGACCACTCTTCTCCCATCCAGCATAGCCGTAACGGCAGTTACCGGTGCCTGATGCCTGAATGTAGCCACGACAAGTCCCAGGGTTAAACCCCACACGCGTACTGTCTTATCCTCGGATCCTAAAGAATTTACGTGATTTATCTAGATACGTTAACAGCGAATAAAGGTCAACTGGCAGAAGAAAAAAAAACATTTCATAAAAGCCCGCACCAGATGCGACAAAGAGTCCTGATGCGGAAAATGCAATGCAGGTGATGCTAGCTATATGTCCTTCCAAGGTGGATAACAATTCGTGAGTGTTGAGCTGCCATAAATTGACTAAGGAATCGACACCACCGGTGACCGCCATGGCGCCATCCCTGGAGATGTCCAAGCAGGATATCGGTGCGGTATGTGGCTGCAGAGAATCCTGTTTCCCGGGTTTCTGCGGTTTCGGCGGTGGTTCCTCACCGCGGAAACTCCAGTAAGTCACGCGACCTCCTCCACCGGTTATCAGAAAATCATCTTTCTCGGTTACCTGCGAGAGATGAAAATGGAAATGGCGTGATCGAAATGGAGTAACGAGGAAAACTCAGTGGTAAAACGTGTTAAAACTAAATAAGAAAAAAGCAGCGTTGAAAAGTAGCGCAATTTTGCGTTCACTCACCTTGACCGAAGTAACGTTTGCCGATGGATTAGCGGGCAAGGTCCTGATCAACTTTCCACTGTGCATATCAAACACGGATACTCTGCCTTCAACACCGCCGGCGATAGCTCTTCTACAATCTTTCGCCAGACAGAGACTCTTAACTGGCCCTTGATGTCCCCTGAGCGTGTGGATATCCGTGCCCGTTGCCAAAGATCTTAGATAGAGCTTCTGATCTTCGCAAGCGGCTAGAAGAAAAACTGAGTCCGCGGACACATCTAACATGATCACCGGAGAAGGTAGAGCAATACTGTTGAGAAGACTGAAGCTTTCCAGGGACCAAAGACACACAGTTCCGTCGACTGAGCCAGAAACCAAGACTTCTCCAGCGGAATCGACTCGAATAGTGGTGACGGGGCCTCGATGATGATCGACCTTCATCAGGACTTCGCCAGTGAGCAAGCTCGTAGCGATAATTCTCGAATCTTCACCACCGCTCACGATAACGGAGTTGTTAAGCGCCGTAGTTAAAGTGAGGATCGGTGCGATATGCTCGCAAATTCGGCGCTTCATAACGAGATCCTTCATGTCCCAGACGATAATGGAGGTGTCCTCGGAGCCGGTCAGCAAATACTGCGACTGATGGGTGATGGCTAAACACGAGATTGGGCTGGAGTGTCCTGGTACGACAAAAACAGGATCTATTAATGATTATTAATGAAAACACACTTGAGGAATCCAGAATGGAGAAGAAAATATTGTTATAATGCAATAATCAGTATCAATTTCTTCCAAACTGTACTTGTCTCTTTACCTTTGAACGTATGAACGAGCTGACCGGACATCACGTGCCATAACTGAGCATCCCCCTGCGGTGGCACGACAACTACATGCTGGCCGGACGGTGCCGCTTCGATCAATTTAACTCCCTGAGGACACGTAATCGCCCGGATCTGCAGTGGCAGAGGCGGTTGTAGCCATCCGTTCAAGGGCACGAGCAAAGGCGCGGTGTAACCGTCGCACCAAGCCATAGCTGCTAAGACCATTCTACTGACCTTTTGAAGAGAAAAAGAGTAAACCTTTCCTGTGAATTAATAGCTTTCCTTATGGAGAGAAAAAGAATAATGAAAAAACAGGACTCACAAGATCACCGCCGTCTTCGGCAACCGGCCTTAACCAGCAGATAAGCTGCGCAGCGAGCTGAAGAGGATCTCTGGTGAGGACGTCGCTGGATTTTCTCACGGCGTAATACACGAGCTCCAAGTCGCGCTCGAGGAGATATCGCCTGGCGTGTTCGAGGACGCATCGCAGATAGCTCACGGAGATCATCTGGGCACTCGCGAGAAGAAAGTCGAACGCGCAGACGGCGAGTTTCTTCAGCTTGTCAACGTCGGAGGCGCGCAGAAGGTGCAGCCAGGCTTCTTCAACGTGACGAAGTGTGTACGTGACATCCTGCGTTTGCGGCGTGCTTTGAAACGGCGTTTCCTTGACGGGTGGCGAAGAGGCTGGATTCTCCGGTGATTTGTCGGAACTGTCGTCGACCTCCTCGGAGAAGAAGAGACCGGCCAACTCCGCGTGGTAACCGCGAGAAACGTCTTGATTGGAGAGATACTTTCTGAGTGCGACCTCGCGACACTGGCCGCGCCAGGAAAACATTAATCGACCGCTCATCACTCGTACCTGAAATAATATTTTGTAAAATAATAATTTAATAATGCAGTACGAATATAATGCGGCACATGGCACGGAAAATGTGGTATTAAAGCGACTATCCGTATCGATCCAACTTACTTTGAGCCACGGCGCAAACGTCCTCCTGACTAAGCACCAAGTCGCAAAGTTAAATTGACTTTCGTCCAAGAGCAAAGGTCCTTCTCCTCCGGTAGGCATAATCAATTCGAGTATTTCTGTCTCCGACAAGCCGTACTCGGTGCAGGCGAGAATCGAGGCGATCCGATTAGCCGCGCCGAGTCCGACGAGGTCCTCCAAACGCTCGAGAACCTCATCGACGCCTGGCGTCGCGCACACCCGCCCGGAAAGATCAACAAGAATGTCGGGGCTACGTAGACGGTCCTTTTGAAGCGGCGTGAGGCGCATTCCCTCGGGCGGGAGCGCGGAAGTGACGACAAAGTGAACACCCGGAGGGAGAGTGAGCGGTAGCCAGGACAGGGCGGCGACGATGTCGCACTCGAGCGGATGAAAGCGATGGAGGTCGTCGAGGAGAATAATTAATTGGTCCGGAAGGGGATGTTCCTCCAAGCGGCGTATAATGAGACTGAACCAATTGTTGAGGTAGAGTGGGTCGAAGGAGGCGTCTCGCGGCAGATTACCGTCGTTGTCCCCGCAAAGAAAGCCGACGTGCTGGCAGAGGATGCGGAGCAGCTCCAGGCTATAGGCGGACCGAGGTGTCGAGGTGCACAGTCGGACGACACGGAGCGTCGGCGTCGAGAGCCAGTCCGGCGAGTCCCGGTAGACGCGCGCAAGGACAGACGATTTTCCAGAGGATTTCGGCCCGTAGATTAGAATCGGCCCGTGCTTGTGCTCCTTGCCTGGAGATTTACACATCAGATCCAATTGCACGACATGTATTCTCACGCCTTTTACACCGTCCTGCAAAGAATACCTGCAAGGATAAGCTGTTTAACTCGCTCCACGGTCTCGTCGCCCGCGTCGGCCAGCGGAATTTCTCGAAGAAGAGCGAAGTGCGCCATACTCTCGGCGTAGACCTCCTGAACCATTTTCTTGCGACTCTTGATCTCCGGGTCAGCTTCGACGGACGCGTTCACCAGCTGCTGGAGCCTGTCCAGTATCAGCTGCCGGAGTCTACCTAGATACTCGTCGTGCGCGTCACAGTCGGCATCGATACCGCCGTCACGGTGCTCCACGTGAAAATTTACAACATTTTCGTGGGGCAAGACGGCCCGGATGCGGGTCTTGAGATCCTCGGCGGCGGCCGCGCACCTCGGCGCGTCGTCGCCCGTCCACTCGCGAATCACGGCCATTATTCCCAAGCCCTGCTGGTCTAGATCTGATAAGAACGTTCCAACGATTATACCGTCGATGAATTATTAGTGCTCCTACACGTGCCGCCGCTGCGTGGCACTTATATCTGCATAGCGATTGAAAGGGGTCTTCGAGGCTCGCTTCAAAATGCTTTTATCGCGTCCAAGAGAACTCGGGGATGAATAATTTCTCCCGATACCGGGATTTTAATCGCCGTACGTCCGGAGATTTGTAATAAATTCGAGCCAGCGGGAGCTAACGCGCGGCTAAAAATATCCTCGAGCACCAATTAAATTTTCTAGCTGGAAACGAATTAGCGCGGCATTAGACGCTGCACAAAGCGGCTCAATTTCCAGACCCTTTACGTGAAAGCCACTTATAACGTGAAACGCGGTGGGTGTGCGAAACACATTCCTTTGCGAACGGCCGTCGCGAACGTTTGACGAGGAGAATAATTTAAACGGCGCACGATGCTTGACCTAGAAGGTCGGGATCTCTATCTATTTTCGGAGGAGAAAGCTCGATAAGTCCACAAATTCAGTCGCGAGTCGCGAAATACGACATGCCCGCAGCGGCGTGCCGTCGCACGAGAGTCGATCAAATATTGACAGCGACGGAGTGACGGTATCCCGATCGGTTATTTATTTACGAGCTCGCAGAAATGTGACGTATCGTACACGAAATGAACATGCCGGAGCAGCGGCGGCCTTAGGCTCATGGCAGAAAACGATCCGTAAACGCTTAAGGCCGACGTCCCATGGAGCGGAATACGCGGAAGCGGAATCAGCGGATCGCCAAAACCGTTTCGACGGAATTTTTTTAAGACTTCTATCAGAATGATCTCCATGGGACGCCACCCCAAGTCTATCTTAGTCGTAGACGTAAAGCAATAGTTTCACGACTTAAATTTTTCTCTGCCTTGCCTTACGATTCGTAAACGCTTAAGCCTGTCTTAGTCGTAGACGTGAGGCTAGGCAGAGAAAAACTTAAGTCGCATACAATAGAGTTTCACGACTCAAGTTTTCCTCTGCCTTGCGTCTACGACTAAGCCAGGCTTAAGCGTTTACGAATCGTTTTCTGCCATCAGCCTTAGAATCGCCTCGACTCCAATGTCTCCCCTAGTAGCACAGTGCATTGGCTAAACGTTGGTCCAATGTCGGTTATATTAGCGATGCATTGGTCGATATTGGTCATGGAATAAATGTAAATATTGCACGCTAATAATTGTACAGTGTCTCATTTTAAATGATCCACGCAAATATCTCCAAAAATATAAAAGACGTGGAAAAACGTTTCAAACAAAAGTTGTTTGGTTCGAAGGGGGACATAAGGCGGTGCCATTGACTTGACCTTGGATAGTCATTTAAAGGTCACGTGAAGGTCACCTTCAATTTTTTTAATGGAACCCCCTATCGTTTATTATACTATCTTATTCTGCTAACTAATGTGACCAACTTTTGTCTGAAACATCTTTAGATTTGCCTAATACTTATCGAGATATTCAAGAGAAAATTTATAGCTTTTTCAACGTTTAGCTTATGATATCTCGATAACTGTTTGTCGGAGGGAAAAGCAGTACGGGACTTTTTTACTTAATTTGATCTCAGAAATATGTTGTTGCAATAGTGTTCCAATTATTGAAAATTTTTGTGTATGTAAATCTTGTGTTACAATACACGAAAATTTTCAATATATTATATTGCAAAAATTATAAGTGCATTGGCCAATATTTAACAACGTGATAAGAATATTTGATACAATATTAGACCAATATTGCTAAATAAGAGAAGACCTGGACCAATATTGGGAATACTAGATTTACATTATCTTCCCAATATCGCGCCGATGCATTGTGCTAACTAGGGTCGGGGACTACGAACAGCCTCGCCACTCACTTAGGCCGTGGTCCAGCTGCCGTTCCGCCGTGCTCTTTAGGATGTATTTCACCTCCTGGTTCTCCGGCTGCTCCGCGATCGCGCGCTCCGCGGCGGCCCTCAGCGCCTGGCGCAGCCCCGGCTCCTGGTCCCGCTGCCATTCCCGCCGCGCGGTCTGCACGCTGTTCACACACGCAGCTTATGACGACTCAAAAAGAAAGGGTCGAAGATACGATCGGGGAGAGGTAGGGAAAAGGGGGGAGAGTAGGTGGAGAGATTCTAAACATCAGCGTTACCTATTTGCATTCAAAACATAAGAGTGCCCATTGTGCTCGTAATGATCTTTAAGAAGAGCGCAGTGCGCGAGAAGCGTTCGGTAGGTAGCCTCTTTCAATTCCGTTGGTACCCACCCTACGGTATAATTTGTTCCCGTCAACAGCTGAAAAGGATAACAAATGGAGAAACGTGTCACTCCTCTGCATTCTCGGGGCGTACCGGGAGGCATGTATATGTGTATATGTGTGTGTATGTGTGTGTGCGCGCGCGTGTGAGTGTGTGTGTGTGTGTATGTCAGAGGGAGGTAAGACAAGAGCGATGCGACGCGACGCGAGAATGCGGCGAGGGCAAATACGCGTGTGATAAGGCGCGCGCGCAAAGGGGTTGTGTGACACGGCGGTATAACCCGTGGCGGCTCACGGGGAACCTCACTCACCCCCGCGAGATGGAATGTACTTTAGCGAGGAATACTACATGCGTGCCGGACCGTCGCATAATGACTCTTACACTGAAAAAAAATGTTCGCTACCGTAGCTAATCATGGTTTGCTGAAAATATTTTGTTGCCATCCCTGGTAGCACAGTGCACTAGTGCATTGGCTAGACATTAGCTAAACATTGGCCCAATGTTGATTACATTAGAAATGCATTGGCCGATATTGTCCAACGTAAAGCCAATGTTGGCCACGAAATAAATGTAAATATTGCGCGATAATAATGATATAATATTAGATTTATGTTGGAAGTGCATTGGCCAATATTTAACAATGTAACAAGAATATTGGTCTAATATTGATACAAGATTAGCGAGAAACGACTCGTCGATCGATGTCGAAACGATTTCGAATCGGCGTCGTATCGACGAATCATTTCCCACTGGGATCTTACAATATCGGACCGACATTGGGAATACTGGATTTACATTATTTCCCAATATCGCGCCAATATATTATTGCGCTACCAGGGACAACTATAAATTTCTAAAGCGCAGCAAACGGTTTGCCGTCGCGTCTAAATACAATAGGCACAGTAACAAAATATTTGGCTATCGCAACTAAATATTAGCTGTCCATATTTTGCAACTAAAATTTAGTTACCACATGTGGCTTTTAGTTAAGGCAGCTACGCTTTCTTTTCCGTGTAATTCCATGATGAGAGACGAGAAGTGTGGTACGCCGGGTAAACAGCGTCGCGGGCGTTCCTTACCAGGAGGAAGCATCCCCTGGAGTGTCGGTGGGACGCGCTTATCTCCTCCAGGAAGTATTCCGCCAGGTGCGGATCGGCGTCCGGGTCGTCGCCGCACCCGTACTGCATGTCCACCAGCAGCACCTGCGCAGGACGAAGCAGACACTTGGCACGCGGCTACGATGAAGAATAAGGTAAGGTGAAAATCGGCGCTTAGCACTGACCTCGATCCCCATATCGTCGTAAATTGACTGCAGCTCCGGGCCGACCGCCTCCAGCAGCTGCTTGCGCTCCTCCGGGAAGTCTAGCCGGCAAAATTGGCCGAATGTGAATTCGATTTCGCGCTAATAGAAGCACTCTCGTTCTCCGTCCCTCTTCCCGATCTCCCTACGCCTACGTGTTGCCTCACGTGCGCGTGACGTCACCGCGATTGAATTTTGCTTATTACGCGGAGTATAACGAGGTGCAGCGGAGCAATATCCCCCGCTGGATTCTATCGGGAGCCGGAAGTGTGTCGCGCGGACGTTCGGCAAAACGCTGCGCTTCGTTCAACGGAGCGTCCCTACCGAGGGGGGAAATCGCTGGCCAAAATCTTGTACACCTGATGCCCAGTGGGCATTACTTTACCCAGAGAACGTTATGTCGTCTTAAAGACATATGTCTCATACAAATCTCATTATTCTAATTTCACAAACTTTTCTACTTTTAACAGCTTTCAAAAATTATCTTAGCAAATGTCACAGACGCTTTAAACAAATGTATTAAGTGAAACTTCAAAGGTAACATAAACACTATTTGACATACAATCATTATTTTATATTTTTATAAGACGTCACGAAGACATCTTTTTGACAATGTCTTAAGACTCTTTTTCTTCTTACGTTTTATAGACGTCGTTTAGACTTAAACATGTCTCTAAGACGTCGTTCAGACATGCATGTTGTCTGGGTTGCCTGGGTATCTTACTTTATCTTTACAATGCCCAGACTAATGTCCAAAATGCCTAGCAACGCGCAGTAATGCCGCAAGTCTGTAGGCCACGATGTCCCCAGTGGTTTTCCCCCCCTCGGTCCCTGCGGACGGGCACACACTTACCATCCCTCTCGCCGGCGATGAATATCTTGATGAGCCTCGGCGCCGGCAGATGAGCGGGGGGCGGGCCGCCCTTGACGACCCCCGCGATCAGCTCCACCTCGAGATTCATGCCTTCGCCGCGGGGATCCGCGCGTGTACGAGATGACGATCGCGTCCTTCGCTCAGGCGACGGTCATCGCGCGGGATCCTCACGCGTTCGACGGCGGGACCGCGCGAGCAGACGCCATCTCGCTCCGAAATTAAGTTAATTCTCTCCCTCTCTCGCAACGTTACGTTGCCTATCGCCGGCCCTCGCCGACACACCGGTCTCTTCGGAGACTTGGATTCTTCTTAAGGACACTACTACATGTATATATAATATATTTCTTTTCTCTCTCTCTCTCTTTAAAGTTACTTAGTTCCCTGTAGAGAATGCGTATCCTTAAAATCGTAAAATCTCTTCTCGGACGTTTCGATTACAAGCTCACCCGATTGCCTCTCGCCCCTGCCGTACGTGCGCGTGGACCTCGTACGGCCTCACCTTCTCTCTCGGACCCTCCGACGTGCTCCCTCGAGGATCTCAAAATCCCGTGGGATCTCGGAGTCGTCCGTCTGTCCGTCCGTCTCGAGTCGGCGCGGATCTCTCGGAGATGCCGGCCGCTCACCGATTTTTTGGTTATTGCCCGCTCAAGGTACTCGTGTTGCTCGATATATGTATGTATACTTTTGATCGATCCGGCGATCAGTAGTCAATTTTTATATATATATATATATTATATATAATATACAATGATCTCGACGCTCTCAACAAATGATATATAGAGATTGTGATTTCTTCTTTTGATCTATACTTTTGGGTGTATATATATATGTATATCTGTGTATATATATAGCTGCTCTTACGTGTATATATATATCTATCTATTATAATCTACTTATGTCTTAATTCGGTGACTACCTAAGAAACTACGATTGTCTTCGCCTCCGGGACGCAGCGAGCGTTACATCGGTCCGTCAATCGCTGCTAGGTGGCGCCCACGCATGCCTGGCGGGCTCATCGATTATCAAGCGACATAAGATCGACCGCGCGATCTCGATCGCCCAGCCGCCCCCTCGGTCAGTCCGCGGCTGTCCCGAGCGCGCTCATTGGTCGTTGGCCCGCGCTGAGCCGCGGCGGGCGGACACGGCGGCGTCGAGGGCTCGTGGGCGAGTGTCGTGGGCCTCTGCTGTGCCGCGGCGGTTCTTACGTTCCCATTTTACGCCGGGCGAGGACCGTCTGCAAGAGGAGAACTCGGGAGACACGCCGGATCGTCGCCGACGGGGCGGTCGAGTCCGTCCCGTCCGCGCGCGACGCGAGGGCGCGACAACGGGTGGAGGAGGAGAAGGAGGGGGCCGCCACCCCCTCCGGCGACGGGGGAGGAGGTTGAGGAGGAGGAGGAGGAGGAGGCCGGAGAGAGTTCCGGCGACTTTCGCGCGAGCGCGCGAGCGAGCGGCGAGGAACCGCGCGGAATCGATCGGGCGTTTTCTCCCCGTCGAATTTGGGCCGCACGCGCGCGCGCGCTTTTTACGCACGAGCGTTTTGAGCGCTCTCTCTCTCTTTCGTGCGTCTGTCTGTCTGTCTCTGTCTTTCCGATGCGTATCGATCTCTTCTCTCTCTGTCTCTCCTGCTTTTCCTCTTCCGCCCCGGTCGGCAATCGACGCTGCCGCGCGTTTCACGGGAGAAGACGCTCGTCCGGGGGGAGCCCGAAAATTTACGGTTTCGCAGCCAGAGACGCAAAACCGACAGAATATACGCGTGTCGCGCGCGACGCTACGCACGGCGAGCGAGCGGGCGCGGGGCTCGGCGCGTGAACTTTTGACCCGTCCCAACACGTGGCTGAACCCGCGCCGCCCGCTATTGTACTCCCAGGGGGGGATGTCGACGTTATCTCGGCGGAATCGCGTCGGAAGCCCGCGTCGGAAAACGGCCCCGCGTATCGCGAGGCAGGTGGGAGGGGGAGGGAATGGAGCATAGAATTCAGCCCCGCGAGATAAGAGGCGCGAGGCGCAACAGTGCCCCACAATGGGAGCACGCGGGCGCGCGCGCGCGCGCTCGGAATCGGGCGGGAGATGCGGGACCGCCCGGCGGCGGAGGTTCTCGGGTCGCGCGGGACCGAATTGAACCCCCGCGGCCCCGCCGCGAGACGATTGACGACGGTGCGTCGTTAATAATCGCGGGAGTGCGACGCGCCGAGATGACCGGGCGGGGCGACGGCGGGGGGGGGGGAGAGAGAGAGAGAAAAACATGGATTCCCACTCTGATTACGTCGGTCCCGGAAAGGGGTAAACGCGCGTCGCACGCCGGCGACGCGACGGGGTGAACGCCGGTTTTCCGCGAAGAGATCGCGAATTGATCCGACGTTATTTCCCCCCCCCCCCTCCACGTCCGTTTCCCAGGAGGAAGTGTGACTCGTCGTTCCGAGGCGAGATCGAGACGACGTCGTCACGACGAATGAATTTGCCCCGGTGCCGGGCAGCTCGCGGCGCGAAAGCGGGAAACTGTGCCGCGTGTGGTACGTTCGGCAAATGTTTGCCGTCCCCCGGGCACTCGGCGGACACGGTAAACAAGCCTCGCGCCGCCGAGTATGTCGAGTGCAATTATCGCGTCGTCATTAGGTCAACCGTGCGAAACGGCTGGTCGCGCGGGAGGGGGGGGGAGAGAGAGAGAGAGAGAGAGAGAGAGAGAGAGAGAGAGAGAGAGAGAGAAGCCCGTCTGTTACGGACATGCGGACGCGGGTCGCGCGGGTTGAGGGTTTAGGAAAAGATCCCGATGCTCTCTCTCCTTCTCGATACGGGGGTTAATAGCAAAACGGGGAAGGGGGAAGAGGGGTGCTAACCGAACCGAAAACGACCGTGGGGATGCGGTATTGTTATTACGAAAATAGGAGAGGAGAGTATCCGCGGGAGGCGACGATAAGGTGATAAAAATAGAAGGGTACCCATCTCCTAGAGGAGTGTCGCTAAACATAGTCCTCTAACCGGAGCTGACCAATTAACCTTCCGCCAACGCTCGAGCCGTCCCGTATTTGTTTACAAAGTTTTGCACCGCAGAATACGTGAACCGTGGTATAGAATTTTCCCGGCAAATGCCATTTGCAATTAGCTTCCTTTTTCAACGGCGGCGTTTAATTTGTCCGACGCGGACAAATCGTTTTCCACGCGGAGAAAGAAAGAAAAAGGGGGGGGGGAAAGAGGAAGAATTCGAGAAACGCGCGAGGATTCGACGTGGACGAGTTGGAATATTTCAACCGTTTCGCGAATTCGCGAACGCAACGCCCCGCGCCTCTCCCTTATCATTTGGACCACATTTGGCACGCACGATAATTGCCTCCATCTTTCGCGAATTAATTCGCGCCCGCGACACACATTCAACTCGGGGTCTCCGCCGTTGAAGATCGGCGGAAAATCGCGCCGTCCCCGTCGATCGAATCGGCAATAAACGTCACCGTTAAATCCGGGGAAACACGAACGCATTCCCGAAATACGAATTTATTAAACATAAGACGTCACGCTCCTCCCCTCCCCACCCCACCCCACCTCCCCCTCGCCTACCCCCCCGAAAAACCAGTCTTCCTCCCCCGTCGCTTTTCCCTCCCACGTTGACGTTCTATTTGAATCTCGGCGAAAATTCCATTCTGCGTTTTATCAGCCACCGATCGACCGTCAAACGAGAGGCTGCCGCCACCCGCGGAGAGGATGACCCCCCCCCCCCCGAAGAAGGGATGGAAAAATCGCGGTGCGGATCTCGCGCCGTCCGCCCGGTCGATGCGGGACTCGCGGGAAAAAAAAGGGGAGGGGATCCAGTCAAAACAAGGCTTACCAGGTCGTCGGGCAGCTATTGTGACGAAGGCCTTCACCTGCTCGCGCGGACGACGGCACCACTACTGATAACGCAGTCAAGCGGCCGACGCCTCCGGAGCGCCGAACGCCCGGCGCCGACGCCGTCGCCTCCAACGTCGACGTCGACGCCGACGCCGGCGACGACGACGACGCTGACGACGACGACGACGACGACGCCGACGCCGATATCGCCAAGCCGGAGGAGGGGTGGGTTACGATACGTCGATGTTATCTGCGTAACGATACAGATTTACATCTATTACAATACCTAATTTCTCTCCGTATATACGCGTACACGTACGGGACGAAAATGAAACTTGCGACTTTGTTTCAGGGGTAAATGAGGAAAACGTGGACGTTAATCCGGTAGCTGGTGGATGGCGGACTTAGAGATCGAGGCGTTCTGGTAACATACAGTTTGATAGTTTATAAAAATCGAGCGGTATACACGGGTTGGGGGGATCGTTAAAAGATGTAACAACGAATGTACAATTACTTCCCGTATAATTATATATATATGTGTGTATGTATATATATAATTATTAAATAATAGACTAAATCGTCACGCGCTGTTCTTGCCTTCGGCGAGTCGTAAAATGGCGAGAAAAGAACCGCGCCGAGTAATCCCAGTTTTGGCAGCATGACAAAGTACGTGCGGGGCGATTATCTTACAATATTCACTTGTTTATTTCTTATAACACTTGCTAGTGCTATGGTTCATTCATTATTTATTCATTTTGTTATAGAGTCCTTTATAGGCGAGTTACTCCACGCCCCCGACGATCGCTTCGTATTTTACAGTTGGCGCGAAATCGTTCTCTGTCTTTCCCTATATACTTTTTTTTTACAATTACCTCAATTGCAACAACATTTTAATTGCAACGTTCGTCGACCGTTCGAAATTATCGCTACGACCTCGCCCACCGCGAGGCCTTAATTTTACAATGCGAATTAACAACGTCATCGTTTAAGGTATGACATAGCGATTGATAATATAGTTTTTCAGTTTTGTTACTATCTCCCTTCTGTTTGTGTTTTATTGCCTGCAATGCGGTAGGTGATTAAATTACAAGAGCGCATTGCTTATCACCGTGAAACAGCTCGTTTGGCGACTTCCAGCCCGCAAGCGCACCCTCATTTGTTATTATTTGTTATTACTTATACTGAAAATGCAAAATTGCACTTATTTGTAATTTCCCTTCTATTGCATATATAATTATTTGTAACTAATATTTTTCAGGATTTTCTTGTAGATGGTATTTCGTTTTTTTTTTTAAGGTAAGAACACTTGCGTATTGCGACAACAACGATACTTCGATACGGAGATTGAGAAAAAAATGCAGAACGGGGAAACGCAATTAAAAAGGAAACAATACTTTATACAAACATCATCAAAAAAAGAAACGATCGATTTCCTGTATCTCACGAGTTGGTCGTTTCCCTCTAAGCTAAGATTTCCTTTTCCTGCGCCGCTCTCTCTCGCCACTTATATTTACCGTGCAATCACGAGTGGAAAAGAAAGTGAGCGAAAGGCAGCGGGTAATGACAGCCAACATGCGTGCCATTTGGAATAAGAGGAGAAACTGCGGGTACATCTTAGAATAGACGAAACGCTCGAGCCCAACGACTTTACAATAAAGGAAATCGACCGTGCTCAGCATGCTAATGCTACTGGACGTACTATCGCTATTTTGAAGAGAACTCTCCTATCGAGCGAACGAATTTCACAGATTAAAAATTGTCATAGGCGCAACACAAAATCGTAAAAAAAATTAGATATTATTTACTGGACGAGTTGAAGAAATTGCTTAACCCAAGTGGATACGCGCAACGTGAACGCAAGTCCATATGTTGAGGCTACCGATGGTAAATGATCAATAGTAATAATAACAATAATTACAATCTATCATATTTAAATGCGTCAGTGTCTCTCGATAAGGCTGTCACTGCTGCATAAGTAGGTGGCATAAGTAGGATCTTGAATCACGCGACATGCCCCAAAATATCCCGAATGACCCATGATCGGTTAATGAGTTATAAACGGATCGCGCAATTTTCCCCACTGCGCGACTGTTTTCACAACGATAATCCATAATCCGACGATTAACACCTCCGGCAGAAATTGGTCTCACGCACGAATCCCTTAACTCGGTCATTCCTTCACCTGTGTCTTGAGATGCTGCAAGAACTCGTAGTAGCTAAGAGCAGATTCAAATCGATCCTCTATCAATCGCTCGACGAACAACGTTCTCAAGTAGCTATCGTCCCTGCGAAAAATAATTGGTCGCATGTAAAACGTATCACATTGCAACATATTAGATACGCGCGCTGTGAGACGATTTACGAGAATTCTGTTGAAGCTTGTTGATTCGCTTACCTGACAATTTGTACAGGTACATAATATGGCTTCTCCTCTTGTAAGCTAAATACAAAGTTTCGCAGCCGTTCGCTCTCTATCGTATCCAATTCCGGTAATTCGTACTGCAAGGACAAATTTAAGACGGATGAATTGCGTGAGTATATTCTTGTTAAAAATTATACGAAATACGTAGCCGAGGAAAGTGTAGTGTGCTTACCATTTCCTCTGGAATAGACACGAACCCTGGAGTGCCGAACACGTTAGAACAGAAAACTGGATTGACGTTTTTGCCGACGTAAATGAAGATTCTGTCGCCAGCATCCATAAGGAAGACGCCCCGGCTGTCAAGTTTCTCAGCGGACAAGTTGAGCCGAGGCGGCTGCGGACACACTTTGCCGTCAATGTCCTTTGCGTTGCGGTCGTCGAGCACGTGGACAGGATACAAATCGGGATAAACCACCTGTATCAGCTGCGACAACGGCAATGTCTTCAGTTGAAACATAGCGAAGATGCGATCATCCAAACGTGTGCTCGTGCCAGATCTGAACGCTACCTGCAAGTCCAAAGCGAAATATTAATGATAGCGCGAGTACATTCAAGTGTAAAATGTTGGCAAATTCGATGACTAAAAATTGACACTTTACGCTCTTCAACAATGCGATGATGTATAACGGCAGCAGTTTCAAACTTCCTGGAGCAACAAGTCCTCCGCCGCTGGAAGATTGCGCCAGCTTGTATGCGGATAAGATGTCGATAGCGACGTTTATTAACGCGTCCCTAGCGTCCGACAAAGATGCCTGGAGCGATCGGTCGACGGCTAAGGATATTTAAACACAAATAAATAATTAGTAAATGTTTAACGCTGCATAAGGACTTCCAGCCCGCAAGTTTAACTTACCCATTTTCGACAATAAGCCGACTATGCACTGTTGATCCGCAGAATGTAATACGTCCGATAGGCTTGCGACGACTGGCAAGCACAGAGTGTGTACTCTGATTCTTCGTTCACCTTTAAATAAAAGTATAGGGGATATGGGATATATGAGGAAACTCTAAAAAAAAAAAGACAGAAACAATTACCTTTGCTCGAAGTATACAGAAGTGATGCTTGGAAGCATACGCTTTGCACATCGGAAAGATTTTCGTCGATAGAGATTTGCATACCGAAACCAGCGTCCGGGTTAATATTTGGCAAGCAGAGAAGATCAGTCGAGCGAACGAAGAAGCTGCCATGGAAAGCATGGATGCTGAGGCCGCGGGTACAGCGAAGTCGCATCACCGCCTCAAAGCCAATTTTTCTCGTTAAATAACGACGTAGCAATCTTTCCAAAGTTTCAACATTCTGTAACTTCGACGCTCGAAACAGCGGCAGATGGTAGATGCAGCCACCCGTGAATTTTGACACGCACGCTGCGAAATAAGCAAAATATTTATCAGTATTTTTCCAGAAAGACCGCGATTATTAAAAGTAATTACAATTCTAAAAATTACCTACAAATTTAGTTTCAACATAAAGGAATCGTTTTATTACATTCGATCGAGATAGATTCACTTACACAAAGTTGCCAGATCGCTGTACTGACTGTTCAATAAGAATAGATCAATCGCGATCTGCTGCCCGCTGCAATCTAGAGCGAATCTTTTGTAGAAATCCGTCGCGGGATTGAGATGTGGCACGTCCTTATTCACTCTAGTATTGGGATCCTCTCTCGGCTGCAAGGCCCCTGGACCGATATTAGGCAGACACGTTTGAAAAACGGTGACACGTCCCCCAGTAGCGAAGAGGAGTTTGAGGGCAGCTTGGAGACCGGCACCGAGAGCGCTGTTGGTATCATGAGTGCCGCAGAATTTGACGGGGAGCTGGGCAAGAAGGTCGCGGACTAGCTCTTCGCGTTCCTTTAGATTTACAATTAGGTTTTCTGGACACGGCAGAAACACGTCGTCGATATCCAGCACGATCATTTCGTGTGGCTGCGAGACATTGTCGGGCATGCTGAAGAAGTGCAGGGCAGAATCGACAGCGAGAAAGCCGATTTGAGTGCGACTGTCGCCGGGGAGGCTCGACAGTTCCTCGGTAATAGTGTTGCAAACGGTCTGCAGATAACCGCTCTCCACCGCGAGGCGGGAAACATCCAGGACAAAGAGATAGACGGCCGGCTGAGGTGGACGGACCTATAATTCACGATATTCGTTAAGAGTCTTAACTTAAGACTAAGAGAGACTCTTCGAGGTACAAATAAATATCTCATTACGAATACAAATAAACTATAATTTGGACATGTGGTTATTTCGTCTGATTCTAAGGCTTGCCGATTACTTACTTAGCGCTCTATATTAAATAGTAAGTGTAAAAAATTATTAACCATGTACTCGCTTGGCGCAATGAACTCAATCGTGCCGGTTCTAACTTCTGGCCGTCGCGATGGATCGCCGTACGATTTCGTCACCGGATCGAATTGAAATTCCTCAGGAACTGCGTAACAAAACGTACATGTATATCCAACTCGTGTCGTGTAATGTCAAGTAGTAGGTGAAGAATTTCAGTTTGTTCATTACGTTCATTCAATCGGAAACAGAGATTGCACTTCCATCTTCTTGAATCGAGGAAGTATACAAACGGGTTGATATACGTTCGGCAAGCTCGACAACGCACGATTGTATTGCATTGAATCACCGCTAAATGCTGCTGCGACAAAGAAGAAAAGCTTCATTAAAACTTATTTTCAGATTGCTCTAAGAAATAAAATGGCAGCGACACACCCTTCTGTGTCTGTATTATAAAAATTTCTTTACGTGTGCATCACTCACGTTTAGATCCTTAAAGGGGTGTATTAGTACGCCGAATGGTAATCTTGACTTCTGCAGAAGCGAATTCGATTCTGGTACTTTTGTCAACGTACATCTGAATATACTGTAATTATACCATATACATTTAATGTGAGCTCTATTTACACAATGAGATCGTTCTAGTAACAGGGGTTCTAAATCACTCAAGTCTTTGTTCGCACCTTAAATACGTTAATTCGCATATAGCAGAGATGTAATCTTTGTATCGCAATCGTAAATTAAGAAGAGAGCAAGAAAAAGAAAACTCACTCGGGATTACAATTCACGTTGTCTAAGAAATCCTGGTGTAACTTGATCTTTGGTGGTTCGACTTTTTCATGCGGCAGTATATTTCGGCACTGTAAGAGGTCTATCGATTCCGCTCCCTAAAGAATGTTATTAACGTGTTGAAAGAGAAAGTAACAAGTTCAGATGACGCATATAATTGTACACGCTATTTTAATAACAATAGATACCCATAATTTGTTGTAGCCAGTTTGCGCAACGTTCAAATTGCTCATCTGATTATTTAATTGGTTCAATTGGTCGGGGTACATATTAGGATACCTTTTATTTGACGATTCTAACGGGACGTTCGTCATCTGGCCGGGATATGGCGAACGAGGATCGTACTAAAAGTAACATAAAATATTAAGGCACCGTATCATTTTTTTGTTCAAGAAAATATAAGATTAATTAAATGGAATTTGGTGAAATCTAATACACAAATACCATATGGATCCTATTACCGTTTGCTGTCCCGGATAAGGAGGCATTCCTGATGGAGGTAATCTTGCGCCATGTAACTGATTACCTCCTGAAGGCGGTAGCATCGCGGCATTGGCAGTGTCTTGTTGCGGATATTTCCTCTGGCCAGTTAAATTTTGATGTATATTCTGACCTTGAGGAACACTTCCCAGTCCCGTGGGATCCATATAACCGGTGAGTAAATTTTGCGGCGGCTTCAAAGGCTGAGTGCTGTAATCTTGGGGATTTCGTGGCCCTACATTATGGCCTTGTGCACTGTAGAATAAATTCTGCGTGCCAGAATTTGACATCGACGGTGCACTGGAGACATTCTGTTGCGCTCCATATCTGAGTTGTGGACTACTTAAGCTTTCGGAAGGACTAACGGTCGATTGTGCTTGGACGTTTTGAGTCCGTGGCGGTTGTATACTGGAACTCACTGATTCTTGCTGTACATAACTGTTTTGATTTAAATGTTGAGTGATGTCTGAAGGAGGTAGATTAACGTTGGGTGCACCTGGAGGGATAGGGTGTCCTTGATTGTATGTCAAGATCTTATTTACTCTAGCAAAGGACGTCTGACCTTCCGCAGTTTGATCTGTTGAGACTTGACTAGTCTTATCGATGCTGCTGGACATACCAGGAACGCCCATAGTACCCTGCGGAATGTTGATTGATGGGGAATTAGCCGCCCATTGATAACTTTGGTTCACTTTAGCTGGCTCTGATTTAACGGTGTCCGCAAACATCGATGGCGCAGACACCGGGGTCAGAGTTTTCGCTACTGGAGGCATCTGGTTCAAAGGGATCATGGGTCGATGAACTTCTTGGCTAGGCTGAGACACAAAGGCAGCTGAAGACGCGCTGACCGCAATGTTCGGACGAGTGTTAGCGGCATACTGGTTATGGGCACTATAGAGACTTGCAGGACTATATGGTTGTGATGTTCTAGGTGGTGGAGGCAACGCATTGGAGTTCTGAGGTCCGTTTATCGGTGGCATTGGCGGTCGCGGCAACTGAGGCCGATATTGGTTGTGAAGATACTGAGTTGGTGACGGATCTCTGGAAGTTTCCCTGGATGGGTCACGCGACGACTGCGAAGATGGTGTGCCTGATAACACATTTTCAACCGTTTCAATTTTAATAGCAAACTTTTTTCAGACAAGACCGCGTCATCCTCAAGTAATAATTTTGAAATTTGATCCCCACTGACACAGTTAGACTTACAACACTTTAACAGGGCACAGAAACTTGGCGATCGTAACACTGGTCTGCAGAATTCTCTTTGAACTGTTTACTTTTTTACAGCATAAAATTTTGTACACTCCAATTTTGCATATTTAAGTAGATGAATCGCCTTATATTAAAATATTTACATGATTTTTTAAAATGTCAACTACTATCCATTTTATTTTTGGAAATGTGAAAGAAGGCAAGGGTGAGAGATAAGAGGATTGATTGTATCAATTTGATTGTTATCACGTGAAACGTGTTGCCACATCACATGTACGTAAGAGCAATACCACCTCATTCAAGAGCCCTGATACAGAATCGCCTTGCGCAAAAGAAAAGTTACAATATGTATATACATTTAACAAACAAATTTTCCTTTTAGTATCCCCCTAACGCAAAACTTGCCGGTTAAATTGAACTGAGAGGACTGCATTCCGTTCTGCTGGGACGCAGGATTTTGACCGTTCATTATGGGAGGTGGTTCGTTCTTCAAGGGATTGTTGGACTCCGCGTACATTGGATACTGGTAACCGCTTGACTGCGACATTTTGCTGCTCTAATAATCACTGAAACAGAACGCACTACTTAGGACGTCACTCACGTCGGAGGCGGCACGCTGCTTCTTTTTCTTTTTTAACTTCAACGTGCATACGTGAAACATGTGACCGCAGATTATCTGATAAAGTCCACCTATGTTAATACTCGAGGTACAGAGTACGTAATAACGTCACGGTTAAATATTTAGCTTCCACTTTAATTGCTACTGCGGCTCGACAAACGGCACGAACAGACATCAGACTAATTACAACTGCCACCGCGGTAACGACATGAATCATACAATACTGCCAAATTACAGGACTTGGTAGCACAGCCTCTAGCTCAGGTGAAGATGTCACAGGCGCTGCAAGAGGTTGGTAAAAGGACTGTTAAAAGTTAGGCGGACGGGGTGCGAAGAGATCGGCCGCGCGTGATCTCGTTGCTGAGCGATTACCGTCTTAATAATCTATAAGGAGAGAGAGATATATAGGCGAGCGGGTTGACGTTTGGACAGCCAAAGCGCACTGTCAGCGTGTCGAAAGGTTAAAAGGCAGAGAAACGGGCTGGGGCCCCCGAACGTCCCTACTACCTTCGTGAACGGTGTGTCTCGCCGAGAGTTAGGTAAGGACAGATGCAGTCTCGCGCATCGCCCTCGTTGCCGTTCGCCTCCACGCAGCACAGGATGTATCTTAATAGCAGCGATTCATGAACGGACGAACGGCACGCACAACATTACGTGGCAGCTCGCGCGACCGCTGCGCCATGGACAATGGCACGTGACGGTACCAGATGGCATTGCGAGGTCGGCCAGGGTTGACCCGTTTGTCTTCGCGCGAGTCCGACCCCGAGTAAACTCCGGTTAACTTAATCGGCGATTAACTTGCCGAGCGATATCTCCGCTCGTTACGTCCACGCGAGTCTTATCTTCCGTTAACACGTGAAAAATCACATCAGATCAGGCCACGGATAGCGCAGCGTGAAATTTCGTCTCGGGCGCAATTCCGCCGTTTGAATTGTGGGCACTGATTCCCTCAGCTGGTGACCAAACGCCGATTAGCTTAATCGGCAATTAGCTCGATCGATAGACTCGCCTGAAACAATTTTCGAATTGCGTTGACCCCGATCTAATTAACTTTTCTCTCCGATATGTTAAAAGCAAGAAATCGACAGTTCCTAATAAAATAATAATAGAGGAAAGTTCTCCATTATGAGACAGTAGGTTTCAACGTCCAAAATCAATCGCAAATCTTTTTTTTTCCGCAACTATCACACGATCTAACAGTCAATTTTTCACCAAACAGATTTCACTCCACGGGCAATGAATTTATGGTGGAACCAACGGACGATGCCCGTTCATTTAGCAGAAACTCCGCTGTCTCATATTAGGAGCCTACCTCATAATAGTGAACTTTACAGGTATGTAAATGCTTGGCGAGTTAATCACTAACGTCCGCTTGCATCAATGCAGATTAATCCCAGTTTAACTTACTTTTTGCCTCGTTTTCTAATTCTTAGAACTAGACGTAGATAAAAAGTAGGATTACATAAGCCAATATCCGTTAATGGAAATAGACATGACCGAGCTGATCGGAATTTGATCGACGTTATCTCTAGTTCACGTTATTTACCGCGCATACGGTTATCGAGCAATCGCATCGGTAATACGTTTTAATGGCACCAACATTACAGAGCAGAAGGAACGTGGATCCCTCTGCTTCGTGCAAACGCGGAGGCAACGGCTCGCTCGATTCTCGAAACGCTCTCGAAGACCTTCGCGGCAGGAGAATCAATCGCAACAGCATCGAGAGAACGTGTACATCAATAGAATATATATTTCTCGATAAATAAAATATGTTTTGCAATCTGTAGATCAAATTGGGGACGATTTGGTCGTTGAAGAAGTTTGTTTGGTTCTTTGGAATGATGGAAGATACAACGAGGGAATGGCAGCGCGCGCGAGCGCGTAAGGTTCCGAGTTGGCCATCGTCATCGCGATCGTCGTCGTCGTCGGCCCTAGTCGCAGTTCGTTCCCAAGGCAGTGCCCAGCGCCGCTCGCAAATTGGTAACTCGAGCCTGCAACTCCGCGGCGGTGGTCTCATTTATACGCAGCTGCAGGATCTTGCACGCGTTGGCCAATCCGCAGCTCTTGAGATGTTCCTTCAGTCGGTCTGAAGCAGACGGCGTGTAAAATCGTCAGCCGATCGAGCGTCGAGCAATAACATTCTATCCAGGGTGGAGCTTCGCGATACCTGATTGCAGAACGCTGTCCAATAGCGACAGTGCGTTGAGTGCGATGTGCACCTCAAGACCCTCGCGCTTGAAAAACTCGCACATGTTACACCCAAAGCCAGCTTTGATCAGCAACTCCTCGGATTCCGCCGGGCAGATCCTCGTCAGTATCGTAAGACCCAGAATCGCTTCGTTTTGCATTAGCGCGTGTTGCGCTAGAAGCATGTCAACTAGGTGCTGCACCGCACCATACTTGATAATTGACAAGGCAATCTGCTTGTCCCTATAAAGTGTGCATGAAGTTTCGGAATTGGTGCGACTAATTGTAAACCGCTGAGAACGAACCTGCTGTTGTTTATTAGCCAGGCAATTAATCGATTGGCCTCGCCCTGGACACCAGGGTGGTCCTTGGTACCGCACCATTCAACCGTCCGCTTAATCAAGTCCTCTCTTCGCCCTAAAGAGACCGCCGCTTCCCCTAGAGCAAACAACTCAGCCTTAATTGTTACATTACTCATCCCGAGTAATAGCAAGCGCTTTAACTCTTAAGAGAGAAGCTTACGACTTCTTACTTTGACCGTCTATGACTATCCTGAGCGTTCCCAGCAATTTGAAAACAACGGGAAAGGTCGGGATCTCCAGCATTGGGTAGAGAACGTCGAACAAACCGTCGGCAAGGATCAGCGATTTGTTATCCGCGGGTATAACGAGGTTGCGTAACGCGCTGAGCAAGGCGTGCTGGCACCTAATGTCGCCCGACGTGCCGCCGTTTCTTTCGAGAAGTTTTAACAACTTTCGATGAACGCCCTGCTCGACCATGCGCTTGCAATGTGTGTCGGTCCGCGCAACATTGCCCATGGCCAAAACGGCAGTGACCTGCAAGTCTTCGTCAACGCTTTCTAGCCATTCTACTAGTTTGCTGTATACAGGACCCTTGCTGTCGTCGTATAGAAAATTCATGCTGTCGTCTAAACACAAAGTAGTACGTTTGTCAGAGCCGATAAAGCTCTGCGCTTGAATATCTCCTGAGAGACTCACCTCCAGTTAAAATCAAAACGATTAAGTTACAGGCAACTTTGAGAATCGACCGAGTTTCCTCGTCATTGCACTGGGGGCCATGCTTCTCTAGTAGTTTCAGGAGCAACTCACACACTCCTGCCTTAGCCAACAACAGCTTTGCATTTTCTAGAAGTGGAATTGTGTTATTGAAGACATCGCTCTTTAATTTAATTCAGCTGCATTACTTAAACCCAGTTTTGTAAATTTACTCGTGTAATTGCACCGAAATACTTAATCACTGTAATCCCAATTTAACTTGCAATTTACATTTGTCTAATTTTAATTAGATATTAATTTATTAGTCTACCGTCTTCTGCTTGGCCGTGCAAGAGCTCCAAGCACATCTCAGACAGCTCGGAGGAAGTGTCATTGGCCAGTATATCAACCAGAACTCTCGTCAACCTCTCGTCTAGAAATATAATATTCTCGTCGTTCAGTATACCAAGAGTGAGTAACACGTGCATCGCCGCTTCGCCACCGCTAATGCCATCTTTTTCCAAGACGCTGCAAATAATCGGTACCATGTCCTCCTCGAGTACCTGGTGAAGTTAATCTTAATAAAATTATCGCTTACAGTTGCTTACCATTTTATAGCATCACTATCTATCGTCAATCACAACGTATATATGTACTCTAAAAAAAAGTCTACCTTCTTGTACAACACATCCTGATCCACCAAAAAGTTCAATAAAAATCCAGCGGCAACATTTCGCAGAAAGCTGGCGCCCTCGACGTTATCCAGGGCAATTCCTTTCTTCAGTAGTGCTAGAATCATCTTCAAGCCGTCTTGCTCCCTTACCAGATTTTTACCCATTTCTGCGACAAAGATATTTATCAGCTCTTCACTAATGAGACAATTATGCTTATTCGTGAACACCCAAGATAACAATTCTTGCACGCAAATTCTGCTTGTTATGCATGCAAATTTGCCCGAGTTTTTCTCGTAAGATACTTCTAGTCTGTGCTGTTGCACACAAGTGGTTTGGCTCATGCATTGACGTATACCTTTGCACGCAAATATCTAACAACTCACGTACAAAAATGGCTCAACAACGCAAGCAAAATCCCCTCCCAGTGCTTCGTCATAATGCTAGATGTTTGCGCGCAAGATGTTCTCTGGGACACTCGATACGAATACATAACAGAAGGCTTTGAAACTTGATGGCCATTAATCAGACACAACGGATAATTATGTGAAATAGATTCTCTCAAATAACTATTGCAACCAACCATTCTCATAGCAGATGTTTCCTAGAGCTCTGGAGGTCTGCGTCAATATGTCTACATCCTCTTCGTTCAGCAAGTTAACCAGTGTACGTATCAACTCAAAACCGGTGCACTTTTCTCTTCCACGATCAGTCTTTGCGATCTCGGCAATGGCCTTTGCAGTCTTCGCCACGATCTGTTTAGATTTGTGCCCGAGCAGCTTTAGGAAGACTTCGTCAATGACCAGTTCAGTGGTCTCTGAAATCATGAGTCGCTAAGTCGATACTAGTTGGCACAGCGTAAAAATTGAGCTACAGCGTTCGTCAAAGTGATTACCCCCGATCGACGTTTTGCTAACGTTCACCACAGAATCCAGTATCTGCGCAACATTGGGGCATTCATCCTGCGAGGCCTCGAGTCTCACGACGCACTTCAAGTCGTCGACGAGCTTATCGATATTGTGCTTCGCCTCGTCTGAAACATAACATCTTGATAGATCTACGTCTTGCCCTTTCGAAAATGGACAGGCGGGAGGAAGGGCGGATTGGAATGCGGACAGGGTGGATTACCTTCCATCTCCATCAGGCAAGCACGCGGCCGAGAATCCGCTGAACCCGATTTGCACAGATATCGGCCACTTCCCTCGCGATCTTGCAAACAAGTCCCGGCGATTTCTCGCTCTACTGTGACGTACGATCGACCTCTTCTATTCTAAGATCATTGTTACCGAGCATTTTCCCCATCCTACGATCTCCACTCAGTCACCCTTGTTATTCCACATGGCACATGCGCAAAAATATCGCTACGCGCTGTTTCACTTGCTTTCTCATTCTAACATAGGCATACGAGCACATGGCATTATCGGAATTTTAAACTATCTCACAATTCGTAAAAATAACCGACGCTGGCAACATCACAAATTGCTTTACCGACCGTGAGCAGTTACCGACCGCGCGCGCGTGTTACCGACGTGGAGAAATATTTTTCGCGTCACCGATGTCGCTGCACTCGGACGAACGAGCCTTTTTGCTGCTCGCGGGCCAACGAGCAGAATTGGCGCTTTAAAAATGGCGGACCCCGTCTGATCGGCCAGCATCTCCGGTAACGCGATGGCAGAGTCGAGTAACACCGTGGAAACGTCTGTAACGGAATCTACGAAACGGAAGGAAAAAATTTATGGTACGTTTAATTCAAGAGAAGTATCGAGGGATATTTGTTTGTGCACGCGTTGCTCGCTGCAAGCTAACCTCACTTTTGCGAACGTGCAGCAGTACCAGTTTTCTGCTACCTGACATGTAGTATAAAAACACACGCTCTTCGTAGCTTATCGATTTAGACTTAATTTCACTCTGCTAAATTGCATCAACCCTTTCGCGCCGTGTACATACTTTACATTTAACGTGAATGGGAAACCTTGAGACACCAGACGCTGTAGCGAAATGCTTTGATTACAAACTTTTTATGACTGTGTAAAATTAATATTTCAACCCTTTTATCTGATAATTATTGCGCCGCAGTTGCAACACGTGGGCAATATAAAAATTATTCGTAACTGATATCTATTCGACGTTAATGCTCCTTTAATAAGATTGTTGATATGTTTGTAGCCGCAGTATTTCTGGGTACCGTCGCAAGTATTTCTGCCCTTACCGGGTTTGCCAGGACAGTGGCGGCAACCAGGAGGCAAGACCCAAAACACTTTGGAGATGGGATTTCTGGTATAAAAGGGATTCGTGAAACTGGAGCCTCGTTAGCTATAAGAGCCCTTGGCTGGGGCACATTTTATGCCCTCACAGGATGCGGCTTATTTTTTTATGGGATCTGGAAGCTCTCTGGAGCTACTAATGCGGAGGAATTCAGATTAAAGATGGGCTCGCTGTTACCAAAAATACCTAAGAATAATCCACCCCAGAGCAGAACAGAATTTGAAGGCTTGACAGATTTGTTGAGATATATTTCTGAAGATTGGGGACAAAACAAGGAGGTATAATTGACCCAACTATAAAGTGTCATTTCGATCTTTGTAGACTTTTTACGCATCCGAAAGGCCAGAACAGAAATATTCGGGATTAATATATAAATTTATACATATGACAAAGATACATATGAAAAACTTTTCAAGCCTCAAGCTTTCTTTCTAAATTCTCAATCCTTCCTTCGAACTTCTTGGAGCATCGCGCGTGTTGAATTATTTAACTGAAAATAATTAGCAGAAATTCAAGTAAATCATTATTTAGAGTAAAAATTGTTTTTAAGCTCTTTCGCAACATTGTAGTAAAAATTAATTTCTCCAAGGCTCCTGGGCTCGCCACGGCCAAATCGTGACGTCAGAAGCGGGAAACGACACGCTGAAAATTCATGCACTTTGTAATTACAAAACAAGATATTTGAATGAAAAAGCAGTCTATATCGTTTTAGCATATTGGCAAAATGCTCCGGTAGCTAACTTTTCCCCTTTGAACCGATATACAGCCGTAGATTGCGAATGTAATAAGATTCCTGTCATCAGTATGCTTACGCAGGCATGACTAGGAATTTCGTTACATCTACATTTTATGACCGTTTGTCAGCTGTCAAGGGACAAATTTAATTACCGGAGTATCTTAAAAATATGCTGAAACGATATACACTGTTTATGTTTTTATTCGAACATCTTGTTCTGTAATTATAAAGCGCAAGAATTCTGACGTCATAATCCCACAAGGCTGCAGCGAGTACCCAGGAGCCATGAATAAATAAATTTAATACACAAGTTGAGTAAATCTTATTGCCGCCAGTGATAATTCAAAGAGGGAATATTTTTCACGAAGTCGACCAAGCTGGCAAGAAAGTGATCTTTATTCAGTTCACAACGTTTTGACCTCTTAATCGGGTCCTTTTCAAGTGTGGTCTATAGTTTGATCGACTTCTTGAAAAATATTCCCCCTTTAAATTTAATACATACATTTTTCAGTAACTACATTATCAAAACACAAGAGTCATCTAGTATCGACTAATGAACGACGTAATAATTTTGTGTGCCCTTTTTGCAGGAATAAACATGATGTGATTACTGGTCTTTGGTGACTTAATACTGAATTGCGTCGACTGAGGATCATACGATTGCGTAATTCACGGGTTTACTGCATGCATGAGTAGTATGAGGTCTTGTGTCAAACAGATCTTATAGAATCTTTAAATTAAAATGACTGTTGAATATTAACTGTGGAAGATTTTGTATATTTCGTGTATTTACTATTAAACTTATTTAAGATGAAGCGCCGTTCCATCTTCTAATTTCATAGAATAATGACGCATGATAATCAATGATTCATGTAAGCCAAATCTTCTCTTTTGAGAGGGAGGGGGAGAGAGAGACAGTACGCGCTTGCGCATTAAATTTTGAATTAATACATTTTTATTCCTCGATCGGGCATGTGCACAGCAGAATATTTAATCTACAACGTCACCTTTATCATTGCTCTTTCTTAGTTCTTATTGAAGATGACGTCTACCAGGCCGCACGTGATAAATTAAAAAAAAATCAGGAATCATTTATGTGTACCCAATATTTAGTTTCTTCTGATGACGAGATTAATCTGCAGATAAGCGTATTTTACCGAAGTCACGTATACAACACATTGCACGTTTTGTTGGCAACGAATTTTTAATCATGGCAATATTTTATAAAGAAGTGATTGTATGAGCTCGTTATCAATGATGAGATACATCACGTTAAAGGAACGTGAAGCTTGATTTTCGTGGAAAATAAATGAAAGTGGTACAAAGGTGATCTTGAAACACAGAAGTTTGCACAAGAGTGCGATAATGTAATAATAAACCATCAGCGATGCGTAGAAGAGTACACAGGGTGTTATTAAGCGTATAGTTGTATTATTAAGAATTGCCAACTCGTATTCACGAACGGAAAATAACATTTGCATTATTTCTTCGGGAAGTTATTACGTATCGTCAGATGACACTAAAATCACACTTCGCATAATGAGTACGGAAGCGATTATTTAAATTATAGTTTTTCGCGATTAAATAATTTATTAATTATAGACAATTACAGTTAAATATACGTTAAATTACAAGAAATAAGAGAACGTTTACATGTATAATTGTAGAATTCCTGATTTATGAAAAGAAATATTTTTTTGTTTAAATGCTTTAAGCATTTTTACAAGTGTAAAGTGTTGTTACGATATCCGATATTTATAAATTAGTGCAAAGAATACATTGTTGCAACTTCTATTTGAATATTGAAATCAATGATAAATATTTACGGTTATGCAAAACTGTTTGTAAGTAAAGCCTCTTAACTGTTTTGACCTCGTCAACACTATCAATAACACCAAGCACATTTCTCAGCACATTCCTCTACGTATTATACAGGTCACGAATGTGACTTTGATTTGAGCTAAATCTTTATTATTTGAACAATTAAGAAATTAATATAATGGTAAAAAATTCTCCTTTCAACAAGTGATAAGATAATAGTGTATATTAACATTTATAACTGATATTATTTTTTGAAATAGAAATTAAAATTGTCGAACATTATATGAATCTTTCATTTATCGCGTTGAAAGGATAGTTTCTACGGACC